GACCAGCACCGCTGGGCGCCCCAGGCCACAGAGCCCTGACCTCGGCAATCACTGACCTGTAGCACCACAGGCTCCTGCTACTGCCACCATCTACCAGTCTTCCATTAATTTTGTTCCTACACAAATAAATGGATTTTTTGTGTATGCTACTGAGGGTTGAACCCAGGGCCCTTGTATATCCTAGTGAAGTCCCCTACTGCTGACCTACACACCCAAAAAGAGGATGTTAAGGCAAAAGTATTGGTGAAGTAGTAAATGTTAAAAGTAGTAACATGATGATGCAGTGACCTTTGTTAGACAGACGCTGCTGCACTGCTGCGGGGTATGCTGATCGGTGGAGGTTTTTTGGGTGCAGTTCAGCACAGCACACCACAGATCCTCAGGAAGGTTTTTGTTTTCTCATTTGTTTTTTTGAGACAGGGTCGCACTTAGTAGTTCAGGCTGGCCTCAAACTCTGCAATGATCCTCCTGCCTCAGCCTCCTGAGTAGCTGGGATTATAGATAAGTGCCACCTTACCTGGCTTTTACTGTACTTTGTTTCTAATGTTTTACAACAGATACAGCATATGTTGCTCTTTCTAATCAGGAAAGAGGTGTCATTGTTTACTATACAAGATGTAGGTATTGTCAGGACACGTCTAGTGTGGTTTGCCCTGAGGTTCTATCCTGTACTGGGAATGGCACTGCTAACTAAAATAATATGCTGGGGAAAAGAATTTTTTTGGTTGTGATAAGAACATTCCTGGCAGGGAGAGGCTGATAGCTGGAAAGCTGTGCCCTGCTCCAGGCCTGAAGGCGAGGGTCTCATCCAGGGATAGAAGGGAAACTGGCCTCCTCGCCCAGGTTCCTGTTCTCCCCTATCCTGCATCGAGTGCGGAAGAAGGCTCCACAAGCCGGGCCAGGCCTGTGTGCTTGCCTGGAGTCCTGTTGTTGTTGGCCGGTAGCCTGTGTGGGGGTTCAGGCCAGGCTGAGAGTAAGGGGGTGGAAAAGGAAGGGCTGCACGCTGGCTGCTTCTCCGAACACTCTTTAGCCATGCTGCAAAGCTTGCGCCCAGAGGTAATTCTGCTTTGGGTTGTCTGCTTCAAAGGAATGATCCTTACATGCACAGAGGTTTTTTCAGGAGCAAAGATGTTCACTGGGCTTGTCTTGCCCCAGAGAGGCTGAGCTTTTGGCCTCCATCCACTCTTCTGGGTTGGGTTGGGTTCTAAGCCTTCTTTAATCCTCATGATCCTTTTCTTTCTTGGCCTTCTCTGGCCACTGTGGAATCCAGGGGAGCAGTCCCAAGTGCCTCCCACAGGCAGACCTCATCCCTAGGTTCTCCCTTGAGTAGACATGGCCCAAGGGTGTCTCTGCCACAAAGCTGCTTTGCTGGCATGACCAGTATGCAGCAGTGCCGCTGTGTGAGCTCAGATTGAGAGTGTCCTTTGGAGTGTGACATACCTGGGAGGCAGGTGTGCAGGGTACGGTCAGACACCTTTGGTGCTCACCTGGGTGTGTCTGCGCACAGGAGAGCACAGCACACCTTCACTATCTCCTGTGCCCTTCCCTGATTTCTCTCTGACCCTCTTTGAGGAGTCTAGGAGAGTGGAGGGTCCACTGTACAAGGGGAAGAGCTTTTTTTTTTTTTTTTTTTTTTTTTAAATTTTTTTTTTTTTATCTTTTTCCTTTTTATCGGTACCGGGGATCAAACTCACGACTGCCTGCTTGCAAGGCAGGTGCTTATGCCGCTGAGCTAAATCCCCAGCCCTGGGAAGAGCTTTTGATGTGTGCTAGGAATTGGTTTGTTTTTTGGTTGTTTCCTTGGCTTTTTTTATTTTTCAAACTGAGATTTGAACCTTTGCACTGGGCTATGCCCCCCAGCTCTTTTTCTTTTTTTTATTTTGAGATAGAGGGTTGTTAAGTTACCAAGTTGCCCAGCCCAGGCTTGGCTTGAACTTGTGATCCTCCTGCCTCAGCCTCCTGCCTCCATGTGCCATCCATGTACCTCCATGTGCCATCATGTCTGGCTGTACTAGGAATTCATTGAAGTGCCTGGTTAGCTACTCAAGTCTCGTGCCATAAGGTAGCTTGGGTGGCCATTAATTTGCAATAGATTTGCTCATATTCCTTTTTTTTTTTTTTATCCTGGAATTGCACTCCCACACTGCTTTTTTGTTTTTTTTTTTTTTTTCTTTGAGACAATATCCCACTCTGTAGTCCAGGCTGGTCTTGAACTTGCTATCCTCTTGTCTCATTCTCTTGAGTGCTGGGATTGCAGAAGTGTGCCACTGCACCAGGCTCCTATTTTTTCAGCACCATTATTTACATATAATTCATGTACCACTCAGCACGCCTAGTGTGTGACTCAGGGTATATCTCTGGTGTAGTCACATAGCTGTGCCTTCATCGCTACATTCAACTATATCACCTCAAACAAAAATCCTGTATTCATCAGCAGCCCCTCCCTATTTACTCCTGGCCCTTGGCAACATCTACTCTGTGTCTTGGATTTGCCTATTTGAAACATTTCATATAAATGGAGTTATAGAACATGTGATACTTGGTATCTGGCTTTTTTCATTTAGCGTTTCATGTTTCAAAGGTGTAGCCCTGCTGTAGCATGTATCCATACTTCTGTTCTCTTTATGACCAAATAATATTTGAATGTTTGAATATAAGACATTTTGCTTATTCATTCATCCACTGAAGGACGTTTAGATTGTGTTCACTTATTGCCTGGTAGGGAAAATACTAGCCAGGTACAGTTGTGCATACCTATAGTCCTAGCTACGCACAAGTCTGAGGCCAGCCTGACGGCTTAGTGAAACCTTGTGTCAAGTAGAGTAAAATGCAGGTCAGTAGTAGAGTACTTGTCCCGCGTGGGTCTGCGTGGCCCTGCATTCAATTCCCAGTACTAGGGGGACAAAAAGAAAGGAGGAGGGAGAGGGAAAGAAAGAAAAGGCTTTTGTAAATACACATGCAGAAGTTATTGTGTGGACATACAATTTTCTCCTGGGCATAACCAGGTAAGAGTGGGTCATGTGATTAACTGAGTGAAGAACTCTTGGACTGTTTTCCTATGTGATTACACCATTTTACTTCCCACTGGAGGTACTTAACAATTCGAATTCCTCTGTACTCTCACCAGCATTTGTTCTTATCTTTTTTATTGTGACCACTCTGGTGGGTATCAGATGGCATCGCATGTGGTTTTGTTTTGTTTTGTTTTTGTCTTTTTCCTTTTTATCAGTACCAGGGATCGAACTCACGACTGCCTGCTTGCAAGGCAGGCACTTATGCCGCTGAGCTAAATCCCCAGCCCCTTCGCATGTGGTTTTGATTTGCATTTTTTTTCCTTTTCTTTTCTTTTTTTCTTTCTTTCTTTCTTTTCTTTTTCTTTCTTTCTTTTTTTTTTTTTTTAAAGATAGGGGTTTGTAGTGTAGCTCAGGATGGCCTGGAACTCACAAGGATCCTCCTGCCTCAGCCTCCCAAATGCTGGGGTTACAGATGTGCACCACTATGCCCAGCTGATTTGCATTTCTGTATAATTAATGATGTTGAATATCTTTATGTGCTTATTGGCCATTTTTATATCTGATTTAGTGAAAAGCCTGTTGAGACGCTTTGTCCTTCATGCACGTGTGGGTGGGTGGGAATCGAACCCAGGGCCTTGTGCATGCAAGGCAAAAACTGCCACTGAGTCACATCTTCAGCCTCCTTTGCTCAGTTTTAAAATGGGTTGTCTTCTTTACTATTGAATCACAGAGGTTATTTATATATTTCCTATACAAGCCCCTTATCAAATATGTGATTTGTAAAAATGTCTTCCGCTCCCTTTTCTTGGTAATGTTCTTTAAAGCAAAGCAGTTTTTACCTTTGATAAACAGCCAGCAATGGTGAGACACAAAGCTGTTTCCACTACCTCTACTGAGCCTCTACGAAATAATTTACAGTGGCCATACTTAGTGACACACAACTGACTCAATACAAATAAGGGAGGTCCCTGTTTGTCATCAGCTGAGTTCCACATAAGCAGCCTAAATTCAGTGAAATAGTTTGGTGAAGCATTCTGGAGGGCATCTCTAATGCAAGGACGCGGCGCGAATGGGGATCCTCCAGAGCGCATGGCGCAGTCTCCCGAGGCTGCAGGAACAAGGCATGTTGCCTGGGAAGATAAGCTTTGCCCCAGATCTGTCTGAATCCATGACTGCTGTAGTATTTTACTGTACCTGGGTTACTACAAAGCAAGTCACCGAAGGCTTGGCCTCCAATTCGTGTTCCTGTGGGCTGAGAGCTGTGGCTTGTTGAGAACAGAACAGGAACCCTGCTCGCTGGGGGCCTCCTACGTGCCCATCCATTGCTAGGGCAGCAAGTGAGATGGGAAGAGAATCTCCTGCTTGTGCTTAAGAATGCAGAAGCATGGTCAGCCCAGAGGAAACTGTAGAATTCTGGTTGGCGGCTTTTAAAACTCTACACTCGTGGGGCTGGGGATTTAGCTCAGCGGCATAAGCGCCTGCCTTGCAAGCAGGCAGTCGTGAGTTCGATCCCTGGTACCGGGAAAAAGACAAAAAAAAAAAAAAAAAACTCTACACTCGTGAAACAGCGACTTCTGCTGACATCTGGTCTTTCTGGGATTGTGCTAGTTTTTATTTATGAAATGATGCAAATATTTAATCTGCAAATAGATTTTTATTTTTGAACAAGCTTTTTCTCTTTGAGGGTGCCCAGGCTCATACTTTTGCTCTCTGGCATCTCTGTGTGACCCTGCACAGAACAGAAGCCAATGCCAGAAGCATGGGGGAGAGCTGCTAATCAGAAAGTGAAACAGCCGTCTCTTTGCATTTTGTTATCCTCCTTCTTATCTCCCTCAGTCCAGGCAGGGCAGGCATCAGTTAGCAGGGGTGATGACCCTGGACAGTCACCAGTGAACTCTCCGGGGAAAGTACAGGTGAGGCATGGTGCCTGACCATGCCTCGACCCTCTGTCCCTCCTCTTAAACCTTTCTTTCTCTGTCCTCTCAGCTGCCCAACATGTTTGGTGACCTTCGATCCACATTTATTGCCTTGATGATTGGATCCTACGCCTCCTCCGCAGTCACTTTCCCAGGAATCAAGGTGAGGGTGTGGCCAGTGGATTTCCGGCACATTGACTCTCTGCAGTGACTCCTCCTTGAACCCTCTCTTACAAAGAGAGAAGTCATTGTTGACCCTGAGGGTGACCCATCTGTTCACCCACCCTGGTCACCACAAGCAAGAAAAAACAAACTGGGTGTGGTGACTCACGCCTCTAATCCCAGCACTCTGGAGCTGAGGCTGAGGTAGGATCGTTGTGAGTTTGAGACCAGCCTGGACTATAAAGTGAGCTCAAGGCCAACCTGGACTACACATAGTGAGACCCTGTCTCCAAAAAGGCAAAAATAAATAAATAAAAAATAAAGAGGAAAAAGAAGAAACCCAACGGGCCTTGTGGGACAGGAGACTCAAGGATGTTACTTTAGAGCCAGGGATTTCACTTAGTGGCACATGTGCCTGCCTGGCAAGCCTGAAGTTGTGAGTTTAATTCCCGGTACCAAAAAAATAAAAAATAAACAACAAAAGAATGTCACTGTAGTGCATGACCCCAGGCTGAAGGCAGGCTCACCTCCGGGCCTGAGCACCCCCTCCTCTGGGCCTGTTCTTGAGCTTCTGCTCCCAGTTAGCCCAAAGCAATGCTCTCAACCAAGTTGGTTCAGCTGTTTCCCTCCGGGGCAGAATTCTGAGCCTGAGGAAGTGACAGAGAGGAGCAGACATCTCCCAGCCCACAGCCATCCCCTCCCCAAACCTTGTTGCTCTGTTGGCTTCAGCAGGGGCTTCTCCCTTCCTGGCAGCAGCACCAGGTCAAAGCCACCTTTTCAGGGGTTGCAAGGGGGTGCTTCTGATGAGAGGGGTCGCAGGTGTGGACTGGTCCCTGTGAATCAGGGTAGGAGGCAAGAATCTGGGGCCAGCCGTCCTTTGAATCTTCTCAGACACCCTTGCTCCTGAGTCATGGAGAGGAGCCCACAAATTCCCCTTCCCCTTTCCAGAGTCTAACTGCTAGTGTGCGTGGCCAGCTGAGCAGCTGTGTGTCAGGACTTGGGGGACCCTTACGTAGGGCTGGAAATAAGTGGTGCTCATGCAGCAGCTGCTAATTAGTGTTCAGCATGCTGGCTGGGTGCTCGGCACTCCTCCTGAGGACGTGTGCCAGTGTCACACCCATTTCCCAGGTAGCAAAGCAGATGCACTCGTCTGTGCCCCTCTATATGGAGAGCACACACCACTTGTACTCCTTAGGGCACTGGAGAGACTTTTGTAGACAAGGATGATCCAGACCTTAGGGAGCTGACTAACAGTAGACAAGCAAAGGATCAAGAAATGTGGTCATCTCAGCCAGGGAGACAGGGCTGTGACAGTAATAGGGTGGTCACCTGATACCTCTCCAAGATGGTGACATTTGGTACAAGTTGGAGGCACAAAGAGCTAATGACGTGACAGTAATCCCAGAAAAGTTGGAATTATTGGAATGCAGGGTTTCTGATGGCCAAACAGCCAGACTGATGGTGCTGTATCTCCTCACACAGCTTAGCACAGTAGGGCAGGGCTGCCAGGTACACCGTGCCTGTGCTAACTGTGCCCATTTGTCCCTCCCACTGTGCCTCTCAGCTCATTTACGACACGGGTGCCTCCTTCATCATTATCCTTGTGGTCTGGGCCGCCTGTTCTGGACTGGTTTTCCTCAACTGCTTCTTTAACTGGCCACTGGAGCCCTTCCCAGGCCCGGAGGACATGGACTACTCGTAAGTAGGCATGCTGTCTGCCCCTGCCCTTGAGCCAGCCAGGGTCCCGTGGCAGCAGCACTCTACCGTGGCCTCCAGGGTGAAGATCAAGTTCAGCTGGCTGGGCTTTGACCACAAGATCACAGGGAAGCAGTTCTACAAGCAGGTGACCACAGTGGGACGCCGCCTGAGCGTGGGCAGCTCCATGAGGAGTGCCAAGGAGCAAGCCGCGCTGCAGGAGGGACACAAGCTGTGCCTATCCACCGTCGACCTGGAGGTGAAATGCCAGCCAGACACTGCAGGTACCCATTAGGAGCCCTTGCCTTCCAGGCCTGCCTGAGACATGGGCAGGGGAATCTGCAGCCATGCCTCAAGCAATCCAGGGCGCTGCCAGTCTAGACCTAGAGGTAACAGCCCCAGTGTTCTCCTGACTGGGGTCAGTGCTGGCCAAGGCTCTGTGGGTGCCGTCACCCTAAATCCCCACTTCGTCCCAAAGTAGAGCACCACCCGCCCTACTTCCAGATGAGCACACTAGATGAAAGCCCAGAGAGCTTAGGTGGTGGCAAACCTGTGACCGTCGTGCTACAGCCAGCTACTTATTACCGTTGAATGCTCTAAAAGGTTTGCCACCACTAGGTTAGGGGATTGGCCCAGCTTCAGCCCCATGGATTCCCCTGGGCCTGCTCTTTGATTCTCCCGCCATCAGTGGAGTGATTTGGTCTGCACCTGGGGTCCCCGGTGGCCACAGGCCCTGAGCCACACCTCTGTCCCTGCAGCGGCGCCATCCTTCATGCACAGCGTGTTCAGCCCTATCCTGCTGCTCAGCCTGGTCACCATGTGCGTCACGCAGCTGCGGCTTATCTTCTACATGGGGGCCATGAACAGCATCCTCGAGTTCCTGGTCAGTGGTGACCAGAAGACAGGTAGGTGTCCCCTGAAACTCAGTGCACAGTGTCAAGGGAAGGGGCCCGGGGTGCCAGTCACTCCCCCTGGCCCGAGTCAGGCACCGGATGGACTGCATTAGGCAGAGCCAGACCCCAGGGCTGTGGAGAGCAGTGGCATCTGGGACGCCACTGCTTTGTTTCATCATCGCCAGCCCTGGCTGTTCTTTCATGTCCCCGGCAGGGTTTCCTGGTTCGGGAGGGAGGGAAAGACTAAAATAGCCGCCTGGGTTGAGGATAAGGGGTGTGAGTTTTCCAAGGCTGGAGAGGGAGGGCTGAGGGTATGTCTGTAAATGAAAACTGCTCAAAGCAATGTCAAGGATCTAAGGACGGCAGCCCCAGCCCCACACTAGCTCCCTGGAGAGCCTGGGGACCCTGGCGGCCATGGCTGAGGACGGGTGTCCTGGTGGAGACCACAGTAAGATGTGTGTCCTGGACTGTGAAACAAAGTCCCAGGGGTGTGCACTCCAGCTGAGGCTTGTTAACTCCGGGAAACAGAACTGATAACCCACACGAAAACAGCAAGGAAGGTCTTCAGCTGACTAGAGATTCTGCTCCTGCAACCAGAATCAGGACTTCCCCCAAGCCAAGCTGAGTCAGCGCCAGTCATCTCCAGCGGGACAAACACATTCGCAAATCCTTTTTATTGGCAGCCTTGCTGGCGTGCAACTTTCCTTTGTTGGTTTACTTGTTTTTACCAAGGGGAAGACACTGTAGGCTTTGTGAGAGGAACCAGAGCAGTCTTTACAGAGCTAAGAAAGCCTGCTTTAACAAAAGGAAAATATAGCAAAGGGGACCTGATAACGCTGGTGTCTCAGTAAAAATGGAGTACGGAGACAGAGTAGAGAAATGTTGAATATTGTGCAAAAATTCATGATGCGCTAGAGGCACTGGCACAAGCAGTGAGTGAGTCCCAGCTACTCAGGACTCTGAGGCAGGAGGATCAAAAGTTCAAGGCCACCCTAGGAAACTTAGCAAGGCCTTGTCTAAAAAAAAAAAAATACAGACTGCCAAAAAGCTTTTTTTCCTTTCTTTGTTGTTGTTTTGTTTCGTTTTTTAGACAGAGTCTTGCTTTGAGTACAGGCTGGCCTGAACTCACTATATAGCCCAACTCTGGCCTGGAACTCAAGGTGATCCTCCTGCCTCAGCCTCTGGAGTGCTCAGATTTCAGGCATTGTACCACCTTGCCCAGCTAAATCTTCCTTTCTTAAAAAATTAAAAAAAGATAGTAAGGAAGGGCTGGAAGTATAGTTATAGTTCAGTGGTAGAGTTCCCTGAGTTTGATGGCCATTACTGGGCAGGTTGGGGGGGCCCCTAACATGAACACAGGAGAGGCCCTTGGCTGCTGTATAAGAAAAGAATAACCAGTTTACCTTTATATAGTCCAAAAATGTTCACCCAAATTGCTAACGGAATCCTTTTTAAAGTTTTTTATTTGGGCCAGGGATTTAGATCAGCAGCATAAGCACCTGCCTGGAAAGAACTTGTTTGCAAGTTCAATCCCCGGTAGAAAAAAAATTCTTTTTTGTTTGCTTAAAGAGATGGAGTCTTAAAATGTTGCCCAGGCTGGTCTCAAACTCCTAGGCTCAAGAAAGCCTTCGTCTCAATTGGGACTAAGGATGTGTGCTGCTTGCCCAAGGAACCTTTTCTAATTAACAACGTTAAATTCTGGCAGACATATCTTGGAAAGAGTTGATCGATCTTTTGGGAGCCAGGCCCAGAGAGCTAGAGTCACTGAGGAATGCAAGAAAACCAGTCCCAGACCCTCACAAGGCTGCCTCCCGCTGTTGAGTCCTGGACTGAGGGTCCAGGAGTCTGAGAAATCTTTTGTTGCCCAATAGGAATTTTTCTCAACTGTATTCTACATTCAAAAAGTCTGCCTGGGGCTAGAGATTTAGCTCAGTTGCACAAGTGCCTGCCTGGCAAGTACAGGGTTGTAAGTTGGATTCCCAGTACCAAAAAAAAAAAAAAAAAGTCTGTCTGGCAAGGTGGTATATACTTGTAATCTCAACTATTTAGGAGGCTGAGGCAGGATGATCACAAGCTCAAGGCCAACCTGGGTAACTTAGAACCTGTCTTGAAATTAAAAACATTAAAGAGCTGGAGATGTAGCTCAGTGGTAAAGTGCTTGCCTGATGTGTGTGAGGCCCTAGGTTTCACCGCCAGTATCAGCAAAAAAAAAAAAAAAACAGAGGAAACCAGGCCAGGAAGTTTGGTCTGGGGCAGACAGGACATGGGTCTTCCCCATCCTGCCCCTCTGGTGTTCTGTATCCACAGCTCTGTTGTTGTCCCAGAAGGGCTGCTGCGGTCAGAAACAGCAGGGCAGAAGGAGCAGCTCGGGCTTTTGGGGAAGACCCATGCTGTCATATGCCTGCCTGTCCTGGCTGGAGCCTTTGACCTTTTCTTCAGAGTGTAACAGGAGGAGACTGTGACAGAGCAGCATTCCCACAAGGCACATGGTAGTGAGAGATGCTGATTCTGCCAGGCCTCCCACTCAGCACGCTCTTCCCCCGTCATGGTGACGGCGGGTGGCACAGGCCTGACTCACCAGCCTGCTGCAGGGAATCGTCAGCAGACAGAAAAACGTCAGCAGACGCCCAGGCCGAGCCTGCTCCCTCATCCACTCCCAGGAGCTCGAGCACCCTGGGTGGGAAGCGGTGCGTGTGCTGGCCTGGGCTGGCTGGCCTCCTCGCCCTCTTCCTGTGGCTGCTGTTGCCATTTCTACCACTAACTTCTCTCTTTCTGCTTCTCTGCCTTCGCTTTCTCGATGCAGTGATGGCCACGGGTAAGCGAAAAGGGGAGTTGTCAAGGAACATTTTGATCCTTCTCCCAGCCAGTCTTTACTTAACCCCAAGACTTCTCACCTTAAATTCCCAGCCCCTGCTTGGCTGAGATGGTGAGGGTAGGGACGAAGCATCAGACTCCAACCATTTCCCAGAAACCCTCACGTAAATTTTAGTGTTGAAGACGGAAGAACTTGGGACAGATTCCTCAGGAGTGGTGCCTTCCTGGTATATTTCTAGCAGCAGAGTGGCCAGTCACACACCAAGCCTCTGTCCTGGGCATTGGTAATTTTGTGGTTCCCAAGTCATAGCAACTTCCTGGAACTTCTGGGAAGGGGTGGTTTCCATTGTGACATACTGGATTTCATTAGCGATTGCTGGGAAACAGGCAGAGGATTTGGAGCAGAAAATTGGGTGACCTGCCCCTTGCTCCGGCTTTGATTTCAGAGGTGAAGGTTTCTGGGCCCCCCCAAGACCTGCAGTGACATAGGGGCTCTGGGGCAGACCCCAGAAGAGCCTGTGGGTCTTGGCCCCTTCACATTCCGCCCAGCCTGTGCTCCAGAGCCCTGTTCCAAGAGTCCCTGTGACGCACCACCTTCCTCCCTAGTCGCCCTGTACACCTCCATCTTCGGTGTGCTCCAGCTGCTCTGCCTGCTGACAGCACCTGTCATCGGCTACATCATGGACTGGAGGCTGAAGGAGTGCGAAGATACCTCCGAGGAGCCCGAAGAGAAGGATGCCACCCAGTACGTAGGCAGAGCCCAGGTTCCACCCCATCACTGAGAACGACCCCTGAAGTACATGTTAGACAGACAAGCTGCTAAAGTTTGGGAGGCAGTCAGATCAATGGAAATGGGACAAACCAGAGGAAAAAGCTGGGCACCCCCAGGATGGCCCCAGATCCTTGGCATGGGCAGTAGCGTGGGACCGTCTTAAGCTTACTTACCTACAGGGTTTGTTCTGCTCAGTGTCAACAGTAAGCTGCTACCACCAGATGTGTTGATAGGTTTGTTGATGATTAAGAGATGCAACGGGGCTGGAGCCCTGCTTTACGGAAGGGCTGGACTGTGGGATCAGAGAGTGAGTTCGCTGCCATCTTCTGCGACTCCCCCGTAGGATCATAAAGCTGCTGTTTACTGTACTAGGCCCAGGGCCTCAGTTAAGCCTCACAACACCATGAAGAGATGTGGACTGGTGTCACACCCATTCTGCAGATGCAGGAGCCCGAGAGTTTGCGTCGTTTGCCTGAGGACACATAGATAGGCATTGGTGGGCCTGGCCCTCTCTGCACATCTCCAGGGTCTTGGCATTTATTCTTGGGGGCCGTGTGACCCTCCATGGGAAGTCAGTGTGGTTGGCGAGGCTGGAATCAGTAGCAGTCAATTCACAAGGAAATAATTACAGAGAATGAATGCCCTGTTATCTAGGTCAGGCCGTGTAGCCAGCGGTACCCATCCCTGTTCCATCTGCTGAATATTTGTTTTCCCTCTACCTTCTCCTGCCCATCAAGGGATTCACTCCCTTGTCTGGCTTTCTACCCGGCTTATTCCCAGCTTCCTGCAAGATTTGGGTGAACTGGAAGCCGATGGCAAAGTGAGGCTTTGTCACTTCCTAACCAGGCATATTCTGCTCTTCCCTCCCCATCATCTGAGCTCGTTTTTCTGCCGTGAGCAGTGCAATGTTAAGGGCTGCTTTATGGTGTCAGAGATCCTCTCACTCACTGTTCAAGCAGGAAGGTGGGCCAGTAGTGTCCCCAGTGCCCTTCTTGCCCTGGGATAGTCCCCAGGGTGCGTTTGGGTGGGCTGGGAGCCTTGTACCAGTCCACATGCTGTGGCTCCCGGGCCTGGCTTCTTGGGAGGGTCCACCTGCCTCCAGGAAGCCCCCAGCTCCTGTGGTGTCTGTCTTCACAGAGGCCAGAAGAAGAAGCCGGACCGACAGATCCAGAAGATCACCAATGCCATTCGGGCCTTCGCTTTCACGAACCTGCTGCTTGTGGGCTTCGGGGTGACCTGCCTCATTCCCAATCTGCCGCTCCAGGTGGGCGTCAGGGGAGTAAGAGGCCAGCTGGGGAGTGGGGCAACAGGAAGTGTGTGGTGTTTCATGGATGCCATCAACAGAGCCAGTGTGTTCATTTGTTTTTAACCAGCCAGCCTCTGCTCTTTAGCAGTGGCCTGGTAGCTGCCAGATGTGCTCAAAGCAGGATGAGCTGTGAGGAATAGGTGGTTTTCCACACGGTTCTTCATAAAGGCGTAGGATTCTTGCTCTTAGGAAACTTCGGATAGCACCAGCACTGTCCTTCCAGGATGATGGGCAGTAGTTTCGTGTTTCACGTTTAATCAAACAGCTAGAATCTCACTTCCAATCTCAGTCTGCCATTCTGTGATGCTGGTGGGAGCGTTTACCCCACCTCCCCCCACACAAGAATGTGCATAGGAGGGAGGTATGATGGCGCATACCTGTAAGCCCAGCACGCTTGGAAGCTATGCAGGAGGATCAAAACTTCAAGCCAAGCCTGGGCAATTTAGTCTTATCTCAAAAAGGAATGCCCACAGCCCTCTACCCCTGAACAGGAATGGAGAGGCCGGAGAAAGCCTGTGATCCTGGCTTGCGATCTAGGTTCAAAGGCTGCATTCCTTTACATAAGGTCACTGGTATCTGTGAGAGATTGTAAGGGAGACTTTGTCAGGAGCCTGGCTCTACTCTTTGGTCTATGAGTATTCTAGTACCATAGTAGATTTTTGGCCCACACCCCAAGTTTACACACTCTAAAAGGATACAAGTGCTACTGCTTCCAGATGGGTGTAGCCTGAGTCCAGATGGTATCTCAGGACAAGCCCAGGAGGAAGGCCACAGAGCCTCCTTGTACACAAGGGGCCAGGTGTTGAGAGCTACGTTGAACATGCAGGTGTTCACCCACGGGATCTGTTGTGTATGTACCAGCACATGCAGAGAGTGAGCCGTGGGAGACTTGCACCAATTCCAGGTGGGAAGGTCATTGCTTCACAGGCATCCTCCCTGGTCTCCCAGGCTGCCCTGTCTGAAGACTAGTAGACCCTCTTTCCCATCATCCTGGCCCACCGAGGAATAATGCTCAGTGGGGAAGAGCCATCTCCTTTTGTTCTGCTGTGTTCTCTTTGGAGAAAAAGTTAGAAAAAGACAGCAAGGAACTTGGAATGGAGAAGAGCCTGCACAAGTGTGGGTACACATAGGTGTGCACACTGGGACACAGTGATGTCAGCCCTGGCTATGACAACCCCTGCCCCCTCCACCATCCACATTGCTGAGAGCAGGTCCTTAGCCACCCAGCAGGATGGCAAAGCTGTGTACAGTAGACCGAAAGGACAAACAGGATCCTGGTGGCAAACTCTGGGCTTCTCAGGGATCACTAACTAGGGCTCCCAGAGCTTGCTAAGTCTGTAGACTGTCCCAGAAAGGGCCCTCCTGGAGAGAAAGGAGGGCTTTGCTAGGGAGATGTAAAGAAACCACCTCCCCAGAGGCCCTGGGCAACCAGGCAGGCAGGTCTCTGGGTGAGTCTTTGGGTGACGGAGAGACTGGAGATCAGAGTTGTGTTCAGTGCGGTATAGAGACTTACTTATCTATAGACAGCTGGGAGGCCAGAAAGAAGGGTCCCTCATTTGCAGCCTTTGCAAGTGCCCATGGTGTCATCATGGCCATCACCATGGCTGACGGTAAAGCCCTACTGGGACATCACAGGATGTAACAACTCGCTATTGTGTGGTTGTTTCCACCTGACATACATTTCACATAAAACACCTTCAGAGCACAGATAGTGAAGCCTAAGAAAAGAATTAGGAAGTGATAAATTTTGGGCATGTGTTACCTTTATTTTAATATAATCTACTTAACTACAAGTTTCTATAATTGAGTTTTTAATGACTGTTTTGACAACTGAATGCAAAATTGCTAAAACTTCAACAGTTGCTTCTAGAGTCCCTCCAAGTTGCCAGAACTCCTGTGGCTTGGGACCCCAGGACCTGGGAGGCAGGGGACCGCGATAAGGTCTGGCCGTCTTCTGCTCACACTCTGCTCTGCCCCCTGCAGATCTTCTCCTTCGTCCTGCATACGATCGTGCGAGGATTCATCCACTCTGCTGTCGGGGGCCTGTATGCCGCTGTGTGAGTCTTACAAGCTTTGGGTACTCTGGTGAAAGCTGTGACCTGAGGAGGTGGGACTGAGACCCTGAGGCTGGGCCGTCCTCCCCTGGCAGAGTTTGCCTTCTGCATCAGGGCACAGATGCCAGGGTTTCTGCTGAGTGTGTCGGGAAGGCTGTACCTGGCAGGAGGTGGGTCATTGTGCAGACAGTTGAGTGCCCATAGGCCTTGGCAGTTAACACGAAGTCAGTTCCCCCAGCCAGGCTCAGTGCCCCCCAGTGCAGATGAGGATGACCTCGGGGCTACTGCTCAGCCGAGTTCTGGGGCTGTTCCAGGCTGCTCACTGGAAAGGACAGGGCTGGGTTCTGACTGCCTGGAGCTAAATGCTGCAGTTCAAATATCCCTCAACGGAGACAGCGGCACGGATAGCTGAGCCTGGAATGTTCCAGGCTGTCCTAACACAAGCCCTCCAATATCATCACCCAGGTCCTAGACCCCGGCTCTCATGAAACCTACATCTTTTTCCAAGATGTTCCTCTAAGTGGCTCCTCTTTCTTTGCCCCAGGAATTGTCCCCAAATCTGGAACCCAAGTGCCCTGCTCTGGTGTCTCTGACTGTAACAGCAGCTTATTCCTCGCATGGAGGCTGCTCCTGCACCTAGGATAGCAGGTCTCATGTTCGTTGAGATTTAGCTCAGAGGTCCCTCCCTGTTCCAACAGCATCCCACGGGGGTCATTTCAGGTCCCCTCTCCCCCGCTTTCCCCCCCCCAGGCCTGGAGGAAGTTGTGGCTGCCCTGGCAGGGTGTGCAGGAGACGAGCAAGAGCTGTGATGCCGAGTTTCCGTGATTACACAATATTCCTCTGGAGGAGGGCAGAACAGAGCCCAGCCTCCAACCTGCTCCCCGGGCCGGTTTCCCAAGCCACAGGCTCCTGTTGGCACCACATTTTCCTCACAGCTTGGCCAGACACCCATAGGACCCAGGCGCATCTTGCAGAGTGGGACCTGGGCTTTCCCGGACTCTGGGCCTTGGGCTGGTCTGAAAGGGAAACTGCAGGATTGCTTGGCAGAAAGTAATCCAGAGGCCAGAACTCAGGCATCCTGAGACTGTTCCTGTTTCTTCCTGCAGGGCCCCAAGGTGCAGTGCTGGACCACCAGCACACCTGGCCCAAACCAAGGCTGAGGCCGGGTCTGGCCTCAGTAACACTGGCTGAGACAGTCTTGATTGCCCCCACAGGTACCCCTCCACCCAGTTCGGCAGCCTCACAGGACTGCAGTCTCTGATCAGCGCCCTGTTTGCCCTTCTGCAGCAGCCACTTTTTCTGGCCATGATGGGTCCCCTCCAGGGAGACCCTCTGTGGGTAAGAAGGGTCGGGGGGATCTGTTCTGGCTGCACTCTGATTGGGGAGCTGAGAGGCCACCTCGCACAGGGCTTCAGAGTTCTGAGGACCAGCAGTTTGCAAACTTTGATTAAGTCTGAGTCAGGGTGCCCTTGTGAATGGTAGCTAGGCAAGGGAAAAATGACCTCTCTGAACCTGATTTTAGGACAAACAGAAGAGAGTTTCTAGCTGAGAACAGTGGCATATACCTGTAATCCTAGCTACTTGGGAGGCTAAGGCAGGAGGATTGCAAGTTTGAGTCTAGCCTGGGAAATTCAACAACACCTTGAAAGGAAAAAAAAGGGACTGGAGAAGTAGTTCAGTGCTCCCTGGGCTTAATCCCCAGTATGGGGAGCAAGGGAGTTCTTGTCCGAGCCCTTGTGAAAGGCCAGGGTTCTTAACCGGACCTGCTGCACCATCAACACCAGTCTCACCTTTGAGACTAGGTTGGCAGGGCCCACGTGGAAGGCTTAGGCCGTAAGGGTTCTGCTGGGTGGTCAGTGGAGAACCGTAAGTTCACCTGGATGCCGGAATGAGGGCACACAGGCCTGGAGACCCACTGAACCCTCCTGGTTCATTTCCCCCTTCCTCTCATGACCCCCTCCCCTTCCTCACACCTGAGCGTGTGTGCATGGGTGTGGGTGTGGGTGGCAGGGAGTGAGCTCAGCCCTGTGATGGCTCACTCCCTGTGATGGCTGCTCCTCCCTGTCCCCAGGTGAATGTGGGGCTGCTAATCTTGAGCATGCTGGGCTTCTGCCTGCCCCTCTACCTGGTCTGCTACCGCCGCCAGCTGGAGAAGCAGCTACAACAGAAGAGGGAAGACAGCAAGCTTTTCCTCAAGATCAATGGTTCGTCCAACCGGGAGGCCTTCGTGTAGCGCCCACTGGCTCAGAACTGTGGCCTCCTGTCTGTGCTTCAGTGACTGGCCGGTCTCCTCCCCACCCCAGAAAACCCTGCACTCTTGCAGGAGTCTCTCCTTCACCATGTCGGAGTCCACACTCCCTCCAGGGCCCTGGTTCTGCCTTGGAGCTCTGCAGTGGAAGGACAGGAGTGGGCCCAGTATGGGAAACTTTACTGGACAAAGGGCGGCCCCTGGTTCTGCTCCGCCACCCCCAAGGGACCCTGGGGCCTTGGGTCTCCATGGTACCTGCAGGAAGAGCAAGGTCACTCCCCAGCAGACAGGCTCTGGATTCTTCCTCTTGCCAAAGCAGAGGAGCCTATCATCCACTACCCACCACCTGCCCCTCGGCTGCATGCCCACCAACCACGCCTGCCTGAGGACAAAGGCTTGCACTGTCTGCACCCCCTCTCCTGGCCCCTTACCTCCTCCCCTGGCCAGTCTGCGGCTGTTTAAGGAAGGAAGGACCCGCTTCCTGTTGTTGGTGCTAACCCCTTTGTAATCCCTCTCCCCTGTGGCCTGTACGCAGCCTGTCCGCTCATGTGAGGCCTGTGGAGAAGCCCTCCTGGCTCAGAGCCTGGAGAGGGGTTGGAGGCAGGATGGCCACACTAAACCACAGAAGCCATGGACACTGACCGAGCGGCTGTCCCCCGCCTCCTCACTCAGCGTGGGGAGAGGGAATGCATTTCCACTGCCAGCCTCTGTCTAGTCTGCGACTTGATGGGCCATAGGGGCACCCTCTCCCTCAACCGACACAGCTGTTTCAGTGTGTCTGGCAGACACAGAACTCCAGGCTTGCGCAGGGAAGAGTATTGGTGAGGGGCCGGGGGTATATGTGTGTGGGGTGTGTGACATGTGTTATGTGTGAGGTGGGGTGGCCTCTAGGGCCTGCCTTTATCCCCACCAACCAGTCAGGCCTGCTGCAGAGCCTGTGTGCCTGGAGCCAGCCTAGCCTGATGGTCATCCAACAGGGAGGCCTTCCTGTAGCACCACTGGCTCAGAACTGTGGCCTCCTGTCTACGTAGCAGCAGCGCCCCCTGCTGGCTAATTCTACCACGGCCTTGAAACTGGAAGAGGCCAGGCCTCCCTGGCCACCAACCAACCTGCCCACTTTGACTGCCCTCAGAAATATGGCTGAGACCTCCTGGGTGCTCAGAGTGGTGGGTTTTGGCGTTTAGTTGTTTTTCTTTTAAGTTTTATTAGACTTCTTTTTATAAAGCAATAAATTCATTTTCCTCGTGGCAAGGGATTCCCCCTTCTAGCATATCAGCTGACAGCTGTTACAGTGCCTGTTTTGAGCTCAAGAGGAAAAGACAGGACAAGGTTCTTTGTTGCTGAGCAGCCCTATCCATACCCACCATCCTTTCTCTGGGATACCCGCCTGGGGTGGGGCTGGGCCAGGAAAAGACATTCCACATCTACCCCGGCTAAATTGGGCTTTGCAAGAGTGTGGGCCTCCCCCTCCTCTGCAGCCTGTCCAACCAACAGACTCATCCCGGCCCCTTCTCAGCTCCTACATGGATTTCCTGTTGCTGCTTCACAACCTGAGGAATCTTCCAGAGTGTAGGACACGGGTTGACCCCGGAAGAACCCCAGGCTTAAAGAACAGCGTCAGGATATTGAAAGGGACAGGAAAGCGGAAGGGGCACCCAGGCCAAAGTCAGGCTCCACAGTAACAGCCAATCACCGAGTTTCCTCAGTGCCTCTGTGCTTCAATATTAAAAATCACAACCCAGAAAATAACGAGCTGGGGGTGTGAGTGAGTAGTTGAGTGCGTGTGTAGCATGAATGTGGCTCCGGGTCCCATCCTCAACCCCAAAAGAAACAGAACAAAAACAAAGGTGGCACCTGCCTGTAACCCCAGCCACTCAGGAAGCTGAGGCAGAAGAATCGCTGAGTTCAAGGCCAGCCAGCCTGGGCTACATAGCGAGACCCGGTCTCCAAAAACAACACCCTGTATGAGCATTTTCCAAACCATTTCTCAGAGCACTGATTTTGATGTGTTAATAGTTATTCTTTTTTTAAAACATCATAGTCAACTAAAGGAAATGCTGAGTTAAAGTCAAGCCCATTTCTTTGCAGCAAATACTCAGCACTTTTTCTGCAGTCATCAGTACTGTGCCTGTTGAAACAGGTATGTACTATCAAGTACACCCCACTTGTGTGACCCCGTAGCTGCCTGTAACCGAAGCTCCTGGGCTGTTAATCTCCTGACTGCAGATTTTGGTCCCTCCAGAGTTTGAGACTCACTCGTGAACAGGGGGACAGTTTAGGGGACCACTGACTGGCAAAGTCCCTTCTAACTGGGAACATGGGCAGGTAGCCCAGCTGTCACCAGCAGCCCCTGGGCCTGGCCACCGTACCAGTAGGGTGGAGCACTTTGAGAGAAGATGCTGGCCTTGAGGAACTAGCAGTGAGAGTGGGAAACAGTCTGTGACCGGCACTGTGTGAGACTGGTAGCCTGAGAACAGAAAACAGGTAGGTAGGTTGTAGAAAAGAGGATGGGCTATAATCCCAGCTCCTGGCTGACTGAGGCTGACAGAGTTCAAGATCAGCCTGAACTGTATAGTGAAACCCTGTCTCAGACAAAAAGGGAGAAAACCAGATGGGTCAGGAACTGCCCAGTCTACCTGACTCCCCACAGGATTCACAGGTTAGAATCATTGAAACAATCTAGAGCTAAATAAAAACCACCAACTCCATTTTGCAGTTGGCAAACAGACCTAGCGAGGTGGTGAAACTTGCCTAAGGTTAGAACCAGGACTCATGTGGATCTGTAAGCCATCCGAGCAGCCAAGGCCTTGTAGACCAGGACATGCCGTTTGGAGCAGCAGCTTGGGGGTCACTCAGACCTGCGGCAGGGCAGCAATACCCAGTGAAGACAGCAAACCAGGCACCGTCTTCTAGTTGGAGCCAAAGCCACCTCAGGGTGGTGTGAGCTGTACTCAGTAGTGTTAGTGGCAGGCTTTTCTGGTCACCCCATCTGCAAGAGGAGTGCCTGAGATGGGGCCCAGGCCACAGGCTGGGAACAAGGTAGCTATAGCCATCCTTTCTGCATTTTCTCACCCCACTCCCCACCCTTGTCCTCTGTAGGCCCTAGATCCAGGCTTTGTGGTGGTTTCTTGCAGCCCTTCCAGGTCTCTGCCTGCAGCTCCCTCTGCTGGGGCTTGTCCATAATGCAGGTTCCAGCCCTCCTAAAGGCCGATAATAAGGTGCAGCCCTGAGGGACGCCTCTCCCCTGTTCCTCTTGTATCTAGCTTCCTGGCCAAATGAACTTCATGCAAACCCTCCTTGTCATGGTCCAGGCAGTCTGAGGAGTCTGCCACTCTGCTCAGGTCCCCGAGGACTCTGAAAGTAAGGGGGCATCCAACACTGGGGTCCTACAGGCAGGACTGTCCCGGACAGTGGCACAAACACAACTGGCCAAGGGAATGTCTTGGTGCCCTTGCGTGTCGGCTTGCAAGAACTGGAGCAGAACAGTTGGGGGCAGGAAGTGGTGTGGGACCTTGCAGGGTCTTCTCAGCAGATTTAGGCTCAGGCACCTTTCAGCAGTAGCTTCTTCCTCCAAAGAGAGGAACAGAGGTGTTCATGGGCTCCTAGCGCAGCAAGGAGCCTTGTCTGTGCCAGTGACTAGGACCAGGAAAGGGTAGTGGCTCACTGTCCCCAGAGATGACTGTTGGCTGTGGGCTGTGGGAGCCTAGATGGTCCTCAGGCTGCAGATCTCTCTGGGGTGCAGGGTCAGGGTGAGCATGTGGCCTTGTGACACTGGGCCCCCTCCCCTACCTCACTCTGAGCCCTGGGGTATGGACAGAGCTTCCCAAATGTCATATTGTCACATCCTCCATGAGAGTGGCCTGGCCTAGTCCCTTCCTGCCAGGATGGACCCAGCACTCGTGCCCTGGTCACTGGAATTAATCATGCTCATTCTCCTGGGAAGTTCCAAGATGAACCAGGGCCAATGATAGTTCCCTGACTGACCTTGACCCTAGCCCCTGACCTTGACCCTTCACAGAGGGAGGCTCCACCTCTGCATGCTGAAGAGAGACAAGGGAGGAGCAAAGGTTGAAGACTACCACATACTCTGGTGGTGTCCTTAGACAAGCCATTAGCCTCAGTCTCCTTATCTGTAAGATGGACGTAGTAACACCCTCATAGTGCTAAGTGAACTCACTAGCACTGCACGCATGCATTCCTACGGCTCTTACCAAGCATTTCACCAGAGGGATTATTTTCATGGCCCTGGAAGGCAGACAGCACAGTGGAAATGGCATCTCCCCCATATGACAGGAGAGAATGTGGGGTGTGGCATAAGTACCTGCCTGGCAAGCACAAGGTCGGGAGTTCAATCTCTGGGATCCCCCCTCAAAAAGAGAAAAAAGTAAGGTCTGAAAAAAGAAAATGAAGTCATTTCCTGCTGGCCTTGTTCCCCTCAGAACCTCTCCCTCAGCATAGCCTTAAGAAGTTATTTTCAGCCAAGTGGTGGGGGGCATACCTGTAATCCCAGCACTCAGGAGGGCTGAAGCAGGACAATTGCTGTGAGTTCAAGGCCACCGTGGGCTACATAGTGAGATCCTGTCTCAAAAAGCTTATTTTCTTGGTCATTTTTCCTTTCTGTCTTTCCTATTTTCATAAGACTTGGCCAAAGGACATTTCAAGACAATCTCTAAAGAGTGGGCAGGTTGGGGGCTGGGGATTTAGCGCAGCAGCATAAGCGCCTGCTTTGCAAGCACGTGGTTGTGAGTTCGATCCCTGGTACCGATAAAAAAAAAAAAATGGGCAGATTTATACTGAGTGAGGTGACTGAAATCCCAGCCACAGGCACCCCAGTGCCACCTCCTTGGGCACCTGCTTGGTCGTGCCTCTAACTCTGTGTGTGTATGTGTGCGCGTGTTATGGGTGTGTGGGTGTGCGAGTCTGAGATGTATTCTGGGCTCTTTGGGATGCGTAGTGTTTAGAGGAGTGTGTAGGAGCTTGCTTGTGTGCCTCGCCACCTGGGGGAGCAGAAAGAAGGGAGCTTACCTCGATGAATCCCTCTCCACTGCTGGAAGGAGCATCTAGGGGCTGGGTCCAGGGTCCAGGGCCCAGCCCAGCCTTCAGAGTGGTGCCTGAAGGGTTGATTCTGTTCTCTGTGCTAACCAGGGCTCAGCAGTGTCGCTGATAACTCAGCAGCTGACTGACTCTTCCCTGCCCTTTTGCTCTAGCACCTGGCTTATTCCTTGGCACACAGCAAGCACTCAATAAATGCATGCTGAGAACGACTAAAACTGCTTCTTTCTCTATAGCCCGTGGGTCCCTTATTGCCTCTAAAGGACTCTTGCCCGATTTCCTGTCGCTTGCCAGAACTGTGGTCCCTGAGCTCCAGCTCCAAGAGAGGCTGCATTTGCTGGTTTGGGCTTCTGACTGCCCTTGGAAGACACACAGGGCGGACTGGGATGAGCATGCCACCCTCGGGTGCTGGGAGGCCCAGGCTGCTGCGGCATCCCAGGCCTAAAGGGCTCCACGGCGCCTTTCCACCTCAGAGACTCCCACCAAGTTGCCACCTGCCATAGGGTCTCCGGGCTGGAGGGAGAGAGCCCCAGTAAATCGGGGAGGAGGGGACTCCCCGCTGGTCCTGCCCGAGGCCTGGCCTCCAGCCCTGTGGGGTTTAGGAGACTAAGGTACAGGGGAAGGTGAGCATGGTGGGGTGGCTAGCACAGGAAACTGTTCACGGGCCCTGCTAGACAGATGTGGGGTGTGGTGACCGTTCCCCGTCACACCTGCAGACTCAAGCTGAGCTCTGCCACATCCTGTGTTGTAACCTTTTATCTCCCACCTTTGACAGAGGAAACACAGGGAAAATATTTCCCTGGTCTAATGATAAGCTCTGCAGTCATATAAGGCAGCTTGACCTTGGCCTCCACATCAGGGATGAGAGGACTGGTGGGACCTGGAGACCGTAGATCCACCGAAGGGGACAGCTGCAGCAAGCTCTGGCCAGCTCCTGCCTTGTGGTGATGAGCCTGTGTGGCCAGATCTTCCAATTTTTGTTTTTCTTTTTTCTAAGAAAAGCTGAAAATCCTGAATTCTACAGAAAATAGCCCCCTTTCAAATGTCAGCTCAAAAACATTTTTTTGGAAAATATCACAGCTGCTCGAACCACATTTAACCCTATGTTGGTTTAACAGTGCAGGAAGCAGGAAGAGGAAGCGAAGGCCTCCTTTGGTCACCAGGGACCCTGTCCTTTCTGCCCCACAGGTGGCATGCTCGTGTCTCTCCTGCTTTACATAGTGGGTCTGCGTGGTGGGCCTCTTTCTGCCTCAGTCTCCTCTTCTCTGGTCCCTAATGAGCGTTGTCGAGTGAGCAGGTGGGTTAACTCTAGTTTGCTGAGTGGTGAGCAGTTCCTATTCAGGGACAGGGACTGTCAGAGAAGCTCTGAGGAAAGCCAGCTCGCCCTCGCTGCTGAGTCCCTGTCCAAAGACTGTGGCTGGAGGAGGAACTGGGCAGCAGGGTCCTGTGTGGCTCTGTTCTCTTGTCTGGCGTTTCCCCGCAGAAACAAATGTTCCTTGAAAGCTGGTGCATCCCCTACCTTGGTCTCCGTCCTTTGAATGGTGCCTGGCATGGAATAGCTAGCTACTTAGTGGATAGTCTAGCTATAAAATGTAGGCAGAGATAGACAGAAATAAACAGCGAAGAGCCTGAAACAGACTGAGGCTGGAGAGGAGCAGGCTTTCAGCAGCCAGAAAAGGACTGAGCATAAGATGGAAAGAGTGAAACATAGTCTCTCTGAGATAGGCAGAGATGGGTTACAGGTGTGGCTGTACCCAGGTTACAGCAAGGGCCAGCCAGCCAGGACAGACTACCTGGGCTAGAACCAGGAGCTCACACAGAGCGGGGACACACACACACACACACACACACACACACACAGAGGATGCATAAGCTAAAGGCACAAAGCCCCGAGTAGGGTAATGAAGACTAAGCCTACAATGGGTAGGGGTGGGAAAACAGAAGGAGAAAGGCCTGAAGGCAGTAAAGGGAGGTAAAGAAAGAGAAATGCAGTCAGGCATGGTGGCACATACCTGTAATCCCAGCACCTGGGAGGCTGAGGCAGGAGGATCACCACTAATTTGAGGCCAGTCTAGGCTGCATATCAAGACCCTGGTTTTAGGGGCTGGGGATTTAGCTCAGCGGCATAAGCGCCTGCCTTGCAAGCAGGCAGTCGTGAGTTCGATCCCTGGTACCGATAAAAAGGAAAAAGGCAAAAAAAAAAAAGACCCTGGTTCAAAAACAAAGAAAGACATTGAGAAATGGGAGAGGAAAGACAACAGATATGTGGACTCTCCGTGAGGGCAAAGAGAGAGAAAAAGCACAGAAAGAGACACAAACGAGATAAACAGAAAGGAGAGACATATTACAAAGGAAGTAAGTGGGTTCTGCTAGAGACTGATACAGGGTTAATATAGGACCTCTAAATAATCTAACATAAAGAAAATATAATTTCCAACCTGTTAAAATCCAATATGCCGAGTTTCTGTTTTCTAAAATTGAAGAATGAATTCTAGGGGCTGGGGATTTAGCTCAGCGGCATAAGCACCTGCCTTGCAAGCAGGCGGTCGTGAGTTCGATCCCTGGTACCGGTAAAAAGAAAAAAGAAAAAAAAAAGTATGAATTCTAGGAACAACAAAGGTATAAAATTATATACATTTACTGGGAGAAAGAAAGCTTCTCGCTAAGAGAGGAGGAAGGGATCTCGAGCAGGCTGCCAGGAATCTTGGCTTTCGGGGAGAGTTTTATAGAGAAAATTCACAAGGTGAGGCAGGTCTAAAGTGAGACAAAACTATAATCAACTAATAAGATTATGAGCATGGTCACTGTGGCCCAGCACCTGCCTGGCAAGCGTGAGGTTGTGAGTTTGATTCCTGGTACCAAAAACCAACCAAACAAACAAACAGAAAAACTGATCCAATGGGAAGCCATAAGGTGGATATGAGGTGGGATAAAACTATGGGCAACCAATAAGATTACAAGTATAGTTGCTGAGGTAATACTGATTAAATAGGGCTCAGATGGGGAAACAGTCACATAGTAAGCTCTCTTAGGCCGAAAGGGACTTGTCTAGAAGGGAGGTTTTGATTGATACCTGTTTAGAATATCAATCACTGCTGTTCCTCCTGTGGAGAAGTATATAGGCATAGTCAACCTATCTTTTGTCTTGAGCTCTGGCCTTCAATGAATGCGCCCTCACCTACAGTTGTAAGGAATCTATACTGACTGCTTTGAGGGCCTAACTCTGCCAGACTGTCTATCATATTTCTAAATTACTTAGCTGCCTATAATAAGCTGACACTGGGACAAGTGTGGCACTGCACACCTGTAATCCCAGCACTTGGGAGGCTGAGGCAAGAGGATCACTGTGAGTTTTTGGCCAGCCTGGGCTACATATGAGTTCATGTTCAGCCGGACCTAAATAGCAAGACCCTGTCTCAAAAAAAAAAAAAAAAAAAAAGATGGAGAAGTACAGATGTAGCTAGAGAGAGTGGAAGCAGGCAAAGAAAGACACAGAGAGACAGAACAGGAGGATCTCAAGTCTGAACCCAGCCTGGACAATTTAGCAAAATGCTGTGTCAAAATAAAAGTAAGGGCTCAAGATCCTGAGTTTGATTCCTGGTACCAAAATAATAAAATAAAACAAAAAGGCTCATTATATAACTCAGTACAAAGGCCCTGAGCTCAATCCCAATACCACACACACACACACAAAATAAATCACATAAAGACAGGAAGATAACGATAACACTCCCAAGTCGCTTCTTTCTCTTTCCTCTCTCAAGCCTGAACCACGGGGATGTAGTTCTGAGGGGCAATGTTCCTTCCTTCAGAGCCTTTCCCCACCATAACATGGAGATGGGCCGTACACTGTGCTTTATATACAGCACCTCGTCTAACGAGTTTCCACAACTCACAAGTGTCAGGCAGTCACTTATTATTATCCCCATTTTACAGATGAGTAAACTGAGGCACAGAGACTGAGGAACTTGCACAAGGTCACACAGATACAAAACACTGAGGGAGTGGTGGTTCCCAAGGGGGTGCAGCTGGAGAAAGAGGTGGCTCTGTGTTTGCAGGCTAACCCCATGCATAGGGTTACTGGAATAAAGAGATGCAATCTGAACAAAAAGACCTTGTTTGCATACCAAATTTCTCTAATAGAAATGACAATATAAACATTTTGTTTGTCTGTTTGTTTTTGAGATGAGGCCTTGCTATGTAGTTCAGATGGCCTTGAACTCACTGGGAGCCCAAACTGGCCTCAGCCTCTTTGAGTAGTGGGATTATAGGTGTATATCGCCATGCCTGGAGGGAGGGGAAATCTGAATATGACCTGGGGAGAAGATAGCAACAAAGTAGAGCCAGATAGAATTGCACACAACAACTGTAATCTCTGCACTGTGGGAAGCTGAAAGTTTGAGCCCAGCCTGCACATCTTTCTTTCTTTTTTGAAGGAGGTGGGCAAGACAGTGTCTCACTATGGTTCAGGCTAGTCTCAGAATCACTGTACAATTCCCAGTAACTATCCCTGAGACAAAAAGAAATCACTGTGTAGTTCAGCTGGGCCTCCAATTTGCAGTGATCCTCTTGGCCCACCCTCCTGAGTACTGAGATTACAGGCATGCACCACCATGCTCAGCTCAGCTTGGACAACTGTTTAGAACTTGTTTTATTTATTTATTTATTTAGGTCTTTTTCCTTTTTATCGGTACCTGGGATCAAACTCATGACTGCCTGCTTGCAAGGCAGGCGTTTATGCCGCTGAGCTAAACCCTAGAACTTGTTTTAAAACAAGTCCCAACCCCTAGAACTTGTTTTAAAACAAAAAATATAACCAGGTGTAGCAGTGCACAGGGAGGCTGAAGAAAGATTGTTGTGAGTTTGAGACCAGCCTGGGCTACAAAGTGAGTCCAAGGCCAGGCTGAACTGCATAGGGAGACCCTGCTTCAAAAAGACAAAAAAATAAAAATTTAAAAACCTCCAGTGACACACACACACACATGGGTGCACACACACGTGTGCTTGCACACACGCATGCACTCTACTTCAGCCTCTGCCCCCAACTCAGCCTAGGTAGGACTCTGCATGCAACTTTGCCCACACTAGCTTCTTTCAGAGAGGCAGTGCTCGCTTGCTTGGCTTATCTGGCTCAAATCCCCACTTCAAGAGGACATAGGGGAAATTTGAGGTGTCAAATACTCTGAGTTTGTGTCCCCTGAAATCAAAGAATGAATTCTGAAGAATAGTGGAGATTGGGAGTAGGGAAATGTATTGGAGAAAAGTAATGGAGGGGCTGGGGATTTAGCTCAGCAGCATAAGCGCCTGCCTTGCAAGCAGGCGGTCATGAGTTCCATCCCTGGTACTGATAAAAAAAAAAAAAAAAAAAAAGAAAAGTAATGGGGACTAGGAATAGCTCCTGAGGGACAGGAGGGGTCCTGATGGGTTGTTGACAGGCCCACCTCTCAAGCATATTTTATAGAGCAAAATCATGAGATGGGTACAATGTGGGTCAATATTATGATCAATCAATATTATTGCAAATATAGTTGCTCAGATAACATTGATCTAATGGTAGGAAGGGTACATAGGTGGTATTAATCTTGATCAATAATCTATAGTTTTAGTCTTGCCTTTAGTCTTAATAGGCTTTCCCCACCCCCATCCCATTTTTATGAGACAGGGTTTTGCTATGCAGTTCAGGCTGGCCTTGAATTCCGTTTGCAACCCAAACTGGCCTCAAACTCCATTGATCCTCCTGCCTCAGTTTCCTGAGTACTGGGATTACAGGTGTGTGCCCTCTTACCTGGCAGTCTTAGTGGTATTAGTCTTAGTTGCAGTAGGTGGGAGAGGATGGCTTACGCCAATGAGATAATGGGAAATCTCAAAAGGGACTGATACCAATAATCCTACACTTCTGTTTATCCCTTAGGGAAGCATGCATGTCTAGCCTTTGTGATTTTAATCTTCAGGTGCACCTCCAACCATAGTCCTGATGCTTTTTTATCTTCTGCAATGACTCCCTCAAGGGTCCAACCCTGACTGGCTACTATGTTTCCGTCTAATTTATACTTTAATACTTCTGTCTTTAATACTGAGATGCTGGGGCTGGGGATTTAGCTTAGCGGCATAAGCGCCTGCCTTGCAAGCAGGCAGTTGTGAATTCAAGCCCTGGTACCAATAAAAAGGAAAAAGACCAAAAAAAAAAAAAAAAATTGAGATGCTTCCACACCCCTCCAGCCTGCTCCAGTGCTAATGCTACAGTCGTACACGGCCACCTGGCCTGTAATCTCCTTTGGGCTAGTGACTATTTTCTCTAAGTGTAAGCTTTCTCCAAGAGAACAGAAGCTGCTTCTCATAGATTTTGATGGTTTGTTTGGTTTTTCATTTCCCTCAGTACCCAGGTCTCACCTTGCCTCAACTCTTTGTGTGTGTGTGTGTGTGTGTGTGTGTGTGTGTGTGTGTGTACCAGCATTCGAACACAGCACTTTGTGCTTGCCAGGCAGACACTGTGTCACCTCTGCTCCTACCAACTAAGGAGCTAGCTATCTTGGCCAATAATTGCTCTTGTTTCCAGGTCTTAGTCTAAACCTGGACCAGGACCGTCCCTGCTCACCCAACCAATGTAATCCATCAAGGCAGATCATCTTCGGGAAATTCAGCTTTCTTATAAAATTTGTACTCCTAAAGGGCCAAGGATTTAGCTCAGTGGCAAAAGTTCCTGCCTGGCAAATGTAAGGTTCTGAGTTTGATTCCCAGTACCAAAAAAATTAAAAATAAAAATAAAATTCGTGGCTTCTGAAAGTCATCTCTGTATTTGTTTATATTATGATTTCCTTCATGCAGCACAGGAAAGACTTTGTTTTGCTTGGTCACCCCTGTGCCTAGAAAAAACCCTAGGACAGGGCCAGGTACTCAATCAATATTTATTGAGTGAAAGTGTAAATGTTTCCCCAACTAGACTGCAAGTTCCCAGGGGGCAGGATTTGGTTACTTCCTGGAGACAGCCAGGGCAGAGCACTTGTTAGAGAACAGTTCACTGATACAGTGGAGGAAGGACAGCCCTAAACTGGGGTCTGGGCCAGGGATGGCAAATCTTTTAGAGCTTTGAAGGATAACAAACTGCCCCGAGCATAGGTTCACCACCATTGGTACTAATCTCTTTCTTTTCTTTCTTTGTTTCTTTCTTTTCTTTTCTTTTTTTTTTTTTTTTTTGAGGCAGGGTCTCACTATGCAGTTCAGGCTGGCCCTGAGCTCACTTTGTAGCCCAGGCTGGTCTCAAACTCACAAGGATCCTCTTGCCTCAGCCTCTCGCATGCTGGGCTTACAGGCACATACCACCACTCCTGACTTAATTATTATTTTTCAAGACAGGGTCTCGCTATGGAATTTAGGCTGGTTTGGAACTCAGTCATGGAGCCCAGGCTGGGCTTCAATTTTTGGCCACTTCCTGCCTCAACCTCCCAAGTGCTAGGACTAAAGATGTCTGCCTCAGCCTCTTGAGTCCTGAAATTACAGGCATGTGTCACTACGACTGACTTTTCATTTTAAAGTTTGAAACAGATCTTGCTAAATTGCCCAGGCTGTCCTAGAATTTGCGTGATCCTCCTGCCTCAGTCTCCTGGTCACTAGGATTATAGGTGTTCACCACCATACCTATCTTCTTGGCGTTCCCTTAAAGAGTATAGCTCTTTCTGGGGGCAATCTGTGCTCCCACTTCAGGATTTAATGAATGAGTGGCCAACACGTGCAATGCTCTCAGAGATCCTGGGCACCAGTGTTGGCTGGACAGCAGCGTGGCCACTGGCTCTACCTTTCCTTCTGGCAGCCCTACCTTGGCATCCCACTCACCGTCTCCCCCAGATGCCTGGAGAAGGGTCCTTCCCTGGGATCATTCTCTCTCTTTGCCAACCTGCCTGCCTGTGTTCTCACTGCAGATGAGACTGTCCACTCAGGCTCTCAGGCCAGGGTTCACCTCCTCTTTCCCTGTCACCCACTCAGCGATTTTTCAATAACCTTCTGAGCGCTCCCTGGACTTCTGCAGCAGCTTCCTTCTCTTGAGCCTCCAGTCTGGTCTAGTCCATCCTCCTTTTACTCCTCTCCTGGCTCCAGCCTTCAGAGTGAGGCTTCACACACACTAAACCTGCTCAGGTCACTGCTCAGAACCTTTAAATGCCTCTTATAACCCTTATGGCAGACTCCAGACACTTACTGTCACTCACCTGGAACCTACAGATACAGAGGAAATGTTAGATGTCAGATACTCAGAGTTTGTGTCCCCCAAAGTCGAAGAATTAATTCTAAGGAACAACAGGTTAAGAGTAGGAAAATTTATTGGGGAATAGGAATAGCTCCTGAGAGACAGGAGGGGTCCCAAATGGCTTGCCAATGTGCCCTCTTCTTTAAAAGGAGTTGTATAGAGCAAAATCATGAGGTAGGTTCAGTGCGGGTCAAAATTATGATCAATTAATAGGATTACAAGCATAGTTGCTTAGGTAATATTGATCCAGTGGTAGCAAGGGCGTATGGATGACATCATTAACCTTGGTAGATAATCTATAGACTGGGTTTTAGATTAGTAGCCTTACTTTTAGTGGATGAGGGTGGCCCTCCTATAATGAGATAATGCTTTATTTATATGGGAAATCTCAAAAGGGTGGTGCCAATAATCTCAAACTTCCATTTATCCCTTAGGGAAATATGTAAATTTGGCCTTGTTACTTTAATCTTCTTCAGATGGGCCTCCAGCCACAGTTATGACGTGTTCTCATCTTCTGCACTGACTCACTCTAGGTGCAATCCCTGTCTGCCTGCCTACTATATTTCTACCTAGTTTTGCTGTCTGTAATACTACCTCTTCCCCTACCTCTCCCCAGCTCCCAAACTCTATGCTTTATGGTGCACCTATTTCTCTCAGTCCCCACTTGCACTCTTCTTGTTTTTGTTTTTTTGAGACAGGGTCTCCCTATGTAATTCTGGTTGGTCCTGAACTGTGTAGCCCTGGTTGACCTTGAACTCACAGCAATTCTCCAGCCTCAGCCTCTCATGTTGGGATTACGGGTGTGTGTGCCACCAGGCTCAGGCACTATGCTCTTCTTGCCTACAGCTTCTGCACTCCCTGTCTGCTACACTCTTCCTCCTGAACCTCTTGCAGGTCTCAGCCTAGTTTTCCTCCAGAATAGTCATCTTTGACTATATCACTCACACTCAATTAGGCGCCCTCCCCCACACCTGCGGTTTTCACCTCTCCCAACCCTTCCCATTGTAATTGTCTGACTGTATCACCTCCAGCCATTGATTGCTCACTCCTCTCTTGACTCTGAATTCTTTCAAGGCTCCAAGGTATCTCTGCCTGGTGCAGGCTCTGGCTCTCAGCAGGTACTTAGCAAATATTTATTGGATGACTGTTGGGTTAAAATCTCAGCTGCATCACATTCCTGCTGCAGACGGGCATGTAAATTGGGACAGTAACAATACTTTTCGAGTAAAGTTGTGAAGACTCCAATACTTAAGAGGATAACTTGCACACACAGTTGGTTATTGATTTTTTTTTAACATAACCTTTACCTGGCCGTCAACCCACGCACCCAGGAGGCTCAGGCATAAAAGCACAGCCCTTCCACCTGCACCAAAGAACTCAGCTAACACCCTGCTGGACATCCCGGCGTGTACCTCGCCTGCTTCGCGGCTTTTGCGCACGCCCGAGGCCCACCTGGCACGCCGGTGCCATCTACGTGGCCCACTTAAGGACGGCAGGGGGTGGGCCCGGGAAGGCCCCGCCTCTGCGCTGAGGTCAGCGCGCTCCGGGCGTGTGACGCTCTGGTTGCCGCAGAGACGCCCCGCCCCCGCGCGGCGCTGCGGAACCGGAGCTCCGGGCGGCGTCGGAAGCTGCACGGGAGGCGGCGAGGCCGGGACGGCAGCAGTCGGCGCGGCTGCCGCAGCGAGAGCGGCGGGGACGGAGCAGACCACGACGAAGGCGCACAGGCAGCCGGGCCGGGCCGGGCCACGGGGAGAGCGGCCGCCAGGAAGCGGGCGGGAGGCCGGGCAGGCAGCGGGCAGCCGCGGAGCCGCGGAGCGACATGGTGCTGCTCAAGGAGTAGTGAGTGTCCGGGCAGCCGTGCGGAAGCGGGGAGGAGGGGAGGGTCGGGGATGACGACCGGGAGGGCCGATGGCCCTCCGGAGGGCCAGGCCAGCGCGGATGTGGCTGCGGGGCGGCTGGGCAAGGGCGGACGGGATGTCGGGGGCCAGGCAGGGCCTGAGTGGTGCCAGCGGGGCTGGAGAGACCCGGACGGCACGTGAGGCGGGGCCCGGGGGGCCGTGAGGGCCGGAGAGGCCTAGCGGGAGGCCGAGGAGACTGCGAGGGATGGACAGGGCCTGAGATGGGGCTGGGGGACAGTGAGGACCGGACAGGGCGTGAGGAGGGGGCTGAGGGAATCCAGAGGACTGGGGGAGACGTGCGGTGGTCGCACAGTGGAGGCTGAGGGGTGGCGAGGCCAGCCGGAACTGCTGGAGGGGCTGAGCGCTGGCGGGAGACAGAGTTGTCGTCCCAGGGCCCGGGAACAGCGGGACAAGGGCAGGTAGGTCCCGAGAGCTGCCTTCTGGTCGGGAGGTGTTTGAGGGGCTGATCAGGCTGGAATGGGGAAGATCAGATAAGATAGATCATAGAATGGAGCAGAGACGATGGGAGGAGTGCTAGGTGGAACCTGGAGTGTGGATAAGTGACTGACTGCCTCAGGCAGCAGGGGCAGGATTATAATAAGTGGTCACAGGACAAGGACTAGTCAGGGCCAGGTTTGGGTGACAGGGGAAGGAACTTAGAACAGAACAGGCTGAGATAAAGGGAACTGAAATGACATGGTGCCCAGATGTTAGGCTGAGCAGAAGAAGAGTGATTTTAGGAAAAGCTTGAGATGACTGCTTTGTACTCTGGGCCTCGTGTGTTAGAAAACCGGAATATATTTGTGTGAATGTATGTGTTAGCAAAGGCGGCTGAGACCAGGACAGGCCAACCTGTCTCTACAGATTGTTTTGTCCAGTGCAAAGAGATGGGGAAATTGCTCTGAGGAATTGAGATTTCCATATAAGCCATTAATTGAGGAGAGATAGTAAATGATTTGTAATGTCTTGATAAAGAACGTGATTTTTCAAAGGAATTGTAAGAAGGAACAAATACTTACTCTTGAAATCCAGGGGACTGAAGACAGGTGGAAACTATTCAAATGGCTAAATCCTTCAAATGCAAAGTGATCCATTCTTGAAGCTTGTGGTTCCAAGAGCACAGGATTTTTTTCTTGCCCCCAAAGTGTGTGATTGAATGTGTGTGTCCAGAATTTACAGTGAAAGGGTCTTTCTGGAGGGAGGGTAAGTGGCTAGTATTGGGATAGAAGCCCAGGAGGTCCACTTGGGAAATGTCCAAAGAGAGAGAAACTTACTGAGCTCTCTGGGCAGCCAGGCAGGTGTGCAGAGGGTTCTTTCTATTTTGTCAGTGAAGTCATTTTGTCCAGCCCCCTGTAGTTTGCTTCTTGGAGATGTTTAGGACATTTAGGAACATCAACTTGAATAACAAAAAAAGCAGAGATTTAGGTGCCATCCAAGCTTGGTATCTTGTGTGAATGTGACTTGGAGGCCCTGTCACCTCTGTTTCTTGACATCTGGTCTGATACTAGTCCAGCCAGAGCTGAGTTTTTGTGGTGAGGAGGAAGAATTTAGGATGCCAAGATTTTCCAAGGAGAAGATGGTGCGCTTTGCATTTTAATCTTTGGTGTCCAAACTAAAAATTATTCTCTGTTCTTCTGATCTTTTTTCCTATTCCCAGATGAATCCTAGAATCTGTAGAAATAATGCAGTTTTGAAAGGAGGGGAAGGGAAGGAAAGGTCCTCAGAAGAGAAGTGAGTTTTGAAGGGAGTTACTCCTTTCCGATGCTTTGTTCTTCCTTTGAAGCCCACCAGAAAAGGCCCACAGTAGCCAGATGCAGAGCTGACCTAGCATCTGCGTTTCCTTCCTGCTTAAATTGTACCTCGTGTATAATCCTGGGCTAGGGACAGGGCGGAGGACACATCTAGAGATGCTTGGCTGAGGCTGCAGAGCTGCAGCTCCAGGAAGGATGTGAGTGAAGGTCACACTATAGTGAGCGTGGCTCTAGTCTCAGCCCAGCTGTGCTTCTGTGACTCTGTCCTTTGGAATTGTACCCTACTGCTCCCGAAGTGGTTTTGTTCCCAGGGAGCATGGGAAGAATGTTAGAGGTGTACAGCTGTGATGGAAGCAGCCCCAGAACATCCTGTGAAGAATGAATTGGCCCATGCCAATTCTCAGGACAGGGGCTGCGTCTATTGATGTTTTTGACACTTCCTGCAACAGGATTCTCCTTGATTTGATTTCTGCAAATTGTTAAATGTGATTTCTACTGTGTATTTGAAGATAAAAGGCATATTGTTTTCTAGGAAGTTTTGTCTGAGGGTGCAGAAATTCTGGCCTCCAGGTTGGGAGTATTTTCTGCACTGTTGGCTTTCTGCTGCCGGAGGAGAGTGTTAGTGGCAGCCTCCAATAAACTGGAGGATTTACACTGAGTCCTTCTAAAGGAGGGAGTTAGCAGGCAGTGAAGAGTTGGAGCCCGTTTTGTTTTTCCTGCTACTTTTTTGGTGCCTGGCCTTTACTGTGATGTTTTCCTCAGATCCCTCTGTGTCCTTCTTGCTTCCTGGGGGACCTTTGTGAGACTGAAAAATAGCAAACTATTTAGCAGTCTAGAGCAAAGAGACATGCTTGAACCCAATGTGTTGCATAGGAAAGAGGACATAGCTCATGCTTCTCCAAGCAGGCTCACAAGATGCAGAAGGGTTCAGAGGGTTCCAGCAAGGCTCTGAAGACTATGACTCTCAGCTGGAGAACTGCCTTATTTTGTGGAGTACAACCAAGTCTTTTTTCAGTGCTTGCACCTAACAGTATAGAACTGGGGGTGGCCTTTAGTCGGAGTTAAAATGCAAGCCACTTGCAGAAGTGCCAGTAGCCCTCTGCCCTCATTTAGACATCTCCCCCTGGTGGCGACTTTGCTGGCCTTGGCTTCTCCATTAGGTTATTGGTGGTCTCTCCAACAATCAGTGGTCAGTGAAATGTAGAAGAGAAGAAAGTGATCAGTCAGAGTGTCTTTGGGCAGCTTCTGGAGGTCATTGACATTGGGGTGTCCTCTTGGAAGCTACATAGCTGTAGCTTATATTGAACTGTCCTGCCCCAGAGCAGAGATGGTTGGCCTGGGCCTTTGGGGTGATTAAGTCCCCAGGGGACTTGACCCCTGCCTAGCCTTTCACCTGGAGGGTGTTTTCTTGGTAGTTGGGTCCACAGAGATGCAGATCACAGATCACCAGGGCCTGTCATTTTGGGTCTCAATTCTCACTGTGGTGGGTCCTTCTTTGTTAACCTCTCTGTTTTACTAGACTCATTAGCAAGTCTTGTTGGAGAAGAGATGGGTGAGGGAGCGGGAGAAGAGGACAGCTCCACATGTGAGTCAGAGGCCTGGGAAGTAGCTGGTGGGGGACTGGGGTTTACACTGAATCACGGGGTTCTAAATGGGATTCCAGAAGGGCACCCAGGTCCTGACCTGCTGGGCTTTTGTCAGTGAGGATAGAGTCATGCAGCAAAACACCGTTCTGACCTGATGCTTGAAGAACCTGAAGTTGACGCTCTTTTCCTTCTCTTGTAGTCGAGTCATCCTGCCTGTGTCTGTAGAAGAGGTAAGTTCTTTTTCTTTCTTATCCATTTGCCCATAAGAGCTTGTGACCACTGGCTCCGTTGGGCTGAGAGTAGCATACCCTCTGTACAGTTCTTGTGTTTGTTCTAACCTAGAGATAGCCAGTGCCACTTTTAATTGCAGGAAGGCATTTGCTTGGTGTATCTGGTGAGCTGTTACCATGCTGGATGACTCTGATGAGACACCAGCCCAGCTCTTTGGGGGTGTTACTGATGGGATTAGGTGTGCATTTTGGGGGACCTCCGTGAGTTGCCTGGGAAGTGGGCATGGCTCTTTCTGGTTGTGCAATAAACCAGTAGTAGGGCCAGAAATCTGAGGTCCTCCCTAGCCATGCTCGGTGATTGCTGGAAAGACCAATGCACAGAACCCTCCTTTTACGGAGGACAGAGAATGACAAATGGGCTTGGCTTGTTCTCTGTCCTTTTATGGTGGCTGAGTCTGACGTCCCACTTTGTGGGGATCTGGCAGCAGCCTTTGCCCCAGAAGGTTCATAGGTCATGCTGACTCAGAACTGTGTCCTGGACAGCAGAAAGCTGTCATGGAGACTCCCTGGTCTCACCCTTTCTCTGAACTTCCTCCACACTCCTCTTGGCATAGTCTTGTTCTTCTGAATCCACAGGCCCCACCCCAGCTTCCGGTGAAACTGGAGTTTGGGTGAAGTTTGTCAGCCCTTGTGGTGCTGTCTGTCATTGGGCTCCATCTGTTTTGGTGCCAGCAGGAAGCTCCAGTGATAACTTCCACTCTGTTCCAAACGGAAGCTGGACCTTTGAAAAATCAAATCAGGACAGCAGAGCCCACAGCCCTTTTTAGATAAGACAAATATCCAGGTTTCCAGATACTCAAGTGGGATGGGCAGTCTTTAGCCCCGTAAGTGATGTCTCCAACAACTGAATGGGCTGTATGATAAGAGTTGTGGAGACCTGGGAGAGGGGAAATGAGTTGAATTTGAACATGACCTGGAGGCTCTTAAAGGATGAATAAGGGAGATAAGATTTAAGTGGGTGTGGTGGTACATGCTTGTAATCCCAACTACTTGGGAGGCTGAAACGGGATCATTTGAGCCCAGGTAGAGTTTAGTGATTTGTAATATCCAATCTTAAAGTAAAAAAGTTAAAAAGAAGATTGTAGTGTTAAGGCCCCAGGTTTAGTCCCCAGTAACACACAGACAAATAAATGACAACCAACGATTGGAATGCAAGCTAGAGGGTCTAGAGTGTCTGTTGCTCTGAAATTTGGTGGTAGTTTCTTTTCTGGAGTGGGGATAACCACTCGCCCTCTTGCTATACAGCATCACCCCCTCAATTCAGTAAGATACCTCCTAGAAATTTGGGGTTTCCTCAGTGTGGTATCTTGGGACAGAATGGGTCTTTTTTGGGGGGAGGGGTACCGGGGATCGAACTTATGCTCATGCTTGCCAGGCAGGTGCTTATGCCACTGACCTAAATCCCCAGCCCCAGAATGGATCTTTTTAACAGGAACGTCCTTGATAGAATGCAGGGTGAGAATGTCTAAGAAGGCCCCAAACTAGGAAAGGCTAGAATAGTCCAGTAACAGGTACCTCTCGGCTGCTCTGCCACAGGCAAGCAAGGCCAGAGCCCTGATTGTTAATAATAGATCCAAGAGTACAGGGAGAGGGAACTCCCACGTTGAGAGCTTCCACAGCTGGCAGTTTTTAACCGGTGGTGGTTTTTTCTAGGTTTGAGGAAGTGGCTGGACAGGGCGGGGTATTCGGGTATTCTGAGCCTAAAGTCTAAGCAAAAAACTTGCAGTGCTGGTTAGGATTCATCTACCTGTATTGATGGTCAGCGTGTTCTTGATAAGAAACCATTTATAAAGGCCAGGTGTGGTGATACACCTCTGCACTGGAGGTTGAGGTAGGAGGATCCCCATGAACTCAAGGCCAGCCTGAACTACACAATGAGACGGTCTCCACACAGTAAGCCAAGTGTGGTGGCATAGCCTGTGATCCTAGCACTAGGGAAGCTGAGGGAGGAGGGGTGGATTATGTGAATTCTGAGCTAGCCTGGACTACACAGTGAATTTAAGACAAGCCTGAATGACAGAATGAGAGGCTGTCTTTAAAACAAAAAAAAAAACTGAAGATGGGGGGACCCCTAGGTTCAATCCTTGTCTCAAAAAAAAAGCCCCCACAAAACAAAAACCATTGACAAAACTGCCTGACCTAGTAGGGTTAAAGTTGCTCTTTTAATGACTTGAGCCTTACTTCCAGGAGATCAGAAAATTCTTGAATGGGGAAGCAAATGAAGTAATGATTGACCTTCTCAAGAATCCTTGTCAATAACCCCCGTGACTCACAGTTCCCATGGGAACAGCCCAGAATCATGTCATTGGTGGATTCACTTCCTAAATTGGAGGCCATGACTTAAGGGCCTTGGAGTTTCTGTTTTGTAGGAGAAAGAGAAAAAAGAAAAGAGGTCTTGTCTGTATAATCATCCTGATGGCCTGAATCAATATTGAGGGGAAGAATTAGCTTTTGGCAACCAGAGTCTTTGGTCTAATACTGCCTGGGTTTCTTCTCTTTTCTTCTCTTTCCATATCTTTTCTTTTTGGTACCTGGAATCAGACTCAAGACCTTGCAATTGCTAGGTAGGCGCTGTGCCACTAAACCATATCCCCAGCCCCTGCCTGAGTTTCTGGACATCTCCAGCACAAACAGAAAACACTCTGGCTGTCTGACATGGGTGTGTCCACCTATGGGTTCTGGTTTAGGCCAGCCCACCTTCTGCTATGGGCTGGGCTGTTTTACTTCTTGTTTCCAGAGATTCATGGCACCACCCTCCTGTGGTACCTGACCTGATAGCTCATGTGCTTGGCATCAGCAGCTGTATTGTCGGTTTTCATGTCATGTTCCATGTCAGCATTTCTGGCCTACCCACTACATGTATGTTCCCAAGCTTTCACTGCTAGATTGCCAAAGTGGTGGGACCTCTTGTTTTTCTTACCTTGTTTTTTCATTGTGTTCTCTACTCTCTTTTTCTCTCTGTGTCTGCCTCTTTGTCTCTGCCTTTGGGGATAGAATTTTACTTTGTTGCCTAGACTGTCCTTAAACTCATGGGTTTAGGTGATTCTGCCTCAGCCTCCCAAGTAACTGGGACTATAAGCACATGTCACTGTGCCTGGCATGTTTCTGTGTTTCCTAGCTGAATGTTTTAGTTCTTGAGGACAAGGGAACAAATCTCAAGGGTCAGGGAGCATTGTCCTATGCCTACTATGCTGGAATCATGACCTCCTTGAGGTTCCTTGTCTGATTTAATGGTTGGACTCCCACCTCTACTGCTACCTAGCGTGAGTCTGGCAGTTTTCCCAAGGTGCAGAATATCTGTGTCAAAGAGAGCCCTCTGACATGGGAAGTGTTCCCCATTGTAACTTGCCCAGGCCAGTATTACTGCTTCGGATTAACCAATCTGCCTTCACCTGTCTCATTGAGATTAAAGGATCAGAATATCAAGAGAGATTAAAGGAGTAAGATGCCATCCAAAGGACTGATCCTCTTAGAGCCTGCCCTCTGATTCCTGCAGCTGAGGAGAGACCCAGTAAAGTCCATTAGTCTTTGCCTAGAAGCCTCTTCCCCAGGTAGCACCATGATCTGGCAACTGGATCCCAGCAACCAAACCTTCTTCCCAGTCTGCTTTTTAGGATGGCTGAGTTGGTGGTTTGATCCCTGTGACTGTTTCCAGAAACAGTTCCTGCTTCTTCTTAGGGACCCCTGGCTTAGCAGACCCTGAGCTACTTGTGGTGAGGGTTTCACTTTCAGCTGAATGGTGAAACTGGAAAGGCACAGGGACAGTCTGGGGTTCTGTGAGACACTGAGGCAGCACTGGCATTGCTTAGATTTGCAAGGTCAAGGTGACTGGCTCTCATCCTGTTGTTCCTCTTTGTGGGATTAACTGAGCCTTGATCACTTGTCTGGGCCTTTCCTTGGCATTTTGTATGTGTTTTTGCTTTGGAAATTAGGGCTCTTTCAGCTTTGTGGTGACTAGTGAATTGTCGTGGTCTATGCTTTCCCTTCCAGATTGTCCCCAGAAATGTCCCTTAGGAGGCTGCTATAAAACAGGCTTCCAAGTGTGAGGGGACGTAGCCCTGAAAGCTGCTGTGTTGTTTTGCTGGTGCCAGCAGTGGCTCAGGACACCCAGAGGTGCAGCTTGTCTATTTCAGTGTCAAAGAGAGAACCCTGGTCTCTCACCTGCAGGAACTCGGGGAAGGAGAGTGGAGGGTGAGGGAAACCCTAATCTGTGTCCCCAGTATACAGGATCATCCAGCACTGTACTTGTTTTCTCATACTGCCTGAACAGTGGTGCCTGTTTGGTGCTTGCAGCAGTGGGGGAGATGTGTCCTTTGTTATGGATGTAACTTCCTTCATTAACAGCCACTGTTCATTCTCTCTTCACCATGTTTCTCCCTGCAGTGACTTTCCTCAGAGAAAGGGGCAGAAGGGCCAGGCCTGGGCACTGCCTGAGGGGGCCAGCGGAGGCCAGTGGTTTTGGCTGGTGACTTGATAGGGTGGCATGAGACCCAAATAAAGGAAAAGCAGGCTTTTGCCATCTAGTAATTGCCAACACAGAAGAGGCAGTGAGCCAGCAGACTGGGCAAGGAATCTACTGTTAATACGGAAGCAGTAGTACCTGTTTCAGGCCCACCGGGAACCTGGGAAGCCTCAGGAGGTTTGATTGCCTGAAATGCTCTTTTTTTTTGTCTTTTTTTTTGAGACAGGGTCTCGCTATGCAGTTCAGGCTGGCCTTGAGCTCACTTTGTAGCCCAGGCTGGTCTCAACTCGCAACCATCCTCCCACATCAGCCTCCCTAGTGCTGGGATTACAGGCGTGAGCCCCCACGCCTGAAAAAATGCTCTTTCTTGAGTTCCTTGCAGGGTGAAGAGGGGTCCCAACCCTAGAGAAAAAGCAAGTAGATGAATCTGCTTTACAATAGAGATCGATTTTACAGAGCACTGGATAACTTGCATTTGACAAGCAGTTGTGTCTTAGGACCTGGGTTTTGTTTTGTTTTTGGTCATTTTGAGGCAAGGTTTCACCATGCAGTTCAGGCTGGCCTTGAACTTGCAGTGATCCTCCTGCCTCAGCCTCCCGAGTGCTGGGATTACAGGTGTGCACCACCACATGAATGGACTAAAGAGATACAGTATCTGCTAGCCAAAGATCCTGTTTTGGGAGTATTAATACAGTACCAGACAGAACAGACAAAACTACTTTGAAGATTCTGTATGGTCACCTGTCTCTTTAAACCTTTATGGACAAAGTAAAAAAATTAAACTTAAATGATGGCTAAAGTAAGGCCCTGGAGCAGCATTCTCAGCAGCTTTGGGTAGATTTGGGCAAGGCCTGTTGTGAAACTCTAGGATGAGCTTCTGAATTAAGGAAGACCCCATGATCTACTTGGAAGTTACCAGCAACCATACTGTGTAGCCATTGGGAATAATGTGTTACTCTGTTTCTTTAGTATCAAGTAGGGCAGCTGTATTCTGTGGCTGAGGCCAGTAAAAATGAAACTGGTGGTGGTGAAGGTGTGGAGGTCCTGGTGAACGAGCCCTATGAGAAGGATGGAGAGAAGGGCCAGTACACACACAAGATCTACCACTTGCAGAGGTACGTGACCAAGGCTGCAGGGCAGGAACGCTGGCCTGATTTGGAAGTCAGGTGGGCGTCTCTGGGTTTGTAATTGGCTGTTTGTAACTGGCCTCACCTGTGAGCGTGGGCATAGATGGCTTTGTTCATTTAAGTAAAAAAAATTTTTTTTGGTACCAGGGATCAAACTCACAACCTTGAGCTTGCCAGGCAGGCACTTATGCCCCTGAGCTAAATCCCCAGCCCAAAAAATTCTTATTTAAAAACAAAATAAAAACACTACTTGTTCCCCTAGGCTCCAAGTCTCCAGACATGCTACTTTGTGGTTTTACTGTTAATTTACATAAATAGGTTCCTACTACCATGTATGCGGCATTTTTTGCTCATTTTTTGTGCATCAGCTTATCACTCCCAGCACATCCTGCCTCATTGTTTTAAAGCACACATAACATAAATGTTATGTGCTTGGCAGATGTGCTGTAAGCTTTTTAACCAGTTCTCTCTTGATGTATATTTGTAGTCACTTACATACTCCAGGATAAATCTTTTTTTTTTTAATTTTTGTTGTTTGTTTTGGTGCCAGGAATTGAACCTATGGACTTCATACTAGACTATATCCTCATCGCTCTTAGTTCTTGATTTTGGCACAGAATCTCACAAGGTTCTTACATTGCCCAGGCTGAGCCTGAACTTGTGGTTTTCCTGCCTTAGCCTTCCAGGAAGCTGAGATTTCAATCATGTACTCTGTGCCTGGCTACCAATTTCATTTTCATTTGCTAAAATCCCTGATCCCTAATCTGCCTAATCTCATACTCTGGTGATAGAAAGTGCTAGACACAGAAGCGTTCAGGGTTTTGCAGGGCAGGAGCAGGACAGCAACTCTGGGAGGTGGGTAAATCTCACTGATCCTATTCCCTGGTCACAGCCTCTTTGTTCTTAGTGTTTCTTCTGGCTTCTCCATTCCTCTTCTGAATCGACCATTAACTAAAGAGTTAGCAGTAGGTTAAGATTAGATAATTCCTGCCCTGTAGCCTGTTTGTGTTTTTGTTTTCTTTCCAACACAGTCTTGCCAACTTGAACCATCTGAGGTATGTTCATGACTGTCTTACTGAGTGGCTTGTGCCACCGATGTTATAAATGGATCCAACCACCCTTATCAATCTTTTTACTAACAAAATTAATAAGTCTCCCTCATGGGATAGTCATGCATGCACTGCTTGTGGTTCAAGCCACCCAACAGCAAGACGTACGAATTACGGCCTATTGTGAACATGTTACAGATGACTTTGAAAAGAGATGGGCCAATTAGTAGCAGAGAGGAGGTCCGTGCATAAGGAGGTTAAGATCTGTCTTAACCTGCCTCATATCAAGGGCTGTTACCACCATTCTTTCCTTAACATCAAAACAGCCAACTGTAAAAGAAAGCCAACTGGGACTGCCACTAATCTGTCCTCAAGCAAATAAGAGCCTTCCCAGCAAATCAAGTTCTGTTGACTCACACCCTTATCCCTAAAATGTCCATTTTTTTTCACTGTCTGGCCTGGATTACTACTAAGCTCTCCACTGGTGTCCCTGCTTTCCAGCTCTCCACAGAGCTGTGAGGGCTCTGACTGGAAGACCTGTTGCCCCACTTGAAAGCTATGGATGGTTTCCCTTTGCCCCTGGGTGAAGGCCAAACTTTTTGGGGAGAGGGTACCAGGGATCATACTCATGACCTTGTGCTTGCCAAGCAGGTGCTTGTACTGCTGAGCTAAATCCCTTGGCCTGAAGTCCAAACTTTCTGACATAACTTGCAGGGTCTTTTTTTTTTTGAATTAGTACCAGGGATCGAACTCACGACCACCTGCTTGCAAGGCAGGTGCTTATGCGCTGAGCTAAATCCCCAGCCCCTACTTACAGGATCTTTTATGACTTGGCCCCTGCATGTTCTTTTGCATTCCCGACCTTGCACCTTGCATCAGCTCCTCTGAACTTTTCCCAGCTTTGCTGTCCCACTTCCATCATACCATGTAGTTGAGTCCTATATGGTCTCTATTCTGTGTGTCTTTTTTTTTTTTTTTTAATGTTTTTGAGATAGAATCTCTCTATGCGATTCAGGCTGGCCTTGAACTCACTTTGCAGCCCAGCCCAATCTCGAATTTGCAATGATCCTTCTGCCACAGCCTCCTGATGCTGGGATTACAGGCCTGTGTCCCATGCCTGGCTCCTATACTGGGTCTTTGTGATATTGCAGAGGATTCTGCCCAGAGCCTGCCCTTCCTCTGCGTGTTTTTGTAGTGCTCAGACCAGAAGAGCTCTGTGCTCACCCACCTACCTTCAGTGTTGTCATTTGCCTACTTATGCTCTTCACTGTTTGGGTTCTCTATGTGTCCCAGCATGTGACACATGGAAGTATCATCTGAGTATGAATTACATTCTGGCTTTGAGTGAGAGTTAGATCTCTGTTGAAGTTAGTTCTTTCTCTTAGGCCTGAGATACTAGGATGATGAAGTTGCTAGAGCTACTGACAGATTTTTTGTGTGTGTTGTTTTGGTTTTTTACTGGTACCGGGGATCGAACTCAGGACCGCCTGATTGCAAGGCAGGTGCTTATGCCGTTGAGCTAAATTCCCAGCCCAAGCTACTAAAAATTATAAAAATTTCTAATTAAAAACCAAGAAAGAGCAAGGATTTAGCTCAGTGGCATAAATGCCTGCCTGGCAAGTGTGAGGTCCTGAGTTCGATCCTTGACACCAAAAAAAACAAAAAACAAAAAAACCAAAAAACAAGAAAGATAGGCAGGCATGGTGACATGCCTTATAATCCCAGCACTCTGGGAGCTTGAGCAGGAAAAGCATAAGTTCCACCCAGCCTGGGTGATTTAAGGACTCAGCAAGACCCTGTCGTCCCTGCCCACACACACACCAAAAGTGGCTGAGACTATAGCTCAGTGTGAAGGCCTTGGGTTCAATCCCCAGTAACATTCCTCCTCCCCTTCAAAAGTTTGGTTCATACTTTACATATTTTTCTACAACCTGAGATGAAAATTGAATAGAAGAAAGCACTTGGGGCCATGGATTTAGCTCAGTGGCGTAAGTAAATCAGTGGCGTAAGTGCCTGCCTGGCGAATGTGTGGTTGTGAGTTCGATCTGAGGCACCAGAAAAAGAAAGCATTTGACCCGAGAAGCAGATGACCCAAAGGCCCACCTTTTCCCCTAGAACTTACAAAGGTAAACCAGATCCTCTCAGATCCCACCTTCAGTCAGTCAGCTGGTTACCTTGTCCCATAAACCTGGGCTGAGGAGGACAGGCTGTTTTTGCGTAGTATCTTCATCTGTGTAGTACCTACCCTGTGCCCACTGAGCTCTGCACAGAATGCATAATGAGCGTGTCATGGCCAGTAGGCCACAGTGAATAGTCTGGGGCCTTATAGGCTAGCCTGGTCCTGGTGAGTGGTGGGGCAAGTTTTGGGCAATGTTGGTATCCAGTTAAGCTGGGATATGAGGCTCTGGCTTATCATAAATGTAACCTGCTTATCTCATGGAAACCTGCTTGTCAACTCCCCTTTGAAGAAAGAAGCTGTGTCCCTGGGTTGAAACATGATGTAAAAGCCTGTCATCACTTTCTTCCCCTGTATCTCATCACTCCTTTTTTTTGATATAGCAAAGTACCCACATTTGTCCGAATGCTGGCCCCAGAGGGAGCCCTAAATATACACGAGAAGGCATGGAATGCCTACCCTTACTGCAGAACGGGTGAGTGCGCACGAGGCTGAAGGCTGAAGTTTGGGCCCCATGGTGGACGTGCGGGTGTGGTCTAATAGGCCAAGGGCTATTAGGACAGGGCTTCCTGTCCTACCTTGGTTTCTAGACAAGGGAAGGGAGAGGATGAGGTTGGGCTTCTAGCCTGGGGTATGAGTATTGTCTTAATAACACAGTTGTGGACTAGGTTGAAACCACAGGTTAGTCACAGCTTGGGAGCACAAAATTAACCCCTCCTATTTGAGGATGATACAATAATTTTGATTGTTTATACTGCTTGTGAAATCAATGTTGTCTGTATATATTTTGTTGTTTTATTTTGGTTTTTTGATACTGGAGATCAAACTCACAACCTCGCACTTGCCAAAGAGGCCCTTGTGCTGCTGAGCTAAACCCCTGGCTCTGCTTGTATATATTTTGGAAAACACCACTGTCAGCGTCTAGGTAGTCACTTCTAACTTTCAGAGTTTTTACTTTTTTGGTATTGGAAATTGAACCCAGGGCTCTGCACCACTCTACCACTGAGCTATACCTTCACCCCCCCGCCCTTTTTTTTTCTTTTTTCTGGTACTGGGGGTTGAACTCACGACCACCTGCTTGCAAGGCAGGCAGCTTATGCTGCTGAGCTAAATCCCCAGCCCCACCTTCACCCTTCTTTAAATTTTGAGATAGGATCTCACTAAGTTGCCCACCCTGGCCTCAAACTTCAACTCCTAATATTTAGCCTCCCAAGAGGCTGGATTGCAAGCATGTACTACTTAGGTAGGCAGATGGATACATGGATGGCTGGCAGGCAGGCAGACAAATGGAAAGAAAAAAATACACATTTTTCTAGATAAATTTTAGGTCATATGATGACTCAAGTGCATGCCTATAATCCCAGTTACTCTCCAGGGTGGGGCAGGAGGATTTTAAGTTCAAAGCTAGACTGGGCAACTTTAGATAAAAAGCGCAGGAGATACATATCTGTGGTAGAGTGCCCCTGGATTGTGCTACAGTTCCATGTGTAGTACTCTGGCATGTGAATGTGCGGTCAGCTGATCAAACTCATGGATTCTGAATACTGGGCTCAGTATAAACTATGGATCAAAATACTTGGAGTTAGAGATTTAACTCATTCGAAGAGCATTGGGCTAGCAAGTATAAGGCCCTAGATTCAGTCCTTAGCACAGAAAAAAAGGAGGGGGGGAATGTATGGGGAAAATGAATCTGGGCTAGGGTGTAGCTTAGTACACCAGGCCTTGCCTGGCATATGTGATCTGGGTTTAATCTCCAGGATAACTGTCAGTAATGTGAGATAACTATTTATATTGTATAAGGTATTATGGTTTATTTAGGGATAAATGAAGTTATATATGAGAGGATGTGTGTAGGTTTTATGCAAGTAATATGTCATTTGATATAGGAAACTTAGCATGTATTTTGGCATTCTGAGCCTGTGATGATCCTAGAATCAATCGTCAGAGGATTTTTTTTTTTTTGTACTGGGGATCAAACTCACAACCTCCACTTGCCAAGCTGGCACTTGGGCTGCTGAGCTAAACTCCAGAGGATATTGAGGAATGTAAATTTTTTTTTTTTTTTTTGTCTTTTTCCTTTTTATCGGTGCCAGGGATCGAACTCATGACCGCACACTTGCAAGGCAGGCGCTTATGCCGCTGAACTAAACCCCCAGCCCCCTTTCCAGTTTTTTTTTTAAACCCAGGTTTTTGTGCTGAGCTATATCCCCCAAGTCCTTCTTATTCTTTTTTTTTTTTTTTTGTCTTTTTCATTTTTATCAGTACTGGGGATTGAACTCATGACTGCCTGCTTGCAAGGCAGGTGCTTATGCTGCTGAGCTAAATCCCCAGCCCCCTTCCAGTTTTTTTTTTTAAACCCAGGGTTTTTGTGCTGAGCTATATCCCCCAAGTCCTTCTTACTCTTTTTTTTTTTTTTTTGTCTTTTTCATTTTTATCAGTACCAGGGATCGAACTCATGACCGCCTGCTTGCAAGGCAGGTGCTTATGCAGCTGAGCTAAATCCCCAGCCCCTCTTACTCTTTATTTTGAGACAGGGTCTTGCTAAGTTGCTAAATTGCCCAGCCTTGGGTAAAACTTGCTTTCTGTGGAACAGGTATGCACCTATACTTGGCTTATTTTTTTTCCCTAGTGCTAGGGATGAATTCAAAACCTTGCCATGCTGTGCTGTAGGTGAGCGCTGCAGTGCGGGGATGTATCCTCAGTATGCACCCCCACACCTTTTTTTTTTTTTTTTAGTGTTTTTAAGACAGGGTTTTGCTATGCAGTTAGCAAAACACATTGATCCTCCTGCCTCAGCCTCCTGACTGCTGGGATTACAGGCATGTGTCACCATATCTGGTTTTTTCAGTCCTGGGACATGGTTCTGGGTGCAGAATTTGTGCCAATTGAGAGATGCCACTATACCTTGTGTAATTTTTAGAAGAATGTGCTACAGCTAACAAGGCATTTTTATACGCAGCAGAGAAGAAATGTTTTGGATGTTACTTTGAGACAGGGTCTTATGAAGTTGCCCAGGTTAGTCTCAAATTCCTGGGCTCCAGCATCTCCCTGCTCAGCCTCCTGAGAAGCTGGCGGTATGGGTGTACACCGTCACACAGCATGTTGCACTCTCTAAACCATGCTCTTATTGCCATAGGTGTTGAAATTTTCAGCTTTATCTTTGCCTGAAGAAGTAGCACTGAGACTCAGAAGCTTGAGAGAGGCAGTCACAGCAAAGGGCCAGTCCGATTGCCTCTGCCTGCCCTGGGGAAGAGCCAGGTCCAGACTCTAAGCAAAGTTAGTGCAGGAGACCCTGATATTGTTGAGGTAGAGTTGAAATGAGCCTAGTCGTTAATGACAACAGTTTTAGAAACAGTAATCACCAAAGTCCATTGTGTACACATGGACTTTTCTTGATACAGAAGAGAGTTGTACTGAGTATACATGGTAAGAACCTTAGCCATCTTGGCATGAAGGAGGCAAACAGCATGGACTTCTCCATGCCCAGGGCAGGGTTTCTGGGCACAGAGCTTGTGCCAGCCGAGTAATGCCACTCTCTCTTGTGTAATTCTTACAAGAGTGTGGCATATTCTTCACCTGGAAGGATTGACCCTGCTGAGGGCTCTGAATAGATGGCTTGTGCTGAACTAACATGTATCTTGCTGAAGTAGGGTTGGAATACTTTCTGAATTTTTGTTGTTTTTTTGTTTGTTTTTTGGTGCCAGGGATTGAACTGACAACCTTGTGCTTGCCAGGTGGTAGGTGCTTATGCCGCAGAGCTAAATCCCCGGCCCTGTTTTGTTTGTTTTTTGAGAGTAGGTCTTGCTGTATAGTTCAGGCTGGCCTCAAAATGCACTGTGATCCTCCTGCCTCAGCCTCCTGTGGTACAGTTGTGCACCATGATGCCCAGTTTATTTTCCAAACCTTGGCCTGTCTCCTATCTGGTGTTTCTGGGATGAGATGGGAAGGGAAGGGAATGGGGAAAAGGGAGGGAAGACTTGAACTTTCACAGAGAACTTCTACTCTAGACATTTTGAGATTCCTTTTGAGTAGTTCAGACTCAGCTTTTCAAGGTTCCTAAGTTTGAGAAACATCTAGAAGTAGACCTCCTAGATGCAAGATCTCACTGGGGTCCTGAGAGGTTCCCCTGGAACCTGTTTGCGAGGTGGGTGACCTTTCCTCGCAGCAGCCTTCATCTGTTAACACAGACTGCCTGACTCTGGGTGGAGGCTCGGGGTCCTCCTGCCGGCCGGCCTCTGTGTTCCTATCCTGCCTGCTTGCTTTATTGGCTGGGACCTGGCACTCCCTTGATTGTATCTGATAAGATTATCATCCTATGTGACTCAGGCAGTCCTTATCCGGTGGACTTTGGGAGTGACTTAGGTCAGTCCTCTCTAGCCCTCAGTGGGTTCAGTGACCTGTGTCAGGAGATGCAGTTATTCATGGGACCTGAGATGATCCATTGCTTACGTTTAATTGGTTTGGCTGAAAACGCAAACTTCATTACTTCTTAAACATGGAGTAGGAAGCTGTTACATTTTTGGAAGAGAGGCATGGACTCATGTTTGTATCAGGCAGTGTGCAGTGCAGAATGTGTGCACCTATAATCCTAGCACTCAGGAAACTGAGGCAGCAGGATGGATAATTTGAGGCCACCCTGGGCTATTTAATGAGCTTGAAGCCTGTCTAGATTGTGCAGTGAGACCCTGTCTCAAAGAAGAAAAAATAAATATTAAAAGCAGTGAGTAGTGTGGCAGAGTATATTTGGTTAAGGGCCAAAGGTGAATTTTCTTGATGTATAAGAGAGTTGTGTTGAGTTTGTGCTGTAACCTTAGCCAACTTGGCATGAAGGAGTGAAATAGATTTCATGGATTTCTCCATGCCTGGGGCAGGGTTCTGGGTGCAGAGCTTGTGCCAACTTAGAGATGTCACTGCCTCCTGTGTAATTTTTTAGAAAAATATGCTGTAGCTGACAGGACATTTTTGTATGCAACAAGTATTACCTCACATAGATTCTTGACCAAAAGAGAAAGCAAATATAATTTCTAAATACTCTTACAAGAGGAACTGAGTGCAAAAGAAAAGGCTAGTTTCTACCTTGAGTGCTGACCTCACAGAATCCACCTTTCCACCTTTGTACATAATGAACCTGCCATATCAGGTTGGTGAAGTCAGACGCCTCTGCTGCTTTTTTATTTTTATTATTTTTGGTACCAAGGATGGAACTTATGACTTCACGCTTGAGGTACTGAGTTACATCCTCAACCCTGCTTTTATTTATTTTTGAGACAAGGTTTCATGGTAATGCAGACTTACCTTGAGTTCACTATATAGCCCAGGCTGGCCACAGACTTGCCGTGACTTTCCTGCCTCTGCCTCCCAAGTGCTGGGATTACAGGCATGTGCCACCACGTCTAAAAAACACCTGTGCTTTTAAACAAGCAAGGAAGGCTATCCGCCAAGGGCCAATGGGAGAAATTATTAGTTCAAGCATTTTATAAGCTAGGTGTGGTGATACATCCCATAATCTGAGCACTTGGGAGGATGAGGCAGGAACACGGTGAGTTCAAGGCCAGTCTGAGCTATCTTACATAGTGAGTTTAAGGAAGGCCTGGAGTTTGTAGGCTCAAAAACAACACACACGCACATGCACAGCCTTAGCTTGACCTAAGTAGACCAAATCTTGAGGTAGGATGGAGAAAGGAGCATGGAGAGGAATCCTGTGTGCCTTTTGGATAGTTCTGCTCTTACTTTGAGAGAATGGGAAATAGACTGGGGATGCCCTGCTTATCCTTAGCTCTAACTCTTCCCTTACTTTCTCTCTCTCTCTCTCTCTCCTCGGAGCCTGAGGGATAGAGCTATGAAAGTGGGGGATAAGAGGGGTGGTCTGTGGATGAAAATGGAAAGAGGAGGAGAATGTATTTTTCCATTCCTTCCTGGAACCTTTAACTCTCAGGCTGGATACAGTATCATTAAATCATATTTTTAAAATACTTCTACTGGGCATGGTGACATATTTTTGTAATTCCAGTTCAAGGCCAGCTTGAACTACATATAGTAAGACTGCGTCTCCAAAAAAACAAAAACAAAACAAATAAAAACACAGTTAGTCTTATTTGGAAAACCCTGTTTTGTGACTGCAAAGGGTTCCTGGAGGCATTTTTTGTGTATCTGAGGTTGCAGCTCAAAGAAAAGAAATGTTTGGAGGAAAGAGGAGATAGAGAAAGTTTGGGCAAGACTGGTTACCCAAGTTGGCATTAAAGGCCAAGATGGGTTTCAGAAACAAATTTGTCAAGAACTAAGTGGATGTTTTTCAGTGTCTAGCAAAACACTAATGTCTAGAAAATCTCAAATGCCAATTTCGAAAAGTATATTGAAACACAGAATTAATAGTGAAATCAGATATCACTGTTTGAGAATACTGACATGTAGTGAAAAATGTCCACTTGGTTAAACGGTTAAATGGTTAAATAATCAGATTCTTTTTTTCTTTTCATTTTTTTTTCTTTGGTACCAGGGATTAAACTCATGACCATGCGCTTTCCCGGCAGGCGCTTATGCCACTGAGCTAAACCCTGGCCCCAATGATCAGATTCTCGTGCTTGTTCATCAGGACATCTGTCCATGTAGAGTTGAAGCTAGAGTACATGGATTCAGAGTGAGGTTGCTGGAGAAGTTTGGTGATTGTCATCCTTCAGCCAGCCAGGCTAACTCCGCTGTCTCCACTAGGGGTGGAGCTCTGTTCCGTATTAGTGCTGTGGAATTTCTGCCTCGTTGGCCTTTTTGAACTTCTCTTTAACGGGTGTTAAACCCATCATTTCCTTTTTTCTGCCATGATTTTCTTAAACTGCTAATGGAGCAATGATTTCAGTATAGACCTTTTAGTTACAATCCTAATCTACTTTTCTACCAAATGTCATTCATTGAACTTGGTGAGCTTAGCAGATAGAATTTTGAGTTACTTCTTATACATGATGGCTTCTAGCCCTTACATATCAACTTTCTCATTTCCGTTTTAGAGGGAGCCTTAGTTTCACTGTTGAAGCCATAGAGCTTGTTGGCTTTGTATATTCTCCAAGCACGGCATTCATCAGAGAACGCCATCGCTTCTAAATTCAGCGGGTACAGAGTGAAATGAACCAAGTTTTGTCAGGAGGAGAGCTAAGTCTGTTCCCCCGTGACATGAGAGCTGCAGTCGTTTTCTCTGATAAATAATTGAATTGTGCTGTTTGAGGGGGTCGCATTACAAGGAGCAGGGGTGAAGGGCAGGAGGGGTCTGGTTACAGTGTGGGGAAGGCTGCCATAAGCAGACAGACCTCACCTGGCTCAGCAGGAGCTGCTCTGCATCCAGGCTGCAGAGGTGGAAACCCAGCTGACCAACAGCAGTGGGTCACACAGCTACAATGAATGGGAGAAGAGTCCCTTTCCTGTCCTGCTCGGAAGAATTGCAGGAAACTCACGGCAGCATTGCTTAAAATTCCAGATCTGGTCTTTTGAGATCTTCGTATAGTGCAACTTGAGGGGCATTGGTGCGTTGAATTATTCTCAACAACACACTGGGGTGTGGAAGTGACTATGGAATAAGCCACAAGCCATGGGGAATTCTGTTATTCATGATCTCTGGGGAAGGAGGAAGATATTTATATTTTGGTTAATCTTTTTTCTCTCTTCTTTCCATGTCCGTGCCTTGGAGCAGTTATTACAGTAAGTATTGTGGTGGTGGTGATGCAGGTTGGGACTGTAGGTAATTTATAAGAGATGGAGAAAAAAATGTATCTGCACAAGTGGAGGTCCTGGCCATTCTCTTCTTCCCCTTGTGTGACATTTGGAGTTGTCAAAACTGACTTTTCAATTCTGATAAAGAATGCACTAGTTGACCTGGTAGCTTCTTAAGCTGCAGTTGGCTCGTGACTGTCCAAGTGTGTCCTGGCTCTGGGTCCTGTGTGGACAGAATAACTGGAGACTCCCCCCAGATCATGCCTACTCAGGGTTAGAGAGCTCAGGGAGCGCTGCCTCTTGGCAAATTGTGAAATCCACAGAATTTCTCTTCTGAGACCATCCCTTTTGTGGCTTCCCTTCCTCACCAGCTCTGAGTGTGCCCGTTCGAGTGCCTAGTTCCTTCCAGGAAACAAATTCTTGTTGAGGTGGGGTAGTAATGGGTTGAGTTCCTCCTTTGAATAACTCCTTTTTTTTTTTTTTTTTTTTTTTTTTTTTTTCTTTTATATTCATTCTACTTTTTTCAAAGCACTAAGGGAAGGAGACAGCATGAATGGTTTCCTCTGCAAAAAGCTAGTTGGGGGGAAGGGACTGTGATGAACATTTTTTGTTGTTTGGGAAGTCTTCTGTGCTCTTTCCACAGATCTAGTTACCCATTAGCACCTTCGTATGAAGCAAGTAGTGTGGAAGACTGGTTAAATACATGAATTCTAAAGTCACGTAAACTTGTTTTTTTTTACCCAACCCTTTGATGATCTCAGTGGCCTTGGACAAGCCACCTAATCTTTTCAATTTCACTTTCCTCATCTGTAAAATGAAGATGACTATACACCTTCTATGGTGACAGGAGGGCTCACCTTGTGGTAATGCAGGCCTGGTGTATTATGGGCTTGCAGTCATGGTAGCTGTAGTTGCTAGGCAGTCTCCTAACTGCTTGTGGTCTAGTGGTGGGAGGTGGCTAATTTCCAGCTGTGAGCCTAGTGACTATATGGTGTTTTCTTCTCTCTTCCAGAATGAGTACATGAAGGAAGACTTTCTGATTAAAATTGAGACCTGGCACAAACCGGATCTTGGCACCCAGGAGAATGTAAGGCATTACATCCCGAGAGACCCAAGGGGGTTTCCAGGTGCTAGAGTAGGGTCTTGGGGCTCTCTATCTGTGCCAGGCAATTCTGCCTGTGGTCCTCTTTTGCCTGTCGCAAAAGGCAGTAGCCTCTCCTCAGACCTCTTCTACCAAAAATGGGATTGCCCATTTTTGATTTGTAAAAAATGATTTCCAAGATTCTTTATCAGGCCTTCCTATAGTGCACTAAGTCTAAAATACTGTTCCTGACACAGAGGAGCTGTTTGTTTATTTATTTATTGAGACAGGGTCTCACTATGCAGTTCAAGCTAACCTTGAGCTCACTTTGTAACTCAGCCTGGTCTCTAACTGGTAACAATCCTCGAAATATGCCTGTCTTTTTTGTTTCCTTAGTAATTTCATGCCTCAGAACTTAATAGACATCTTTCTCACATACATGAAATAAGGTATGCAAGGAGATTCTTTCCTGCATTGTTCTGTATAACCAAACATTAAAAACAACACAAGCCAAGAATGGTGGTACAGACCTGTAATCCCAGCACTCAGAAGGATCATTATCAGTTCAAGGCCAGCCTGGGATATATAGTGAGTTTAAAGTCAGCCTGAACTACTTAGTGAGACCCTGCCTCATAAATAAATAAATAATGCATACATACAACACAGGATCCCATCAGTGGAACACCATTAAATATAATTGTGCAGCCAAATGGTGATATACTATACAGTCATGAAGAAGAGCCATCAGGAAAAATCCTTAAAACGTATTGTTTGTTGGTCATGGCATTAGACACCTGTAATCCCACCACTTGGATGTGAGGCAGGAGGATCACTAGCTTGAGACCCTCTGGGTAAGTTAATGGGATCTTATGTCAAAATAGAAAATAAAAGGGCTGGGGACATAGCTCAGTGCAAAGGCCATGGCTTTAATCCCTAGTCTTCCTCCCCTCCATGTTCAATAAAAAAAGCAAGACATAAAGTGGTGCACATCTGTACTAGTGTTGTATTAAAAGGAAAATCTATGTACATGCATAGACATTAGTGGTAGTATCTATCCCTGGAGTGGGGCTGGGACAAGCACAGGAGGAAGAGTTCTTCCTGGTCTCATTTCATTTCGAATTTGTGTCATAATTTTATATGAACACGTGTGAAAATCAGCATTATGTGTCAAAGCAGGCAACATTTCCAGGAATGTTCGGTCTTTAGCAAGGGACATATAGAAACAATGTGTAGCAGTCATTCTCAAATTTACATCTATTTAAAATTCAATCACTTAGGCCAGGGATTTAACTCAGTGGCAAAGCACCTGCCTAGCAAGCGCAAGGTTATAAGTTTGATTCCCATACCAAAAATAATAGTAATAAAATTGAATCTCTCTTTTTTTTTTCTTTTCCCTTGCTTTGTATAATTTTGTACAGATTATTTCTTATTCCTTGAGATCAGAAATGTTTCACATTTCAGATTTTGGAATATTTGCTTATATAATGACATACCTTGGGAATGGGTCCCATGAATAAGCAAAATTAATTTATGTTTCATGTCAGCTTACACATTCAGCCTGAAGATAATTCCCTCTTTCTTCCAGGTGCATAAGCTGGAGCCTGAGACATGGAAACATGTGGAAGCCATATATATAGACATTGCAGATCGAAGCCAAGTACTTAGCAAGGTAGGAGTACATAAAGAGTAGGATGCAGGAATGATTTCTAAATGTCAGAGAAACCAGGAAACTAAGACCCAGTAGGTTGAAAAGGAAGTTCTTTCTGGTGTTGTTTATTGTGGCTTTACTTTATTTTCGGTTTTTTTGAGATAGGGTCTGTCTATGTAGTTCAGGCTGTCACTGGCCACATGTAGCTTGTTTTTTTTTTTTTTTTTTTTTTTTTTTGGTCATCTTTTTTGAGACGGGGTCTCACTATGCAGTTCAGGCTGGCCTTGAGCTCAATTTGTAGCCTAGGCTGGTCTCAAACTCGCAACGATCCTCCCACCTCAGCCTCCCGAGTGCTGGGATTACAGCATAAGCCACCACACGCAGCTATGTTTGTTTGTTTGTTTGTTTTGGTCTTTTTCCTTTTTATCGGTACTGGGGATCGAACTCATAACTGCCTGCTTGCAAGGCAGGCGTTTATGCCGCTGAGCTAAATCCCCAGCCCCGTTTGTTATATTTTTAAAGATAGTATTAAGAATTCCCTTTTCTGGAGCTCAGTGGCACAGTGCCTTCCTGGCAGTCAAAATTCAGAGTAACGTTTATTGTCGCCCATTGAATACATTGTTGGTTTTTTAGTTCCAGTGAGAGGCACACAATATAAAGAGAAAAGCACCCTGCCTTCAGAAGTTGGTGATGACTTTTCAGAGTAGCAAACACTTGAGCAGGTGCAGGGAAAAGGGTCCACTGTGAGGACTCAGGCCTGTCTAGCTTGCTCAGTGTTATGTTCCCAGGAAGTATCTGTTTAGGGAGTGGAAAGGTTAGGTTTCCCCTCACTCAGGACTGTGAAGTGCAGGGCACCCGGACGCCCAGGCCTGTGCTGTACCCCAGGCCTGTTCTGTACCCTAGGCCTTGCTGCAGAGCTGAGTGCCAGCGGCTCCATCCAGGAAGAATCACCACGCATTAGAGGCCAGCCTGGTCTACATAGTTTAGTGTGTTCAAGGCCAGCCTGAACTACATAGCAAGACTGTAGTTCTCGAAAATCAAAAGTACAGAAAAAAAATAATTTAAATTTCACTGCAACTGACCAGTATTTCACAGAAAGTATGCTTTAGATTCTATGCTTTTCCAGTTTAGTGATTTCATTAAAACATTCAGAGGCAGATTGGACTAGAAGATTTCAAGAAAGATGTCCATTTGTTCTTTGTTCTGGGTATAGTTTAAAACCACCTGCAGAGTCCTGCAGGCTTATATCTGTAATCCCAGCACTCTAGGAGGCTGAGGCAGGAGGATCATGACTCTGAGTATCATTGGCCTAAGCCATTTAGTAAATTAGGGAGACCACATCTCAAATTAAAAAATAAAAAGAGCTGGGTGGGGAGGTGTCTCAGTACAGAAGCTCTCCATTCAGTCCCCAGTACTATTAAAAATAAGTAAAAAGTCCCCTGCAGAGATTTTTTTTTTAATCCATGTTGCCTTTACTTGCAGGTATTCTTTGTCACTTGGAAGGTAGGGTAACTGGAGAACTATAAGTTCTTCCCTGACAGTTAGGGTGTTCATCAGGTTGAAAATCTCTATTTTAAACACTGCAAATATATGTGCTTCCTCAGGTAGTTTGGTGACACTTTTGTACTGGTAAATTGGAAACAAACCCTGGCAGGAAAAAAAAAAAAAATCACAGGACACTCCTGAGAAATGCAAACAGTTCTAACTCCTGTTTATAACATTTCCCCATATATATGAGTGCCAGCAGCATCAAGAACTGGTTGTGAATGTGAAGTATATTCTGTGTAAAAATCTGCTCTTCTCTTGCCCTCTCTTCCCTCTGTCTCCTCTCCCTTCCTCTGTGACCCTAATCACACAACCTCTCAGGATTACAAGGCAGAAGAAGACCCAGCAAAATTTAAATCTGTCAAAACAGGCCGAGGACCTTTGGGCGCAAATTGGAAGGTGCAGTTCACCCCCTCACCGCTGGGGGGCCGGGCACAGTGTGGGTGGGGCTCCCCTGGGAGCCTGGAATGGCTGGGACTGGGCAGAGGGACAGCTTGCCTGCCGTCTTTCCACTAAGTTACTGGCCTGCCTCTCTGTCTGTTCCTAATGTAGCAAGAACTTGTAAATCAGAAAGACTGCCCATATATGTGTGCATACAAACTGGTTACCGTCAAGTTCAAGTGGTGGGGCCTGCAGAGTAAAGTGGAGAACTTTATACACAAGGTCAGTGCACGGCGAGGGTTGGGTGTGCGCATGCGTGTTGGTAAGAGGTATGTAGCTTAACCAGGGAAGACCACTCAACCCATGTGACCTGTACCCTACCTGGCTTGGTTTCCCTGTGTTTCCCTGTCTGATAGTTCACTGCCATCTGTCCAGGGCACCACATGTGACAGGGAAACGGGAAGGGACTTTCTATTTCTGAAGTATAAATAACACTCAGCCTCTTTTGAGTCCAAAAGACAAGAGGTACCACAAGCCAAATTCTCCAGTGTTCTGAGTTACTCACTGGGCAGACCTCGAGAGTTTTATAGCCTTTTAATTCTCTGTGTTAGAGATACTTTTGGGCTGTGTTTCATAGCAGCTGCTAAGTTACAGCCTGGTTTTTGGGAAGAGGCATGATGGAAATCTGGAAGTTGCTTTGGACCTTAGCTTGGCTAGCAGCTCACAGGTTGCCTGTCTTAGGCAGAAGACTTAGCCATGAAGCAGACACGCATCCTTTCTTGGGGGCTGGATGAAGCTTGAAGCCACCTTTTAGATATGTCAAGGCAGAAGTCACTCTGTGTGGCTCGTACCAGTAAGGCAGCCAGGCATCTGTTCTCCCGCTCTGCCAGTCCTGTACAGTGGATGTGAGCATACATGGAGACTGAGAGGAGGAGAATGTCACAGTGGCCTTTACCTTCTGTGTTCTAATGAGGTCCCTTCCTTTTTATAGCAAGAGAGGCGTCTGTTTACAAATTTCCACAGGCAGCTGTTCTGTTGGCTGGACAAGTGGGTTGATCTGACTATGGACGACATTCGAAGGATGGAAGAAGAGACGAAGAGACAGCTGGATGAGGTGAGCCGAAGGCCAGAAGACACTGTGGCCCTCAGTAAGATAAATATGAGGCTGTTACGGAGACTGTTATGCTGGAGCACTTCCTGTAGTTCTAGGAACACGTCAGGGTCCACTGTGGGGGAAGCCCACTGCCAGGCATTATGGGAACTTCAAGAAGCCAGCCAGCCTATGCTCGGGAATGTGCAGTCCAGTCGGGTCCTTGGCACACAGACAGGAATAGAAACAGGAGCATGTGCCTAGTGAGGAATACAGTGATCCCTGTGTCAGGCGCGAGTGGTCCTGGGCTGCAGAGTTGGAGGTGACCCTGGGAAAGGCAGGTGAGGCTGATCCATGAATATCATATGTGTTACCCACAGAGGACAGCAGTGACACATGCAGAGGCTGACAGTTCTAGACAGCTGTTTTGAGTCTGGAACTTTTTTTGCTATTTTTATTTTTGGCCTTGGCACAGATCCCAGAGGGCAAGTTCTTTGCTTCCTGCATGGGAGCCTGAAGACCCAGCTCTCCTGCCCCATTTGGGGAGGCTTCCCTAAGAAGCTGGCTCAGTGGAGTTGGCCGGTGGATGACAGGCATGTCCGGTGTGCCAGCCCTGTTCCATCCCGCTGTCGTCATAACTCCTGTGAGGCGGCAGCTGACATAAGTATAACAGCACAATGCTGCCTGCTCCAGAGCCATAGCTTGCCTCTACTCCCTTGAGGTGCCACTTGGAGCCCTGTTGCCCTCTTGGGGCTAAACACAAGACCGGAAGCACTGTTTCTTCAGAACTGCCATCCATGTCTGTCCTTGTGCCCTGGATGGGGCTGGCATGGAGCCTGGAGGCCAGCAGAGGTCTTGCTTCGCAGCACTCTTGCTCGCCTCTGCAGCAGGCCCTCCTGGGAAAAACAGGCCTTGGCATTTTCACCCTGCTGGCCTTGCGGGGGCCTGGGCCCGGGCCCCAAGTCTGTCCTCCCTCTGGAGCCCCTAGAGAACTGTTTTTATTGTTCAGCTCACATTTTCCTTGGCTCTGTCACTAGTAAGTGGCACACCAAGTCTCTCCTAAAGGCAGGTGTTTTAGTTATCCATTCAGGTATATTTGGCAGTGAAGTGGCAGGATTTTGGGGCCCAGCCCCTGATTCTTCTAACAATCCTCAGGAAGAGGTAGATTGGAATGTCTAGGACTCTGGAAATTTGGCCTGCACCAGAGAGGCCTAAGACTTACGGTCATCTTAGTCCAGACCAAAAAGAAAAAAGCTACAAAATAGAGCACCATGGAGACTTTCACTGGAGCTTAGCCTGGCCCTTAGCCACCCACTGCCCACAAAAGCCAGTATAACATCAGTGAGTCTGTAGAAGTGTTTGCTGTTTTACTTTCATTCAGTGGATGAAATTTTTGGAGCTTTTTTTTTTTTTTTTTTTTTTTTTTTGATACTGGGGATTGAACTCTCAACCTTACCTTTGCCAGACAGGTGCTTATGCAGCTGAGCTAAATCCCTACCCCTGTTGGAGCTCTTAATGTGTACAAGGTCCTGGGTTAAATCTCCAGGCCCTACAAGAGATAGCAGTGCTCAAATTGAAGTTAGAAAAACTTTTCAGGGGATCTACTGAATCTGCCTTCCTCAGATCCAAAAAATTGAGAGCCCTTAGAGTTGGTTTGCTTTTTAGCCTCCACCCTTTAGCGTTTCTCTGTTCCATGAAGGACTGTGCCAAAGGCTTCCTTGATCGCTTTCCTCCAGGATAATTGCAAATGCAGAAACCTCTTTGCAGTGGAAGAGGAAGGAAACCTAAATCCATGTCATTGTGGGGCATTTTAACCTTTTTAGCAACTGTGCAGGACCTTTGTGTGCTAACTAGACCACTAGCTTCCTTGTCTTGTGTTTATGCTGTTTTTTTTTTTTTTTTTTTTTTCTTTTTTGGTTCTGAGAATCAAACTCAGGACCTTGTGCTTGCCAGGCAAGTGCTGTGTCACTGAGCTATATCTTCAGCTACCCCTTTTTATTTTTTCATGGAGACTGAGTCTCACTATATAGTCCAGACTGGCCCTGAACTTGCGTGAGGAGTCAGGTACTTCTGGGCAACCTAAGTCTTTTGAGGGTCCTCCTCACTGTGCCTCTGACAGACTGCTAGTCTCTTGCTCTGGGGATAATCGGGCAAACAGCATTCTGGGAGGCTAGCTGAGGAAGGCTCTGGCGGACTCACAGGCTGTCAGCTGGCTTTCCTATAATCCCTTCCTGTTCTGTACCTACTACCCACTTGGCCCCTGGCTGAACCTGAAGTCTCAAGTCCAGTTTTTCCCTCGGTGCTTCCAGAGAGGGAACCTCCTATCTTTTGCTGTGACAGAAGGGAGTAATTGGTCAATTTGGAGGGAAGGGGGAGCCAGCCTGTGTCCTGGATTCAGATTTTAAAACATAGTGCCTGCTCTGGACCCCGCTGGGACTCCCACCCGCAGAGGGACCTTCATCCCAGGTCCTGAGCCTTGAGAGAACCTGCACACAAATTCTCCTTTTTCTGCTTGGCTCCTGTCCTCATGGGCTCTTGGGTCTCAGCCTCTGCTGCTCTGTGAATGAGTTACTGTTCATGCCTCCTTTTTCCATCTTCCACAATGTTGCCATCTCTTTTTAAAATTTATTAGTATATGTTTGAGATGCATGGTTGCTTTCATTACAGGTGTTTGATACACATACATGGCACATCTTAACTGTTTTTAATGTCTCCTCTTCCCCCCATCGTGTGACCATCTCCTATCTCTGTTGTCACCTTGTTTCTGTTGTCTTCGTGGTGATAGATAGATGGATAGATAGATAGATACATTGATAATTCCTTTACTTTCATCATACTAGGTTTTTAAAAGGGGAGAAATAAAGATAAATGCAGATAATTTAATCTGATTTATTGCGAGTTTGCAATAAGAATAATGACCATTTTCTTTAAAGCAAAGCATAGTAGTCTAGTGTGAGCCATAGTCTGCACTGTGCCAAATCTAGGGGGATGGGTCCACTATTCTTGGGTGAAGCTCAAAGATTTGCAAAACAAGGGATCAAGAGATTAGTTCTTTGCCCCAAAAAGAAAAATATCATGAGATCGTACTGTAGGAAAGCAGCTTCCCAACCCATGTGCCCTTCTGTCTCTCCCCTTTCTGTCTGTCTCTCTGTGTTTCTGTCTCTCTCTCTCTTCTTCTTTCTTCTCCCTCTCCCATGATTTTGTTCTTTGTTTTTTTTCCCCCCAGGTACTGGGGATTGAACTCACGACCTTGCATTTTCCAGGCAGGCACTTATGCCGCTGAGCTAAACCTCCAGCCCCCATGTTTTTGTTATTTAGAGGTTCATAATTTAAAAGTAGAAGAGGTCCCTTAAAGGTATATGTCTACTGGCTAATTCTTCTGCAGCTGCCCCATCCGCTTATGTTTGATTAACTCCTATAACAGTGAATTCACTCTCTCCTGAACATGGTGGTGTCTTGATTACTTTCATTGCTGAGACAAAATTGCTGACTCTCAAAATTAAGGAAGGAGGCCGAGGATTTAGCTTAGCACCACAGCACCTGCCTGGCAAATACAAAGTCCTGAGTTTGATTCTTGGTATCAAAAAAATGTTTAAAAATACTTAAGAGAAACCAAGCACAGTGGCAGACACATGTAATCCCAGCTACTTAGGAAACCGAAGCAGGGACATCTCAAGTGTGAGCCCAGCCTGGACAAGTAAGCAGGAACCTGTCTCAAAAAATAAGGGCTGGGGATGTAACTCAGTGGCAGAGCACCCCTGGGTTTGACACTTAGTACTACAAAAGAAAAAATATTAAAGACTTGTCTTCTGTTTATTGCTCCCCCGAACATTTGCTGAAAACACCAAAGAAACTCATGCCATGTGCATGGTTAGGATCTACCTGCTTAGAATCTGCAGCACTTCTTTCCCAGCCTGACCCTGTGGGTCTTCCTATGTACATCCCTGAGGGCTCCATGATTCCTCCGCGCCCCCCCCCCCCCCAGCCCACTTGTTTGCTCAGCCAGCCCCTGTCTTGGGAGCTGCCTCCAAGCCTCTGGTCTTGTCCACAGGTTGAGTGTGACTGTGCATATTGCCTGAGCCCTTGGAGAGGGCTCTAGCTTCATTCTATGGCTTTCTGAGTACTAAATCACCATCAATTTAAGGCAAACACTGAACTGGTTGCTCTAACCTAAAAATTTCACAGCATTTTTGGAAGCAGGGCCAGGGCTTTTGAGGCTCATGAAGCCCTCCATCCAGAGGAGACAGTGCCCTCCTAGAATCTTGGTTTGTTTTTGAGTCAAACCCATGGGCACTATGAGACACCTCAGCCATTTTTGAAGTGTCAGAATTGCAGTGCTCCTGCTTTCAGCTTCTGGAGTAGCTGGAAAATCAAAAAAATACACATCGTCATGATACGTAAGTGTTAAGCATTTGTAAAATACGGACAACTACTAAGTGGACATGGTGACACATGCCTGTGTTCCAGCAGACTGGGAGGCTGAGACAAAAGGGTGGCAAGTTCCAGCTTAGTCTGGGCAATTTAGCGACTTAGCAAGAACTTGTCAGAAAATAAAAAGTGAAAGGGCTGCAGTGAATCACTGCATGGGCTCAGGCCCCAGCCCCAGTACCTGGAGGCGGTTAAAGACAACTTAAACATTGTTATGCATTTTCTCAGTTTTCACGCTTATTGTTGCGTATAATGCCCATCACCCGTTATTTTCTTGTTTCTCTAAACATAAGAAAGGATTTCCCCAGCACTTTGCCAGGTATGGAGGCACATGTCTGTAATCCCAGCTATGCTGGAGGCTAAAGCAGGGAGATCACATGTTGGAGCAACTTAGCTTGGGCAGCTTAGCACGACCCAGTGTCAAAATTTTAAATAAGGGTTTGGGGAGGGGCAGAGTGTCCCTTGGTTAGGAGGGGAGGGGCACCCTCTTTTTTTTCTTTCTTGTTTTGTGCTGATCATTGAACCTGGGGCCTTAAACATGCTAAACACACATTTTATTACTAACCCTCGCCTTTAGTGCCCCAAATTTTGTTACATATATGTTTTTGACTGCAAAATATTTGCTTGTATTCTTCTTTTTTTTGGTACCAGCAATTGAATACTGGACCAAGTACTTGCAGGTAACCACTGCACCACTGAGCTATATCCCTGGCTCATCTAGTGTTCTTTTGTTGAATTTTTCGTAGTATGTCTGTGTTCTCACTGTGATAAAATTCTTTATTTATTTTGGTTTTTGACATGAATTGGTAATTGGGATTATTTCCTTAGAATAAATTGCCACAAATAGAATTAAAAATTTTAATGGTGCTATTATTTATTACTGGTTCGCTTGTTTGTTCTTTCTTTCGGGTACTGGGAATTGAACTCAGTACCTCACACTTGCCAGATAGGTGCTGCGCCACTGAGCTATATTCCTAGCTATTGCTGGTTTTCTTGCTGCTGTTATTATTATCAGCTTTTTGAGATAGGGTCTCTATCTACCGTAGGTTGACCTCAGAGTCACAGCGATCCTCCTGTCTCAGTGTCTCAAGTGCTGGGAATACAGGCATGGTTATATTTTCTTACTAAAGATCTATACATAGTTATAAAGGTTGTTTTTCTGGTTTTTTTTTTTTTTTTTTTTTTTTTTTTTTTTGTCTTTTTCCTTTTTATCGGTACCGGGGATCGAACTCACGACTGCCTGCTTGCAAGGCAGGTGCTTATGCCACTGAGCTAAATCCCCAGCCCGCTACATACTGGATTTAAGGACAACCTGAATGACATAGAAAGACCCTATCTCAAAACTGAACTGAATGAAACCTATCCAAAAACCAGACTTTTCCCATTTTATAATTTTAGTTAACTTTTTATTTTCAGACAATTACAAAATTCATTTGAACCATGTGTGGTTGGCACATGCCTGTAATTCCAGCACTTGGGAAGCTGAAGCAGAATTGCTGTGAGTTCCAGGTCAGCCTGGGCTACAAAGTGAGTTCAAGGCCAGCCTAAACTACATAGTGAGACCCTGTCTCAAAGAGACCATGACAAAAAACAAAAAATAAAGGTTCAGTTTCATTGGTAAGCAATGATACAGAGAGACTTGGGTACCTTTTACATAATTTCTACCAATAACATCTTGCAAACTATACTCTAGTACCATAGTCAGGATACTGGTGTTGATACTTTGGCTATCATTTTGCTGAAATTGTATTAAATTAATTTATAATTAATGGTAAAAATAATTTTTTTAAACTGGAGAATGGTCTCAGGGCCTTCACAGAGCTGTATCCTCAGGCTATGTCCCTACCTTTTTAAATCAGGGTCTCATTAAATCACTAAATTTCCCCAGCTCAGCGCAAGCTTACTTTCTTCCTCAACCTCCCATGGTGTTAAGATTATAGGTATATACCACCATACCCAGCTGGAAAAAACTATTTTCAAAAGAAAAATAATTAAAAAATGCCGAATTAGTTAATTTTTAAATGCATCTATAAATTGCATTCAGTAGAAACCCTGTAGCAGAAACCAATGTTAAGATAAAACCTGGTACTGTGTTTGCCCCTTCATGGTGGTCCGCTGTCACAATGGGAGATGTACTTTTCCTGCTTTTACTTGGGTCAAACTCTAGAGGCTGTTTCCTACTTTAATAAAACTTTGCTACCTTTCTTGCTTGTCTTGACCAATACTTTGCTCAGGACAGAAACAGCCTAGAAATCACCTTTACTGCAGCCCCAAACCTGCTAACAGAAGGGCTGTTTCTAACAACACCAAAGGATTGGGCTCTATCAAGCAAAAACATTGCATCAGCCTCCAACACCAGGCTGTCCTCAGAAACAAGATGGGCGGACAGTAGAGCCATCGTGATGCTTTTGAAGGCTTTTCTGGATGGCATTTACATACCCAGCATCACATCAGAATCAACACAAGGGCACCTGCATTCTCCCTGATGGGACAGTCTCTGGGAACTTTTTTTTTGAGACAAGATCTTGCTGTGTACTTCAGGATGACCTCAAACTCACATCAGTCCACCTACCTCAGCCTCCCAATCACTGGGATTACAGAAGTGTGCCACATACCTGCCATTTTCTCTGGGAACTTACCTGCTCCTGTCTTGCAGTATATCAGTAGACACTTTCTATTAAAAAAAAAGATAAAGGGGGCTGGGGATTTAGCTCAGCAGCATAAGCACCCGCCTTGCAAGCAGGCGGCCGTGGGTTCAATCCCCGGTACCGATAACAAAAACAAAACAAAAAAGATAAAATAGGATTAGTGTTTCTATTTTCATATTCTGCAAATGTATATAAAGCTTACATTGGCTGGATCTGAGGAACTACACAATCAAATAAACTTATCATGTCACCTAGGCCCCAGGAAATGGGAAATAACTATCCTTAGGCTATCTTGCTAAAAGAATAAAACAGTTATTTTAGTGGTATCCTCTTGGAGGGATCTCATCTCTGACACTGGGGGAAGCTATCCAGTTCCCTGATAGGAAGTCCTGTTTTATTAAAAGCAGAAGAAAGGAGAAGATGGCTTTGAGTAGTATATTACTGAGTTGTCAAATGGTGGGGCCTGTAATAGGTACATGCGGTGTGGTTTTGGCTGTGTGTGTGCCAAATTCTATGGAAGTGTCTGCTTTGCATGTAAAATAGCCCCATCCTGTCTATTAGCAGGATGGAGAAGTCAGGCTGTTTTTGTGGTGGAGTTCCATCTAGTATTGAGAGCAGTCAATTTTTTTTTTTCCTTCTGTTCCAGATGAGACAAAAAGACCCAGTGAAAGGAATGACAGCAGATGACTAAAGGCACCCCTCCCCTTTCTGCACTGTATGTACTTTATTTCTCACTGTGCATGTCATAGAAGCTAAAAATTGGTTTGGGTCCTCATGGTCTCAGCAGCTCACATGGAGTCAGAAAGTCAACTTCAACCTTCACCTTTCACTCTAGTAATGATGATGGCTGCCATGTTAAACAGTGAGCTCTCGGGCTTCCACTGATAAGGATTATAGCTTTTAAGACATTTCTGAGAAACATTTATACAGAACCACCCAGATAGACATGGACAGGGTGGTAAGGACTGGGGCCATGGACGCAGAAGCAGTTTGTGTGCCATTAATCACTTCTCCTTTTGCAACTTGAGCCATGTTGAGTAGACGCTGGCATGCTGGTGCACATTCTGTACTCATGTCAGCTGTTCCACACTGCCAAACACTGGCATTCCCTGCCCTTCCCTTAAAAAAAAAACCCTGCTGGCCAAGCAGCTTTTATAAGCATTTGTCTGTGTGTTTGGGTCTTCATTTCCTTCCTTGTACCCCTGGGCCCATACTAAGTAACTGTCCTCAACAGAGGCAGCATTGTTCAGATGCTGGGAAATACTTCTGCGTAGGTCCTGACGCCAGGGGTGGGGTGTCCCTTGCCTTGTACTGTCACTTCCCCATGGCACTTCCTGTTGGCTCCCCTGTGCCCCTCATACCTGCAGACTCGTGGTCATGAATGAAAAACCTGGTCCTGCTCTTGGACTGAGAAAATGACTTCAAATAAAAATGACCATGCTTTAGCACCAGTGATGCAAGGCTCTGCACGCTCTTGCTGCTCCGTGTTCATAGAGCAACTGCTGGGGGTCAGAAGGGTAGGACTAAGTGGATTCTTCCCTCCTACCCCAAGTGGATTCTTGCAAGGACAACTTCCCAATCACCGCTGAGGCCTCGGTGTCCTCCCCTCCATCCCTCTCCCTGCTAGATGCCACCCTTTTGGTTTTGAAATTTCTCACGATGATTTAACAGTGTGCTCCCGCCTTCCTCTGTTGCTTCCTTAATAATTGTATTTCTCTTCTAGTTTTGCAAGACAGTGGTCAACAGGAAGGCCCAGCAGCTCCACCCTCCTGAATGACAGGCCATCTTCGGACTCAGCCTTTCTGTGCCCATTCTTCAGGCAACTTCTGATCCCTTACTGTAGCTAATTCTAGATACCCTTTAATATCGTGAACAAATAAGACTGTCCGGTATTACAGAGCCCATGTGTGCGAGAGCCTGCTCCTCTGAGATATGTGGCGAGTAGGTTGCTGTATTTACAGCTCCTCCCTCTCTCTCCATTGTGTTCTGACCCATTTCTGTGTGCCTCCCCCATTTCCAAGTGACATTTTTAGTCTTTCAAAATAGCTGCCTTTTGTGATGTGATTTAAGTTCCTTTGTTTTCAACTTTGAGATAAACTAATATTTTTGCTTCCTGGGCAGATCTTTGCAGTTTTGAGTGCTCACTTGAGGAGAGAGGATGAGTTAGAAATACAGAATTCCCACCTTCCCAGTTCAACAGAATAGCAGTGTGACTTTGTAACTCTGACCTCTGCTCACATAATGTGTTGTTAAGAGTACTCTGAGCATCAAAGAGGCCCAGCTAGTCAGTTTCAGAAAATTTAACAAATATGAATAATCCCTGCCCCAGTCCTTGTATCTCTGGTCACTATTCTTAGAAACAACAGTAGCTTCTTGGTCCTCCTGTTGCCCATTCTGTGAATCATTCTGTAGAGCCCACAAGACACACCTGTTGCAGCTCTACATGGAGGGACTTGTCCAGTGTGGCCCCTTAGAATTGAGTGTATGCTATAGATACTGATCTGTCTGACCCTGAGGAGCTTCATGTGTCCACGCTCCTCTTCCCTTTTGGGCTGGTGCTGCCACTCAGCAATAATCCTCTTTTCTCTGTGCTTTTTTTTTTTTTTTTCCTTAGATCCCTATCCTCTGTCTCTGAGGTTGGTTAGAATGTAAGAGCCCTGATCTCTTCATGCTGCACACAGTGAGCATGCAAAAAGCTTTGTTTTGCAGCAGAACATGTACCCTCTTGTCTCCAATCATTGGAAAGGAATTTGAAGGAAAAGAACTCTGCTCATTCTGCCCCCAGCTGAGTTCTGTCCTGGACAATCAAAAGCAGTGATCTTAGTATAAGATTCTACCAGGGTAGGCTGGAGAAGTCCAGGTTCCAGGGGAGTAGAAGCTGCTGAGTGTTTCCTAGTTCCTAAGAGTTGGCAGAAAATGAGTATGGCTTCCTGGTGAGGGAATCCGAGACAGCTGCAGTGTCACCTGACCGTTCCCAAACCTTGTGTGTCAACCTGAATGTGCAGTCATCCAACCCCATGCTAGCCTGGGTGCCTCTTGCTGAGAGACCAAATCTCCACTGGGGGAGTGAGAAGTGAGATGGGATAATTTATCCTTATGTATTTATCATTTTGTTTGCCTTACCTTACTCATTTCTAAGTGCAATAAGGGAGTGCCTCATGGGATTGCACCTGGGACATCCTGATGGGTGGTTTACTGTGGCCCTCCTGGTATAACAGCAGACAGAACCAGACCCTGCAGCATGGTTAGCTCTGACCTTCACTGAGGTCCCTTTGGGACCAGAAACGTCAGGCATTTTTCCTCGGTCTCCTCACTTCGCTGGGTCCTTAGTAATGTACCTGGGCATTTACTTCTGATTAGCATCTCAACTGCTGGTAGTGTGTATTGGACTGGGAAAGTTGAAGAGACATTCCTAAAGGAGAAAAATGTAAACGTTTTCCTACAAGCTCTGTATTACCTATTATGTTTGTGCTTAAAGAGTTCCATTCTTCATTCGTCAACCAGATGAAGTCCAGATGTGAATTATCTTGGGAGAAACTGATACTATGGGCAGACTTTGTTCATGTAGAAGGAGAATCAGTGATGTTAATCTCCTTTCTTCAGGTCTTCTTTGAGATCCACACATATCACATCAACTCAAAGGGGATCTATCTGCCTTTTCCCTGGCTCCTCCACCTCACTTCTCACTTATACCCCAACTGAAACCATCTGTATGAGCTAAGCTACAGTTTCCTGAAATCAGCCTGCATCTGGGGTTCCTGCCCACATGAAAAATAAGGACTGTCCCTGGTATTCTGTCATAGGTAGTGCTGCTGCTGGGCAACAATGTTGGCTTCTTTTAAATATCCCCTTCCCTCCTCACCCACCCCAAACTGCCTAGCACTCAGAGGGGCTTCCAAGCAAAGGCTCAGCTCCAGAGGGAGAATACCTAAGGGTGCACAACACCCCTGCAATGCAGACTAGCTGCTTGCTTTAGACCTGCAGGGTCTCAGTCCCAGCTGAAAGCAGCAGTGCCTCTGCGTGAGGGCTGCTGGGCTTTGGCCTTCTCAAGAAGAAAAGGAGGACAGGGTCAGTATTGTGGGCATGTGTCTATCTTCCCACGTTCTTTTATAGTCCCCGCTGGGACTCCCCGACTTATTTTTGGTTGGTTCCTAGTGCTACTTCTTTTATGAATTACACTTTGTAGAACTGATTAGATTACCTTGTTTATTTAATGTGAGTTTGTGCCTTTTTTTTGTCTCAATCTTCCAATACAGGTATATTGGGAAAGAAAGCAGTCTAATAAAATCCTCGACAGAGCTTTCTGGAGTCCAGCTTACTGGTGGTGTTCTTGTGTCCATTTTACAATTCAAACTCTTAGTGATGTGCCCTCCCCGACCTTACCAGGGCAGGATTAGGAAAAGGTACAATGACATATGAAAATTTAGGCAGCCAATTCCCACTAATTAAAATAATTCCCTTGTCGATTTATTTACACAGCCTTATGTATCAAAATGCAATTTAGCCATTTTCTAGTGGCAGTGTTTCCTTTTTGTTTTTTGCTCTTCCACTTCAGGTATGCCTCATCCATCCCAGCTGCCAACATTTAAGGTGGTAGGTTTTTAAATTTTTTCTTTGGCAATAGAATTACTGTGTGTTGTCCAGGATGGCCAGAAACCCCTATTTTACCTCCTGGGTGCTGGGATTACAGGCCTAAAAACAAGACTTAACCACAATTTGGGAGGCTGAGGAAGAAGGATCACTACCAAATCCAGCTGGAACTAGAGGAGGCTGTCTGAAAGAACCGAAATGAATGAATCAATGAAAACAAAATAGCCCTTAGCCAGACCTAGTGGCATCTATAATAGCACTGTGGAGGTAGGAGGATCACCTCTGATTTGAGTTCAAGATCAGCCTGAACTACATAGTGTGACCCTACCCCTCCCCCCAAAAAAAAGTGTGTTGATGAAGATCCTTACCTCTTATCCGTCATCAGTGTGTGAAAAAGTTTATTTGTAAAACTTTTCCTAGGAGCGCAGCAACCCCATGATACCCTATGTGTAACAAATAAAACAAGGAGTTAGAAAATTCGAGGCTTGAAAAGTAATAATGTAGGTGCACCATGACCAACGTGAGGCTGCCTGTATTAGTGGGGATACAGGGTCACAAGCACAACAGTGACTAGGCGTGGCCCCTTGCGTCCCAACGGCGGGCATGGGAAGGAGGAGACGACAGAAGCTGAGCCCTAAGCCGCAGAGGGCTTCCGCCGGAAGATGCTCCCTTTTTGGCCCAGCGCAGGGCAAGATGGGATTGCCGGGAGGTGGGGCTCCGGTGCCGCCCACTAGCTCTCCTGTATGGCCCTTGTTACGTCGAGTTCTGTTGACAAGCGAGTGGCTCTTACCTCACCAGTCCCCTTACCCCACTCAGCCTGTAACGCCTTAGCTTCTGTTGGAGAGTTCCGCCTCTTTTCCCAAACCGCACCACCTAAAACCTTCGGCGTAGCAAGACCCGCCTCCTACGGAAGCCGAGGCGGACTCTCAGAATCCGGAACAAAAACGAACTTGTGAGGCGTCTGAGACCTGCTATCCGAGGTTGCTCCGGAAGGCACCAGTTTAGACACGGAGACACGAGCCTGCTGGGCCATCGCGAGGGGACGATGGCTGCTGAGAGCGAGCGGAAGCTGTCTGAGGCGAAAGCGATGAAGCTCAGGTAAGGACATCACCTGCGAGCGGGCCCTCCTGGTCGGCAGAATCGCTGACTGAAGCCCTGTAGGTATTTTGAGCCTCCGGACAGAATCAGGCATGGAGAGAACGGGCAGACACCGCTACACGATTGCCCACCTACATTCTTCCACATCAATGCGCGATGGGTTATGTGGGGACTGTGGCTCACGCCTTCCCTAAATTTAGGCTCCAGGACTCGTCCCTACGAAGCAGGTGATCCTGTTGGTCTTTAGAGCAGAAACCTGTGCTGGGCTGTTAAGGACATAATGCATTCGCTCCTTAGCTATAGATGGAAGTCTTAGTCCTGTTTTGAAACATACTCCTTGGGGATCTGCCTGATCCCTTTCTGATCTCCGAAAATCAAAATCAGATTTAGGTAAGTTCCTTTAATGAAGTGAAGCCGGGTCTCATGCTTGCTCTTTAACGAACAACGTTAATCACCAACTTACTGTAAGTCACAATGCACGAATTTACTGCTAATCTCAGACCTGAGAGTGGGGACAAGAAATCCCGGTGTTCGTTAACCATCACGAAGATTAAGTCCCGGGGGAAACAAGGAGCCTTTGAGTGAAAGGATTGCCTTCCTTAGTCCTCTCTATTGGACAGAAGGTGAAGATCATAAACAAGTAAAGTGTATAATCTCATTGCTCCAGAGAAGGTAGCTTTTGTATTATTTTGTTTACGTTCAAGGGGGAGGGAGGAAGTTGCTTAAGCTAGCCAAGAATTTCTTCCAGTCGTTCTTTTTAGGATATGAACCTCTAAGGATAAAGTCTCGTGGAGACATGTTTTGAAATAACCTGCCCTTTTCTCCCAGCTCCCATTACCCTTCCTGGTCCTATTCTGTATCGTCAGCTGCTTCGGTACTCTTTCTCATAGTGTTCTTGAGATTTACAGAAAGTTTGGTGGCTGTTCTTGATCTCTGCAGATCCTGCCTTATTTGTACTCAACACAGTCTGGGCTTCTTCAGAGTACTGCTGAATTGTACAGTTGAGTAGCTCTTCAAACTGAGCGTGTTGGCGCACTTCTATAAACCTAACACTCAGGGAGACTGAGGTAGGAGGATCTCTACAAGGCCATCCTGGAGGCCAGCCTGGGTTACATAGTGAGTTCAAGGTCAGCCTTAATTACAAATTGAGACCCTGTCTCAAGTTCTGCCCCCCTCAAGAAAAAAAAAAAAAAAAGTGCTGGACCTCGGATTTAGCGTAGCTGCGTGAGCGCCTGCCTGGCAAGTGCAAGGTAGTGAGTTTGATCCTCAGTACCAAAAAAACAAACAAAAAACTTTTCAAACCTCTTTTTTCTGGTCTCTGACAGGACATAGTACTATTAAGAGCCACTGATCTAGTTGTTTTGTGCAAAGCTAAGATGGATAATGTTACCCAATTAATAACTTTTTCCCAAGAGAGGGTAGGCTCTTGAGACAGATGCTGAGAAACTGGTTACTTAGACACTTCTTTTCAGGCTTCCTGAAGGGCTTGGTGGAATTTGAGCTACAGGGATCTGCAAACAAGGGAATATAATGTTAACTTAAATTCTCTTGCCCTAGTAGCTTGAGATCTCTCACAAGGTACAGTCTGAACCTGAACACTGAGGTCTTCCTGGTGGTCTTAGGAACCGCTGAAATGATACATAGGGGTAGGAAATTACTGACTGACTCATAGTTGGTCATTGAAATATAGAGGGCTAGAGAAGCTGAAGAATTAATAAGTTCCTGACCATCCAGCTCCCCTTCCTTTCCTTTGCTTAACCAAAAGCTTGTGGGTTCCCTTTGGTAGCACCAGTGCAACCACATGTGGTCCTGAATGGAGAATGCAGTCCAGGATAGACTGCTGCTTCAGGGGATAAAAGTGAAGATGAAGTCCATTGCTCCCCCTATCATCAGATGCAGAAACACATTTCCCATTATTATGCAGTAGATTGTGGTACAATCTTGACCTTTGTCCATTATCTCGACAGGCTCTTATCCCCTTCCTCCCTTTGCATCCCTTCCACAGAATTCATGTTGTGACATGGAATGTGGCCTCTGAAGCACCTCCTGTAGACTTCAGTGACCTGCTTCAACTGAATGACCCAGACCTGAACCTGGACATGTATATCATTGGGTAGGTAACTGTAGGACCCTTTTGTTTATCCTGTTGGTCTTAAGAACCCCTGAAATGATGCATAGGGGTAGGAAGTTAGTATTCTAATCATGTGGGGGACTTTTGTAACTTGGCTTCCTTGCTCTGAGTTTAAAGGTCAGGTGTTTTCAGGCTCACTTGGGTCAGTCCTGTGTCTCTTGTCCTGGATTTGCAGTGGCCAGATGTTGGAGACCAGCAGTCAGAAAGCTAGGGGAAGGAGAAAACATAGCCATCCAATCTAGGGCTAGAAAGTCTGATGAGGGCAATATTAAATGTCTTGGAATGCCAGGCATTGGTGGCGCACACCTGTAATCCCAGCAATTAGGAGGCTGAGGCAGAAGGATTGCCTCAATTTCTAGGCCAGCCTGGGCTACATAGTGAATTCAAGGCCAGTCTTAACTACATAGCAAAACTCTGTCTCAAGAAACCAAGAAGAGGGGAAAATGTTTTTGGGAGAAAGAGGTATCCTCTGACTAGGATGGTCAGTTTGCAGGAAATGAACTCTGGGATCATAAGCCTCCTTTCCGACACTGCCTTTGATGACCCGTGGAGCACCTCTTTCATGGATGTACTTTCCCCTCTGAGCTTCGTCAAGGTAACTTATTACAAGTTCATGAGTGATGAAAAAAGTGACATTTCCACTGACCCCATTGTTTGGTCTGATGTGTTCCTCCCACTCCTGCTCAACTGTTGATGCTGTTTCCCATTTATTGAAAGCTTTGAGCCTCACTCTACCTGGCCCCCTGAGGCTCTTGCTAGCCTTGTGCCTTTCCAAGATAGCTAGGACTCTTTAAGAGTTTGTTTCACACCTATTTAGAAGAATTGCTAGTGCAGATGCAGCCAAAATTATTAACACTACGGTGCCTACCTTCGCTTCATCCTCCAGTTTCTACTCATTGCCCAACCTGAAATCTCTCAGTATAATAATTGTTACCACCTACAGAGTGCTTATTTGGTATTAAAGGTTAAAAATAAAAGTTTTTTCCTTCCCGTGCATTGGAGGTTGAACTCAGGGCCTTGCGCACGTTACACAAGTACTCTATCACGGAGGTACATTTTCTACCATTGAGCCCTTCTGTAGATTTTATTTTGAAGCAGTATTTTGCTAAGTTGCCTAGGCTGTCTTCAAATTTGTAATCCTTCTGTCTCAGCCATAAATAAACTTCTCACATAATTTATTTTACTCTATTGTATTTACTGTTTGTTTGTTGGTATTGGGAATTGAACTCAGGATGTTGCACTTGTCAGGCAGGTACTGTGCCACTGAGCCCAGTAATTCTTTTAAAATCTTAGCAACTCTCATGGGCTGGGGATTTAGCTCAGCAGCATAAGCACCTGCCTTGTAAGCAGGCGGTCATGAGTTCAATCACTGGTTCCGATAAAAAAAAGAAAAGAAAAAAGAAAAATGAGCTGTGCATGATGGCATATACTGTAAGCACAGCATTCAGGAGACTCAGGCAGGAAGATCACAACACATTAAAGGCCAGCCTGCACTACATAGCAAGACCCTGTTTCAATAAATAAATAAATAAAACAAAAAAGCAAAAAAGGGGAGATAGATACGGTGGAAAAAGCTTCTTAACCTAAGGGATCAGTATTCTTTAGTGAAACTTTAGACTTTAGTAGAATCCACAGAAGGCTATAGGCTGCTGAGTCTCAACATGCTTCTGTTCATAGCATCTAGTTTATGGCTTCTTGGAAATGCCCAAAATCTTTTGGTTTCCTCCCCAGGGTGACTGCTGCCACTCTTCATTCTGTTACCAGGGCTGGATGTGTGGCTGAGGAGTACAGTGATAGCCCAGCATGCACAAAGCCCTGGGTTCAGTCCCCAGCAGCTGGGTGGGAGGTTAATTCTGTTTCCCTATTTTCTCTGAGGATGTCAGAGCAAGAGCTGTGTATCCTTGAAGGAGGAAAGGGAACATAAGATTTAGTCCTCTTATAGGAAGACAGCCACAAGTTTGAGGCCAGCCTGGGGTACATAGTGAATCAAAGCCAACCTGAATTATGCAGTAAGAATTTGTATCAAAAAACAAAACAAAAAACAGAAGAAGAAGGAAGTAAAACACACTTACCCACTCCACCCAGGGAGAAAAAAGATTTCATCTTCTGCTAAACTTAGAAAATGCCAGGCTCTTGTTTCCTTCCTAATCAATTCCAGGCCTCTTCCTATAGGCTTGGAGGGTTGAACCACCTCTCTCAACACTCTCTCCCTTCCCAATAAGCCTCTTTGTGCCTTGGCTAACTGGCAAGGAGTAGGATGAAACTGAGCCAAGGAAACTAGCTCAGCCTATAGTAGGGACCCCACCCATTCCACCCATGCAACTTCCCAAGGTTGGGTGGCAGCCTACGGGTCAGGCACCTAGAACAGATGCTGCTCCTTGTCCCCACCAAGAATTGAAGTTCACAGGCAAGCCCTGTTTACAACCTATTCTTTGGATAGGGATTGCCTCCTATAGGTTGAAAAGTCTGGGCAGACTGCTTTTGCTGTTTCAGGGCTTCCCATTACCTCCTGCCCGTCAGTCAGTCCCACCTTCAGTACCTCCTCCTTTATTTCCTCCAACTGGAATTTCCCCTAAAGTCTCTTGCTTTCCCCCACAGTCCCAGCTTTTCTCCCATTCTGACTCCGTCCTTCTTACCCCTCACTTCCTCCTATTCCTTCACAAAGTAGAACAGTCTTTATGGTGGAGCCCAGGACCCTAAATCTGGTCTGTGAGTTAAGATTAAGCTCAAGTCTGTTGGTGAATGTTTATCAGACACAGTCCTTACTGCAGGACTCAGTTCTTCATAGTCCAGCCCCACATAGGGTGGAGGGTGATGTTGACATATTTGTGGCACCCTCTGACCAACCTCAGGTTCTAATGCTTCCCTCATTCAGTGCTGAGCTGGGGTTCCTGCTGCTTTGAGTCTTCCACTATGCTAGGGTTCCTAGCCTGTGGGACTAAGTTTCATAATTCCTGGAAGGCCCTAGTACACTCCCCACCCGGGGATTTCCTCCTTGGCCTCCGCACCTCCTGCTCCGGAAACAGCTACTTGGATGGTGGGTGTAGACAGCCTGAACTGAGAGAGTCACTGGCCGCAACCCATTCCCACGTCACCCCTGCAGCTGCAGATAGTGGCCTTTTGGCAGTACTAGAACTGTGTTACTGGTCCCTTAACCTCCTGAATCTCAGTCTCACATCTACAAAACAGTTACTCCTTAGATGGTGAAAGGGTAAATGAGATCCAGGTACATTCGTTCATTCATTTGTTCTTTCTGGGTACCAGGAATTGAAATGGGGACCTTGGCCTTGCCAGGCAGGTGCTGTGCGCTGAGCTGCATCCCAGGCCCAATCTCAGTACTTCAGTAGATACTGTCTTCCCAAACCTGCAAACATACATCCTCCATCCCATTGCTCCCATCCCTAGTGCATTGCCCTAATGAACATCCAACTACATACAATCTGTGGTCACTTTTGAGGGGTAACTTTTTATTTACTTTCTTTTCACTAGGCTAGAAATGTACAGAAAAGAGTGCAGAAAGGAAGTATACGTGTGGACATGCATGCCTGAGTGGACTTGCAAGGCTGAGGCTGGAGGGTTACAAGCTTAGAGCAAGTCTGGGCAAATTAGTAAGACTTACTGCAAAGTAAGAGGGGTGGACTGGGGATATAGCTCAGTAGTAGAGTGCTTGCCGTGTGTTGAGCCCTGAATTGCCCAACACCACACAAACATAAAGTACGGTTTGGTAGATTTTTACACATATGTACATACCCATATTTCCATTGAGTGAGGTCAAAATATAGAATGAGCTAGGCATGGTGGCACACACCTGTAATCCTAGCACTCAGGATACTAAGGCAAGAGGATCTCACAAGTTTGAGGCCAGCCTCAGCTACATAGTGTGTTCAAGGCCAGCCTAAACTACATAGTGAGATCCTGTATGAAAAAAAAAGGAGGGGCCAGGGATATAGCTCTGTGCCATAAGTGCCTGCCCGACAAGGTCCTGAGTTCAATTTCCAATACCAACAACAACAACAAAAAAAAAACAGAATGTTTACATTATTCTAAAAGCCTATGTCCATGTTCTCTCCTTGCATTTATGTACCTTTTAAAATCCTTGAAGTCCAGAAAATGGCCTATATCTACATTTCTAGCTGCTTGGGACACGGAGGCAGGAGGATTGCAAGTTAAGGACTTTCTGTTTCAGGAAAAATTAAAAAAAGAGTCCTTGAACCAAAAAATAATAGTATTATTTCTTCCCAGCATCTGTGACAGTATTGTTCCTGCTCTATCAAGGACATAATAGGCTGAGGTGCTCGTCAGTTCCCTAGAATCGCGGGGCGGCATCAGTGAAAAAGGAGCACCTAGGCATGTATGTGGCTAGGACTGAAGCGTTAGAGTCCCCCTCATGGCGTGAGGTCCTGGCAGCCACAGCTTCTCCACCCCACGCCCTCCACAAAGAATGAAATCTGTGGTCCCAGAATGTACCTGAGGGAAAGAAAGAAAAAAGGGAGTAAAATCGACACTGACTGGGATACTATAAACCCTGGGAGTAGGTACTGCGTGGGTTTGGGCTCCACAGAGTGCCTAGCACCAGGCGTGGCAGGGTACACTTGGCATGTGCTATTCAGAGAATGACTTTTGCCCCTGTTTTCCTGCAGATCTCCCACATCCGAATGCAGGGACTCCTCTTAATAGTCTTTGCCAAGTACCAGCATTTGCCTTTCATTCAGATCATCTCTACAAAATCTACCCCTACTGGTCTCTACGGGTACTGGGTAAGCACTGAGCTATTCTCTGAGTCACAAACTGGGAGAGCTGGGGAGTGTCAGAGCTGAGTAAACTGAATGAGTCTTGGTACTCCATCAGGCCCAGTATCTTTCATTCTACCTCAGAGAGGGCTGGGCATCCCTGAGACTCCCAGCCAGGTACACTGGGCTCTCTGCATGGACAGTTTACCCTAGAAAGCTGAGTGTATCCCTGAAAGATCCCACCCAAAGTGAGACTCGGGCCTGGGATGGGAAAAGGTTCCAACCCAGAGTAGTGGCCCACCTTTGTGTCCACCTGTCCCACCAGGGGAACAAAGGGGGAGTCACAATCTTCCTGAAACTTTATGGCTACTATGTCAGCATCATCAACTGTCACCTGCCTCCCCACATGGCTAACAATGACCAGCGACTGGAGCACTTTGACCGTATTCTGGAGATGCAGAATTTTAAGGGACATAATGTCCCCAACATCCTGGACCATGAGTGAGCGTGGAGCTGCAAACTGTCACCCTCCCTCTCCATGCCAACCCAGTCTCTGTTTCCCAGCCAGTCAGTAGTGCTTTCTGTCCCACCCTGTCCCTGGCCCCTACCCTAATGTCCCATGTACTGGCTTACCTGGCCTTGCATGCCTGGGGTCCCTTTTCTTCTGGCCCTGTGTCCTTGCCTAGATACCCTGGATATTTCTGAACATCTGAGGTCAGGAACCTTGTGGTAAGCCAGGCATGGTAGCACATACCTACAATGCCAGCTACTTGGGAAGCTGAAGCAGGAAGATTATAAATTTGAGGTCTGCCTCTGCTACATAGCAAGACCCTGTTTTAAAAAACAAAACAGTGAGTCAAGCATGGTGGCACACTCCTGTAATCCCATCATTCCAGAGGCTGAGGCAGGAGGATTGTTGCAAATTCAAGACCAGCCTGGGCTACAAAGTGAGCCCAAGGCCAGTCTGAATTGAGTAGAGAGACCTTATCTCAAAAAGACAAAAACAAAAGCAAAAAAACAATGTACCAGTGGACCCTTGACTTGCTCAATTTGTTCTCAAGTGCTGGTTGTAATTTAAGTTGTTCATTGAAGGCTTAGGCTCCTCTTCACAGCCTTCAAAGTCTCTCTCTTGTACACAGGCAGATCTCAGTGTTTTTAGACACTGGTCCAGGATTTCTCAGTGAACCCCATACAGGAAAGGAGTGCTAATGTTCCTTTCAGAACTCTTTAAAGGTTAAATCTGTGTGAGACCACCTGGAAGCACAGGCAACTGGCCTTAACTCAAGATTTCAGTTGTGAGTTAAAACTAAAAGTCAGCTGGGCGTGGTGGCTCACGCCTGTAATCCCAGCACTCAGGAGGCTGAGGCTGGAGGATCATTTTGAGTTTGAGACCAGCCTGGGATACAAAGGAGCTCAAGGCCAGCCTGAACTACATATCGAGACCCCCATCTCAAAAAAGACAAAAAAAAAAAAAAAAAAAAAAAAAAAAAACTAAAAAAACTAAAAGTCAAAGCCAGGTATGGTGGTGCACACACATAATCCCAGCACTTTTTTTGTGCCCCCCCAAAATAAATACATAAATCTAAAACTCAAGAGTCCACTGTAATCCCATACTCAGGAAGTTGAGGCAGGATGATCGCTGAAAACTCGAAGCCAGCCTAGGTTACATAGTTCAAGAGCAACTTGAATTGCAGAGTGAGACCCTCTCCCAAAAAGCAAAATAAGATAGCTCAGTGGCATAGCGCCTGCCTGGCAAGCACAAGGTCCTGAGTTCACTTCCTAGTACTAGAAGGGTTATTTCTCAGCCTGTGCTGGTAGTCAGTTGGGGGCGGGGTAGAGCCTGGTGTATTTTCCATATGCCCCTTTGAGTTGGTGCCTTCAGCCTGAATGATGGTATGGAGCCATGAGAACAGTCTTTTTGGCCTCACGCGTGTCCTTATCATCAGGCAGTGCTCTCCTAGGCTTCTCATCTGCCCCCTTTGAGCTTTCTCCTCTCCAGCACGTCTTAGATTGAGCAGACCTGAGTTTCCTGTGGCTCCTCCCTTCAAAGACCTCATCACAAAGATTTCCCTCCTTTCTTTCTAAAGCCTCATTCTCTGGTTTGGAGACATGAACTTTCGGATCGAAGACTTTGGATTGCACTTTGTTCGGGAATGCATAAAAAATCAGTGCCTCAGTGACCTGTGGGAGAAGGATCAGGTATCAAGCAAAAGGAGGGTCCCAAAGGGTACACTTGAGCCCACTGTAAAAGAGCAAAGGACATCACTTGGGTTCCCTGGGAGCAAGGAAGGGGATCGGTGGGGCTGGGGTGGGGCACCATCCTGCCCATACTTGTTCTTTTCCTGTGCTGTAGAATAGGGAGCCTGAAAGGCTTTGGTCTGCTGTGACCCCACACTGTCCATCAGTCCCTTTGTGTCCTTGGTGTCTTTGGCATCCCTAACCTTTTTCATCTCCTGGAGGATGAGGTGCCTTTTGGGACCATTCAAAGCCTATTCCCTGCGTCTTAAGAACTGGGAAATCAGCAGGCAGCTGCCCCTCTGACTAGGATTCAGCTGCTGTCTGGAACAGGGGTTGGAGGACTGAGGAAATCACTGGGACAGTGAGAAAAGAGTGTGTGGACCTGAGTCAGGAGAGGAGAAATAGGGAGTCTGCCTTTATCTACAGCTCAGCATTGCCAAGAAACGTGACCCACTGCTCCGGGAGTTCCAGGAGGGCTCTCTGCTCTTTCCACCCACCTACAAGTTTGATAAGAACTCCAACAACTATGACACCAGGTGAGGAGGAAATGGGTGCCCAGCCCAGGAAGTTGAATTATGCTGGCACTAGTGGTGGTTGCAACTGTCACAGACTAGAAGTGTAGGAGAAGCAGGACTAAATCAGTCATCACCCCTCTCCTAAGTGGCACCTCCTGCCCACTGTGTGAAGTGCTGACTGTGGGAGCTGTCTCATATTATCCTTGGAACAGAGGGGAAAGCAAGGAAGTGGGGAAGGGTTGGAGGAGATGGAAAAGGTAGTCCTAACCTAGGGGGCAAGGTACATGAGCATTCTAGGAACCCCAAAATAGGGTACTGAAAGCTTGGCTCATGTGGTTCCTGGCATTAAGTATTCCTACTCAGTCTGTGAGGCAGTCAGGTACAGTGTGGGGCAAGATGAGGGAGGTGACAGTGCAGAGACAGTGACTCAGGCATGGTGACACATGTCTCTGCTCCCAGTTTCCCATTTGGGAAATTGATGCGGGAGGACGTGAGCCCAGGAGTTGGAAGGCAACCTGAGAAATGTAGTGAGACCCTTTCTCAAAAAAACCAAAACAAAACAAAATCAGAGGTTGTGCATCTAGTGCTGTGCTGCTCCCCTTCAGCTATACATCCTTAGGGTATTTAAGCCTCAGTGCTGCCATCTACAAAATGGAAATGGTAACAGTACATACCTCATGGGGTGAGGGTTGAATTGCTTAGACCTTGAATGTCATTAGCCCAATGGTTGGCACCCAGTAAGCATGCGTAATAGCTGCAGTTGTTACTTTCAGTTTCTTCTCAAGTGGTAGGTTTTTTTTGGGGGGGGGGTGTTGTTTGTTTTTTAGAGACAGGGTTTCATTGTGTAGTTCAGGCTGGCCTCAAACTCAGCAGCAGTTTAGACAGAGGTTTAGATAGAGGGTCAAAAGCAGCTCTGGTAGTGGGTCCCTGACCCAATTTAAGGCATGGACCTTAGTCTCCTCCAAGAAAAGAAAAACCCCATACATTTTAGGGAGCTGCTAATTTTGCTTGGATCAACTTCTTCATTCTTCCTAGCAGTACTGTCTTAAGAAGGAAGTGAGAGGTGCCTACAGAGGTCTTCACAGCAGGCCAGGGTAGAAAGCTGAACTATAGGCTTGTTCTGGAAGTGGTATACCAGAGCCAAAATGTCCCCGCCAAGGAAAGAAAGACGGCGGTGAGCTGCTTCAAGAGTGTGGAGCAAGATGGAGTGGGGTCATGGCCAATGCTGTCCATAGAAGAGGAGGCAGTGAACACTGGCAACAGAGTTCAGCCTGGGCCACAGAGCAGGCAGTAAAGGAGGCAAGAGGGCAGGCCAGGGAGCCTGCCTGTCTCTAGCCATCCATTGCAAATGAGCACTAGGGCTCAATGAACTGGCCTGGGCCTTGGAGGCTGGAACCTCTACCGCTGAATGCAAAACTTCATTTGTGGGCTGAAGATTAGTTCAGCAGTAGAGCCCTACCCGGCCTGCACAAGGCCCTGGGTTCTATCTGTGGCACTACCAAAATAAAGGGAGGACAGTGAGGGACACCAAAAGAAAAACGAGACCTCACTTGCCGTGTGGTCAGGATACAATTTGGAAAATGCCAACGACTATTAAGTCCTTGAAGCAGCTGGATCTGGGCTGGAGTTGCCAGGTTCTGACAGGTCGGTAGGCCCACAGATGGTAGAGGTTCAGGTGGCTCAGTGGTGAGCTGGGACTTAGACTTAGCTGGACTCTAGTGCTTTCCTTAGGCTGTAGTGCCTCAGAATTCACAGGTAGCAGCCAGGGGTATAGTTTAGTATAGAGCACATGCTTAGCATATGTGAAGCCCTGGATTTGATCCCAGCACTGGAAATAAAAACAAAGGTTCATATTCATTTGTGCCAATTGCAGAAAAAGCAGGAAAGCAGTAACTACCTGCTAATGAAGAGGCAGATAGTATTTATTTCTATGTACTAGCACATTGTGATTGACATTATTGAACCTTTAACCATGTGCCTGGAGTTGAGCAAAAGACTTCGTCCGCATCGTTTCACTTGATTTTTTAAAAATTTTTTTATTTTTGTCTTTTTCATTTTTATCGGTACCAGAGATCGAACTCACGACCACATACTTGCAAGACAGGTGCTTATGCCACTGAGCTAAATCCCCAGCCCCATTTCACTTGATTCTTAACATATCAGATAGATACTGTTGTTACTGACTTGTAAAATAAAGAAAATGAGTCTCAGGGATTGTCTAAGCCAGATAATAGCAGACTTAATGATGGGGCAAGAATTTAAACCCAAGTTCTTCTGACTCCAGTCCCACAAGCTTTCACTACTCCTTCCCCTTGCCTGAAACTCAGGGAATAAAGGACCGTCTGGTAGAATAGGGGACATCATAACTGAAGTATTCCTGCCTGAGAGGCAGCTGGCAGCTGGCCTGGAAAGCAGAGACATCCATGTAATCAAAACTTCAATTCATCCTAAAATGCCAGTTCAGTCATCATCTTTCCTAGGAAGCCTTTCTTAGTTGTCCCCCAGCTAACTGAGTTCCTTTCCTACCCTATGCTGCCACCAAGCCTTACACACATTAGGTTCCAGTGGTGTTTTTAAGACTCAACATGACTTTGATGTATTTAGAATGTCCAGAAGGTAGAAATCGAACCATCCCTAGTATAAAGACAATGTCTGGTGTGTGTTTAAATTGGGAGCCTGAAAGGACAAAAGGGAAAGTCATGATATTTAAACCAGTCTAACTCAGGGACCCACCCATGGCAGTGAGATACAAATAAATACTGTTGAGCTGAGGAGAAGACATTTCCAGAACACTACATAAGTGCCCAAGGAGGCTGGCAGCTAAAGCTAGGAGGGGTCAAGCAGATTCTTCAAAGAGAGTGCGGTTTTTGTTTTGCAGTGCTGAGGATTAAACTCAGGACTCCACCCCAAAGGGAATATCAAGGAGGAAGCAGTTGGGAGACAGTAGAGAGGCAGGCATTCCAGTAAGTCAGCACTGCTGACAAGAGGCACCTCGAGCAGAGGCTGACCCAGCAGAGGCCTGGCCTGTCTGGCTGTACAAACTGATGTGGGTAATTGGTGTGCAGGCAATGGTGTACAGCTTTGAGCTGCCACTGCAGTGTCCCTGAACCAAGATGTAATGAGAAACGAGGTCAGCTCCGTTACAGGGGAGGGTGGAAGGATGGAAGACTGGGAGGGAAATCGTGTTAGAGTCAGAGATTGCATTAGGGTTTGGTTACAGTCACCATTATGACACAGATGACCTACTCATAGACAATGATTATAATCAAATCTAGTCAAGACTTTTAAGTGCCTGACAGGTTAACTGTGGTTCAGGATTCAATGAGACACTTTAAAGCAATATATAAGGAGCTAAAGAGACAAGTGCTTTTGGTCCCAGAAGTTGAGCCCATCAAGCACCAGGTGAGACTCCTAACAGAATCTTATAGAGTTTAACCCAGCATGGTGGTGCATGCCTAGAATCCTAGCACTCAGGAAACTGTGGCAAGAGGATCACCAAAGTTTGAGATCAGCCTGAGCTACACAGTGAGTTCAAGGGCAGTCTGTACTACACAGCAACCTTATCCCCCAGTCCCCGCCAAAAAAAAGCTATTGAACTACGTGGTTTTACATTTTTGAAAGCAAAGGCATGTTCATTTATCTCAAAAGCTATAATGTGAGCTGGGAATTTAGCTCAGCAGCACAGGCACCTGCCTGGCAAGTACAAGGTCATGAGTTCAATCTCCAGTACAAAAAAAAAAACCTTGTAATGTGTAGTATGCATGCATGTATTCTCAGACTTGGGAGGCTGTGGCTTGGAAGATCACTTGAACTCTAGTTTGAGACTAGCTGAGGCTGTATAGCTAGATCATGGCGGGGAGAGGGGGACCTCAGAAACATTTCCAAAAGGTGTTACCTAGGTTCTATTCTCATGGTGCCACTAGCAAGACTAGTTTGGGATGGGGCAGGAGAGGTAATGGAGTGCAGTGCAAAGGCCCACAGGCTTCATAGAGTGTGCTAGGCAAGCACTCAGCTTCCACCTGGACAGGATAGCCTCTCTCAACTGCAGTTTGCTGCCATGGAAGAAGAATATGACCTTTATTGCAGACTTGTTGTGAAGATTGGAGCCGTCCGTGAGACACTGTCACAAAGCCCAGAGCACAGGAGGACCCAAGCTGTAGTCGTTATGAGAAATGAAAAGTAGGAGAATGTATGCATGTGGGGGTGGGGGCAGTACAAGAGGTGGAACCCAGGGCCTTGGCCCAGACTACTACTTCGACACTTTTTTAACGTTTTGTTTGAGACATTACCCAAGCTGTTCTGTAACTTACAGTCCTCCTGCCTCGGCCTCCTGGGGGCTGCAATTACACGTGTGGGCCACTATATCTGGTTATATTCAGAGTTTGAACTTGGTTATTTTCTTTTGTTTTCTGCTTTTATTTTTCAAACAAGCTTCTCAAGGGGCTAAGGATATAGCTTAGTGGTAGAATACTTACCTACTTGGTACAGGGCCCTGAGTTTGATATCTAACATTGGGAAAAGGGAAAACCCAGATGGGAGTGGGGTATGCACCATCAGTAATTCTGTCCACTCAGGAGCCAGAGGCAGAAGGAACACAAGTGCAAGACCAGCCTAGACAATTTAGAAGGCCATTTTCTCAAAAAATACATTCTTCTAAGAGCTAGCACTTGCCTCAGTGGTACAGCATATGAAAGGCACTGGTTTCCATCTTTAGCACCGCAAAAGGGGGAAAAAATTAAAAAGGCCCTTACAGATCCTACTTTTCATCATCTCCTCAGTTGCCTGGCATCCAGTAAATCTTGGTGAAAAGAATGAACAATACAAGTGCCCAGTGACAAGCCTCGGCCAGGAAAGGAAAAGGAAAGAGAGACAAGGAGAAAAGTCCCAGGAAGAAAGATGCCAAAGCTACAGTCAGGTCTCAGGGAGGAGCCCCACCTGGCAATGGGTCTGGGCTCTGAAGCAGCACAGAGGAGCTGGAGAGGGGGTGATTACAAAAAAGGGAGAAGGAGGAGGTGCATTTCTGTAGTTTTGTTACCAGGTTTTGAGCTTCACTGGGCTCCTGATGTGCAAGGTAAATCAGGGACCTCTGGGATGGAAATGTCACATGCTGGTATCTGAGTACTCCTCAGAAGAGTGACAGTCAGGAAACAACCTGAGGAGCTAGGAGGCAGATTGTGATCAGCCAACCTCACAGCTTCTTGACCACTCCCTTGACTTCTTTGGCTCACAGTTGTCTTTAGAGTGCAGTTATCACCCCATCTTACAGTTGAAGAAAGTGTAGCTAGAGAACTGCTGTCACTTGCCCCAGGGCACACAGCTGTGAGTTACACCAGGCTGGAACTCTCCCCCAGTGGCTTTCTGAATCCAAAGTACTCTCAACCTGGCACCATTCTCAGTCACTGGATGACAGGCTGCTGCTTAAGGGACAACAATGCACTGGAAATGTTGATTAAAATAGTAATTGAATAAAGCAAGAGATAGAAATAGTGTTCCAGAGTGATTTTAAATGTGTAGGACTATACACACGAAGACTGGAGGAGATACTTTGGCGGGAAGGGAGGCTATTGGAGATTGAATCCAGGATCTCTGTGCTGAGTAATACCCCCAGTCCATCCGTCTGTCCGTTCGTTTGTTATTTCTCTCTCTCTCTCTCTCTCTCTCTCTTATTTTTTTTTTTTTTTTTTTTTTTTTTTTTTTTGGTACTGCAGATTTAACTCAGGACCTCACACTTGCAGGTGCAGGTGCCTACGGTACTGAACTAAATGTGCGCGGGCACACACACACACAGCCCTTTCTTTATTTCTTATCTTGAAACAGAATCTTGCTAAGTTGCCCAAGTTAGGCCTGAACTTAGAATCCTCCTGCCTCACCCTCTGAGTGCCGGTGTTGCAGCCCCTGTACCACCATGGCTGGTTGGAAGAACATTTCTAAGGAGAAAGACTGAGTTGATAGTGTTTTATTTTTGAGATAATGTCTTGCTGTGTAATCCAGGCTAGCCGTGTACTCAATATGCAGCCCAGGTTGGTAGTTTTGTTTTTTCAGATGAGATTTCACTGTGTTGCCCAGGCTATTCTCCAAGTCCTAGTCTCAAGGGATCCTCCTTCCTGAGCTTTCTGAGTATCTGTGACCACAGGCATGTGCCGCTGTGCCAAGCAGAGCTTGTGGTTTTGCATTTGGGCAGTTGATGTGTGCCTGTGTGCTGGTATCTATGCTAATGCTAAGGATACCTGGTAGGCTCCAGTGGGCTCCAGGAGCTAGTCCTTGCCTTAAAAGTTCCGGTGCTTCAAAACTCTAGGCTAGAAATGATAGAGGGGTGAGGATCAATAGAGTGAAGTTACATAACAAGTACAAAAACAGCTAGCAAGGAGGAGTATGTTCTAGGATTCAGAAAGACTGTAGGACAGCTGTTGTTCACAGTTATTTATCACGTTTCATAAGACCTGGGAAAAGGTGGGGATGGTTGTACGCACCTGTAATCCCAGCAAACCAGAAGGATCGCTTCAAATTCAAGGCTAGCTGGTGCTACATAGTGAGACCCTGTCTCAAAAAAAAAAGACCTGGAAAGGAAGAGAGCAAATATCTAAACATAAACAAATGATAAGGAGAAAGAAATACTGATCACCCTGATGTGGTTAACACACAGTACATGCAAGATGTTGGCTTTCCACAGTGAAGCCCCTTAATATGGGAAAATTAAACAAAGATTTTTAAACACATACTAGCTTTAAGTATCCTTTGATAAAATAAATGCATGTCTAAAACTAAAGGGAAGAAAAGTTAGACTAACTGATGCGCTGAGTGGAAAACAGAAAATTACAATATAATGTAGTTATATAAATCCTGGTGTCCAGTGCTTTGGAAGCCGGAAGATGAGGTCTGTAGTAGCTGTGTGACAGAGGCAGTGTTGGGATTGAACCTCAGTGGAAAGGGGGGATTCCAGCCAGCAAAAACTATAGGTGCGAGGCTCAGAGCTTTGAGGAGGGCAACCAGGGTAGTATGAGCCTGGGGAGGATGTGGGAGGTGAAGTAGGACAGGGGAGGTCGGACTCCTGAGCCCCTTGAAAGCCCTCCTTGGGGACTATTGCTTATGGTAGAGGAAGTAAAGACCCATAAACGTTTTTTTTACCTCGTTGAAATTTTGGGGTTTGTGTTTGTTTTTGTGCTGAGGGTAGAATCCAGTGTGTTTAATCCTTAAAGATTTTAAAGTTGAAAATCAGAAAGTCAGGCTGGGGATTATTTAGCTCAGTGGCATAAGCGTCTGGCGAGTGTGAAGTCACGAGTTCAATAACCTGGTACAAAAAAAAAACCATAAAATTATCTTGTCTGCTTTACTACTCTGAGTAAATTCAAGAAAAAGGATCATCAGGCAGGTATGGTGCCACACACCTTTAATCTAAGCACTCTGTGAACCTGAAGCAGGAGGGTATCAAATTTGAACGGAGTCTGGGCAGCCTAGCAACTTAGTAAGACCTGGCCTCAAAAAAAAAAAAAAAAAAAAAAGCTGGGAATGTAATGTAGCTCAGTGTAAAGACCCAGATTTCAACCTCCAATACCAAGAAAGAGAAAAAGAAGATGGGCATGGATGTGGTGGCATATACCTCTAAGCCCAGCACTCAAAAGGTTGAGGCAGGAGAATTGCTGGTAAGTTCCAGGCCAGCCCTGAGCTACATTGTGAGTTCAAGACCAGCCTGAACTATGTGGTGAGACACTGTTTCACAAAACAAAAAAAAAAAAAAGAAAAGAAAAGAAAAAGAAAAGAAAAAGAAAGAAAAAAAACAAGAAGGAAGAAGAGTGACCGCCAAAATCCAGAAATAGCTACTGACCTTCCTGTTCAGCCATAATGATTCCATGAGTTATGTTCATTTGGAAAGGCAGAACCTGAGACCCAGCTGACCTTAGCAGATGCCCTAATAGCTGCCTAGGCATTGTGTGTTAGGGGTAGACACTTGCCTTTCCTTTGAGTGACTTCAGTTACTTAGAGGAAGAAAGCATTTGTCTCTAGGGACCCTATGGCCTCTCATCTTCTCAGGAAGTCTGTAAGGGAAGAACAAGGTGGGAGGTGTCTCAGGTAACTGTTTTTTTGTACTGGGGATCGAACTCAACCTCATGCCCTGGTGCTTGCCAGGCAGGCACTATGTCGCTGAGCTATATCCCGGCCCTATCTTTCCTTCTTTCCTCCCTTCCTTCCTTCCTTCCGTCCGTCCGTCTTTCTTTTCTTTTCTTTTTCTGGTACTGAGGATCAAAACTCACAACCTTGTGTCTCAGGTAACTGTTTTTTTGTTGTTGTTGTTGTTGTTTTTTGGCCTTTTTCCTTTTTATCGGTACCAGAGATCGAACTCACGACTGTCTGCTTACAAGGCAGGCACTTATGCCGCTGAGCTAAATCCCCAGCCCCTCAGGTAACTTTTGAGAACAAAGAATCATAGCAGTAGAGCTTTTTTTGCACCAAACACTATGCTAAACATTTCATGTGCATTATCTCATCCCATGCAATTTCAGCCTCAGAGGTAACAGTTTCTTCTTATTTTTGATGATACTGAGGATTGAACCCAGATCCTTTGCAGTAAGCTTCATCCTCAGCTCCTTTTGGTTTATTGTTATTATTATTGTTATTATTGTCTTTTTGAGATAGGGTTTCACTATGAAGGTTGGCCCTGAACTCACTTTGAAGCCCAGGCTGACTTCAAACTCACAGTAATCCTCCTGCTTCAGCTTCCCAAGTGGCATGTATCACTACACCCAGCCTTTTTAGATTTTGAGACAGGGTCTCAAAATTTAAAGTCGCCCATGCTGGGCTGGAACTTAGGACCCTCCTGCCGCATTCTTGCAGAGTGCTGCTATTGTAGGCATGTGCTGTAACACCCAGCTGAGGTAGATACTATCTCCATTTTCCAGGTGAGGAAGTAAGTTGTAAGAGAAGTTAGCTTGGTCGTTAGGAGCACGAGCTGTGCTCCCTGGCCTTAAGTCTGGTTCTGGTTGCACCACTTAGTAGCTGTGACCGAGGCAATATTACTCACCATCTGAGACTCAGTCTCTCGGCCTCATTGTCAAGGGTAAATGAAAATGCCACTGCTCACAGGCACTTGTTGAGCATTCCCCAAATGCTTCCCTTCCCCTATAGTCACACCTTTAGTAGGAAGGAAAGGCAGGAAAGCCACATCCAAGCTAAAGGGTCACTCACCCTCTTTGATCTTATGCTGCTTTTGTTAAAGACGAAATCATTGAAATAGACTGTTTCCAAGTCACAATTTGAGTGTGTAGAAATGTGCTAGGCAGAGTCTTGGCTACGTCTGACAGAAGCCAGCACTCACTCTGGATTCTGCCTGGCACTGTCCAGGTGCTGCCATGTTCCCTGTAGCTCTGGCCTAGGAGTCTTCTGGCTACTGGTAGTCTCAGTAGGGCCCCCAGTGGGCTTATGAGTTTATTCATTCCTGCTCTCCAGCCAACCTGTTCTTCTGTCTCCTTTCCTCTTCTCCACACCCAGTGAGAAGAAACGCAAGCCTGCGTGGACAGACCGCATCCTGTGGAGGTTGAAGCGACAGCTGCGGGCCAGCCCCCTCACCCCTGATCTGCCTACTTGCTACTTCTCCCTGTCTCAGAGGAGCTATAAGAGCCACATGAGTTTCAACATCAGTGATCATAAGCCTGTCACTGGCACCTTTGACTTGCAGGTGAACTTCTGGGCAGCTTTATACTTGATAGAGGGATGCCTGTGCTGGGTCAGTCACATCCCCATCCCTGCAGGCCTGGATTCTAATATCAGCCAGTCCCCAGGGAAAAACTGTAGGCGCACATGGTTGCCTTTCCTCTGTGGTCAGGTATCCCAGCTCTTAGGAGCTGTTGATGGCTCTGTCTGTCAAAAATGTGTTCAAGCCCATGTGAATAGGTTTCCATTTCCTCTTGCTACTCTCCCTTGGGGCTAATGAATTTTCATTAAGCTTATTACCTACTGTGTGAAATAGAACTTTCTATTCATTTCTATTCATCCTATCTGGATCAGGTTGCAGGAGGAGCTCCCTCCCTCCTTATATATTGCCATCAACCGAGTTCTGACCTCTTTTAAGCCACTGGCCATCCCTCAACCTTCACACTTTTTTTTTTTTTTTTTTTTTTTTTTTTTTTTTTTGTCTTTTTTGAGACAAGGTCTCACTATGCAGTTCAGGCTGGCCTTGGGCTCACTTTGTAGCCCAGGCTGGTCCCGAACTTTCAGTGCTGGGATTACCAGAGTGTGCCACCATGCCCAGCTAGCCTTTGCATTCTCATACCAATTTCTTGATCCTTATACATGTGTCCTACATGTTTTTATCTATTCTTACCAGTGTGTGCTGGATTTGAGCCTCTGAGTCAGACATGCTGAAGGCCAGAGAAGAGCTGTCTGGATTCTTTAGTTTCTCAGCAGCTCCCCTCTCCCTCCATCCTCAGCACTTGGCTCCCTGGGTCACCCACCTGGCTCTCAGCCCCATTCTCCCTGGCAGGGCCAGCTACTGCCCTGACAAGCCTTTGGCCCTTTTTCTTTTCTGCTGGCCAGCTAAGGTCAGCGAGGGTAGCCTGTGAGGTTCTATGCCCACCTCTCTAGGTGCCTCTGCTCCTCTCACTGCATTGGAAGGATACAGTGAGTGACAGTTGCTTTAGAGGAGAGAATGAGAGGATTTCAACCCACTTCTCACTGCTGTGTGTAGCTGAAGCCGCTGATGTCTGGCCCACTGATCACCATAATGACTGAGGGCCCATGGACCATAGAGAACGACATGTTGATCAGCTACTCCTCATCCCCAGACTTCCTCAGCAGCCCGTGGGACTGGATTGGACTGTATAAGGTGATGTGGGCACAGCTGGAATCCACCAGCTGCAGCCTCCTGGTTTATCTGCCTAAGGACGCATGGGAGCTAGGTAGACACTAAAGAGCTCCACCCGCATCCTCCTCAGGGGTTCTCACCTCCTAGGGCCTGGCAGGGAAGGGAAGGGAGACATAGTATAATGGCCAGCCCCAGCAGTGGGACCATCATCTCCTTAGGGTTTTCCATACTGTCCCATGTTCTCCCCGTGCACTAACTCCCCCACCCCCCTCTCCTTCCACAGGTAGGGATGCGCCACCTTAATGACTATGTGTCCTATGTCTGGGTTGGGGACAACCAGGTCTCCTTTGGTGACAACCTAAACCAGGTACATCTCCAGCTGCCAAACTTGTCTGTATACTACTTTATTCTGAAAGGGACAGAGTGCTAGATAACTTTTTACAGAGCTAGGTAATGGCTGGGACCCTGGAGCTAACGCCATTCTTGTTCACCCATCCCTCCAGGTATACATTAATATCTGTGACATCCCTGAGACTGAAGATCAGTTTCTCCTCTGTTATTATAGCAACAGTCTGCATTCTGTGGTGGGGATCAGCAAACCCTTCAAGGTAGGGGATGCTGGTGGGGGAAGGGAGGGGGGTTACAGAGGATCTGAACCCACTATTGCTTCCCTGAGGCCATAGGCCTGAGAACCAACCCGTACCTGTGGGACCACACCCTTTGGGAATAGCAGTGGTGAGAAGGTGTGAAGGTCTGCATTTCCCTTTCTGTCACCTGTTTTATCCTTGCAGATACCACTTCGCTTCTTTTTGGTGGAAGCCTCCTGTTAGGAAGACCTAACAGGTGAAGGCCAAGCAAGAATCTGAACCCACATAGGAGCAACTGAATCCAGGGTGGAGGCTATAGTTGGCAGCCAGCCCTGCCTTAACACTGCCAGGATTGCTGAGGGCCCAGCCCCTGAGGAGGCAGCCAGGAATCCTCCACCTCCCTGCCTCCCAGGATGAGCTCTAGCCAGCCTCCTTACCCTCGCCTGGCCAGATCACTGGAATTGGCACTTAAAATACAGGTATTTGTTACCAAGATATGAGTAAAACCAGCTAGTTTATCAGCAGTGAAGATAAAGACTTGAGAAGGATCCTCCAACATGCATCTTATTTCTTAAATACACACACTTACTTCCTGTCCTGCCCAAGCACTCCTGCCAGGCACATGCCCCATCTGGCATAGGCCTGCATTCTTGTCGTGTCATCCTGGGCCTCAGGCTTCCTAGAAGGGGTAGATGTCCACATTTATGCAGGCCCCAGACACTGGTTGGCACAAGCAGCCCTGGGTTCCAGATGTCTTGGCATTGCATAGCTTGTTCCAGTGGAGGATGAATAGAGGGTCTAGGGTACCTGGTTTCAATAAAAGCACTATAAGTGGACAGGATGGAAGATCCCCTCTACCTAGGCTGTTAGAGTGACTATGACTGGGTCAGTGAGGGGCTGTGCCAGTACAAGCTTCGCCCTACACCTTGCCTGGAGTTTAACGCAGGAAGTTTGAGAGCCTGAGCAGAGCAAATTCTAAGGAGCTGGGTTGGTTTCTGTGGATAAGTTGGTTTCCATGCCCTAAACTTGCCCTTTTGTGAAAGGTTGACAGGTAATAGAGGAGCTGTAGCCACAGACTTCCAGGATTATCCTTGTGAGTACAAGCTCATCTGCCCTCCCCAGCTCCCATAACCACTGGTAGGAAACCACTCCTCTGTCTTGAGCCCCTTAGAAGTGCCATTAGGCAGGCAGGCAGAAGAGAGAGCCAGGATGATATTTTGGAGGACCTGGCCATGAAGACCTCAAGAGATTGTTCTCCAGGTACCCTGTGGACATAGCAAATTGTCTCCTGCCAGTGGCGGCTTCTGCGGCCCCTGTCCTAGAAGAAGACACTTCAGGGAGCCTGCTGTCACTGTCACATCCAGTTACCACCTGAGATGGTCACTCCAGTGGCTCTGCATTCTGTATTTTACCCTGGGAGCCATGTGTATGAGGAATTGTCCCCTCAGCCTATAGCAAGCCATGACTGCCTGTGTTCTGGGTCTGTTATGTTGGGGGATAATTAGAAATGTGGCCTTTACACTTGTGTGTGACTCTTTAATGATGGGGCAGGATACAGGAATGGGTTCGGGGACCTGGGTTTCAATCAGTGTTCCATCCTACCCTCTCTTATCACATAGGAGCCTCAGTTGCCTGTAAAATATAAATGATTTCAAATGTACCTCTTTGTCTTTTTGAGACAGAATCTCACTATGTAGTTCAGGCTGGCCTTGAACTCACTATGTAGCCCAGGCTAGTCTCGAACTTGCAGTGATTCTCCTGCCTCAGCCTCCTATGTGCTGGAATTATAGTAGTGTGCCACCATGCCCAGCTCAAATGTACCTCTTTGTAAAGTTATTTCAAGGAAGCTTTTGAAGGCAAATAAAACACACACACAAATACCCAGCACTATACTCATCTCTGTATTCTCATTCATCTTTCTCTAGGGCCTCCTGACCACCATTCTTTCTCCACACACTGACGTCTCCCTATTATGCACTTAGTACTTCATGCACTTCTGTCCCAGCCTGGTGGTAAGGCCCTTCCTTAACCGGGAGCAGTGAGGCCAACAGTGATTGAGAGGCGGAAAAGGGAAGGGGCTTGCTCTCCCTCCTCTTGGCCCCTGTCAGGATATTGCTGCTCTGGGCCCACCCCTGACCCGCTGGGTGGAAACAGGAAATATGCGAGACTTGGTGTGCACTGGGTTTCTGCCTGGCTCCACAGCTGATAAGGGCCATTGTGTGGTCACTGGGATGAGCCTGCCCTGGGTAGATGTGTTTCCCACAGGAAGGAAGGAAGCTTTGCAGGCCTTTCCTGCATGGGGGGAGCTGTGGGGAGGGGAGGAGAGAGACCAGGGGAAGATCCCTGCCGGTGGGTCCTCAGTGTCAGTGCAGGACCACTGGACAGCAGCCCCCCCACCCATGCCAACCTCTCCCTCTGGAAAGTTCTGTTTCCCCCATCTACTTCCCCTTTCTCACTTCCTATAAGGAATGGCTGGAGACTGGAGTACTTAATTCCAGGCCAGGAAAGTGTCAGCTGTGATTTAGCAACAATAGAGAAAAACAGGAATGCTGAGGGTGTGGGGCACTTGGGGGTACAGAAAAAAAAAAAAAAAAAAAAAGCAAATGGCTAGAGGTTCCACACACCCAAGGAACCCAGAAACTAATCACTCAAATATTTGAGCCCAGAAAAGGGGATATAGGTGTCTCCACATAGTGGCCTCCTGCCTTTCCTAATGATCCCATCTGGCCATCATGGCCAACCTTGGTCTCCAAACTTGGCATAATAATGCATGTGTGTAGTACCAACTATGTGGGAAGCCAGAGTGGGAAGATCACAAGCCCAGGAGTAAGAGACCAGCTTGGGAAACATAGCAAGACCCCATCTCAAAAAAGTGAGTGTACGGGGCCAGAGATTTAGTTCAGTGGCATAAGCCTGGCAAGCTCAAGGTTGTGAGTTCAATCCCCGGCACTCCCCTCCCCCGCCCAAAAAAAGTGAGCTTACCTCCTCTTCCAAGTTGCAGGGACAAGTGGGAGGAGTAATGCCTATTAAAAGATCCTCTTGGCTTGGGGAAGAGGATGTGCCCTCGGGTTAGGAGAGTGGTCACTGGCCTCTACAGATGATACCAGATATGGGCAACAGGAGAAGATGGGTCAAGGAGCCCTAAAGGGGAAAAGTCTCCTACCCTTTGACCTAGAGCCCAGGGTCCCCTAGAGGGTGGCTGCATCAGCTCCTATGGTTACCTGGAACAACAGGCATTTCCTCCATCCCTCAGCCCCTCCTCTTCCTGCCCCAACCCTCCAGCCAAGAGGCCTCCCGATCAGACTTGGACTGCTCCAGCTGTGTCCTGAGGAGCTGGACCAGCCACATCCCCTGGGGCTGGAGTTGAAGCTCAACCAAGTGGCCATCCCAGTCTTGAGACTACAGATTTCTGGCTCCGGAGCAGCCAGAGTCAGTGGGCAACAGGCAGCTTTTCCTCAGAGGCTCCAGGGCTAAGCGCTCCACAAGCTGGCTCTCCACAGGGCGGGATGGCGCTGCAAGTGGAGCTGATACCCACCGGGGAGATCATCCGCGTGGTTCATCCCCACAGGCCACCATGCAAGCTTGTAAGCTGGGATGCTCTGGGTTGGGAAGAAGGGTGGCAATGTTTCCCCAGGACTTGGGCAGCCCTGGATAAAGCCCTCTGGAGAGAGGTGAAGAGTAGGATGCATTCTGATTCTTAGTGTGTACAGAAACCACTGGACAGGAGTAGGTGGAAGGAAAGGGTAAAGGGTTCAGATCTACTAGAAGGGTTCTTTTTAATTTTTATTGGTACATTTAGATATACGTATCATTCACCGTGAGGAATTTGTACCTGTAAATGATGTATTTTTTTTGTAAATGGTGTATCTTTTTTCTCCCGATCCCTATCCTTTCCTTCAATCCCTCTTGAAGCAGAATTTTTCAAAGCGGAAATCTGGTTTTAAATCTCCAGGTCCCTGAACTTTAGTGAACTGGGCTATCATCTGAGCCTAGAGCAGGTGACAGGGCTGCTCTGAGGTCAAAGACTAACGTATATCCAGCTCCAGGAATGTACTGGTTTTTTGTTTTTGTTTTTGTTTTTTAAATCGGTACCGGGGATCGAACTCACAACCATGCGCTTGTAAAGCAGGCACTTATGCCGCTGAGCTAAATCCCCAGGCCTTACTGTTAATGCCTCCCCTTTTTCAGCGGTCCCCGGGACTGGGGCTGACCGACTCAGAGCACACAGAAGGATGGGGAAGTGAGTGAAAGCGAAGAGGCATTTAGAAATAAGAAAGAACGGCCCTGGCTTAGCACACCTGGGAGGGGCTGGTTTGCTGAGAGAGAGGGGTGCAAAAGGGCGCTAGCTTGAAGAGGGAGAATCCCACCTAGCGAACCCACCCACTCGGCACTGGGCTGGGCTGGCCTTTGGCCAGAGAAGGGCCTGTGTGTGTGCGCGCACGATGGCGGTGCGCTGTATCCCCGCGATCTGGTTTAGAAATACAGCTTCGAGCCCCGGCAGACGCGGGCCCGGCCGGGACCAGAGCCTGCGGGGCGGGGCGGGCCCAAGAGCGCGCGCGCCTGAGTCCGGGCCCTGACCGAGATGACGACAGGCTGCGGCCCGGCCCCTGGCGGGCCTTGGGCGGGGAAAGCGTGCCGGAGCCGCGGACTCCTGAAGCGGCCACGCCACCCAGCCCGGCCCCCGCTCGCGCACCCGAAGAGCCAAACCGGTGGGTACGCAGGGCAAGATGTGGGGTGGGAAGCGGCCGCAAGGCCCCAGGAGACCTCCGCCGGCGAGCGGCGTAGGCGAGGTCGCAGCGGGCGAGTCGAGCCGGCTATGGTAGGGGGACGAGGGTCTCAGGCCGGGTGTCGCTGAGACGTTAGATCCCCTGAGTCTGGCTGATGCGTAGCCCCAAGCGCTGAGTCCCTGCGACTCAGCCTGGTGGGGACTTAGATTACTTGCGGGTAACGTTAGGGCAGAGGAGAGTGGGTCTCGGGACCCAGGATCCCAGCCTGTGCTTCGGGCCCCTCCCGCAACCTCTTCTGCCTCTGGGTTCCGGCTGAGCCTCCCGCGCCCCGCCCCTTCCCGTCCTCCGCCCCAGTGCCCCGCCGAGCCAGTGCCCCCCGCGTGCCTCGGCGCTGTGATCTTGGCGGCTAGGGGCTCAGAAATGAATGAAAGAATGAATGGCTGGCTGGCCCACGGCTTTATTTAACTCCAGCACTCTCCAGTCTCCCGCTCACAGACCGGCGCTATGAGATTCATTCATTCACGCAGGCACTCACGTAGGGCTTATTGAGACCCCACGAGGTGCCTAGTTGAGTGTGCCTGGGATAGGAACAGTCTGGGGAGACTGACAAGGAAACAGGTGATTCGTGTTTGATGTGATAAGGAGGAGACTGTGTCCCATGGCGGGCCAGGGTGCAAGCAGCTCCTCCTGGCTGTGTAGGGTGGTAGGGGAGGCAGGGGTGAGAAGGAACTGGACAGGGTAATCCCTGCAGCCATGCAGGATTGCAGAAGCAGCACGGCAAACTGAAGGCTGTGTCGCCTTCAGGAGATGCTTGACAAGAAGTGATGTGAAGCACAGTCCTAGCGCACAGCGGGTGATCTATAAACCTTCACTCCATTAACGTGAGATGTTAATTGTCAGTTATACATTATTTTTCCACTTGTAATTTGCTTTGAACAGCTATGCATTTTTAAATAACAGGCTACTCTGAGAAAGTGGATTGGGGGAGGAAGGCAGGGAGGGGCCAGTTAGAAGGCTGCTTGCCTTGGTCCACGACAGAAGCAATGTTGGAGAGGCAGGAATGTGGTTTCAGCAGTAGTGACTGCTTTGTTTGAGGAGTGGAAGGAGGAGGGCAGGCCTTTTAATAATGTCAGGTCTCAGTGATCAGCTGGAGATGGCACCCTTCCTCTACACGAAGGACACTGAATAGAAGACTAGGTTAGGAGGCAGCTTGCTCTGTTTTGTTTTTGTTTTTGTTTTTTTGCTGGATCCTCTGGCAGAGGTGTTAGGCAGGTCAAAGGCTCATGGTTCCAGAGCCAGAGTGACAGCCCTTGAATAAAGCAATCAGAGTAAAGACCCAGGGGCCCCACCACTCCCTGTCAAAACAGTTCTCAAGCCAGGACAGTCCTTGGTGGAGCAGCCTGGATCCAGACCTAAGATTTGCTTAATAAATCTAAATTGAGTTCCTGCTCTGTGCCCAGCATTAGGCTGCCAGTGAGACCGGCTGTGGTTATATTTCCCCTGTTGCAAGAAGCCATAAGGCTGCCTCAAGAGAAATTACTCCAGAGCTGCAATTGCCGCGGGCTGGGGGAACATTTAAGGCTGCCCAATACCCTCCATTCCTCCAAAGATCAGCACCTGGCCCACACTGGGTAAAGGGTATTACCTTCAGGCACCATATCCTATGGCTCCAGTAAACACCTTCCCAGATGGGAGAAGACCCACAGGCTGTTTTGAATCACCTGGGCCGCAGTTATACCCCTGCCAGCAGCCAGCATATAGGCTCTGGGTCATGCCTGGGGCACAAAGGCTT